TGTTATGGTGTCTGGCTGATTGTGTGTCATGGTGTCTGGCTGATTGTGTGTCATGGTGTCTGGCTGATTGTGTGTCACGGTGTCTGGCTGATTGTGTGTCATGGTGTCTGTCTGATTGTGTGTTATGGTGTCTGGCTGATTGTGTGTCATGGTGTCTGGCTGATTGTGTGTCATGGTGTCTGTCTGAATGTGTGTCATGGTGTCTGGCTGATTGTGTGTTATGTTGCCTGGCTGATTGTGTGTTATGGTGCCTGGCTGATTGTGTGATATGGTGTCTGGCTGATTGTGTGATATGGTGCCTGTCTGATTGTGTGTTATGGTGCCTGTCTGATTGTGTGTCATGGTGTCTGTCTGATTGTGTGTTATGGTGTCTGGCTGATTGTGTGTCATGGTGTCTGGCTGATTGTGTGTCATGGTGTCTGGCTGATTGTGTGTCACGGTGTCTGGCTGATTGTGTGTTATGTTGCCTGGCTGATTGTGTGTTATGGTGCCTGGCTGATTGTGTGATATGGTGTCTGGCTGATTGTGTGATATGGTGCCTGTCTGATTGTGTGTTATGGTGCCTGGCTGATTGTGTGATATGTTGCCTGGCTGATTGTGTGTCATGGTGTCTGTCTGATTGTGTGTTATGGTGTGTGTCTGATTGTGTGTCACGGTGTCTGGCTGATTGTGTGTCATGGTGTCTGGCTGATTGTGTGTCATGGTGTCTGGCTGATTGTGTGTCATGGTGTCTGGCTGATTGTGTGTCACGGTGTCTGGCTGATTGTGTGTAATGGTGTCTGGCTGATTGTGTGTCATGGTGTCTGGCTGATTGTGTATTATGGTGTCTGTCTGATTGTGTGTCATGGTGTCTGGCTGATTGTGTATTATGGTGCCTGTCTGATTGTGTGTCATGGTGTCTGGCTGATTGTGTGTTATGGTGCCTGTCTGATTGTGTGTCATGGTGCCTGGCTGATTGTGTCTTATGGTGCCTGTCTGATTGTGTGTTATGGTGCCTGTCTGATTGTGTGTCATGGTGTCTGTCTGAATGTGTGTCATGGTGTCTGTCTGATTGTGTGTCATGGTGTCTGGCTGATTGTGTGTCATGGTGTCTGGCTGATTGTGTCTTATGGTGTCTGTCTGAATGTGTGTCATGGTGTCTGGCTGAATGTGTGTCATGGTGTCTGGCTGATTGTGTGTCATGGTGTCTGGCTGATTGTGTCTTATGGTGTCTGTGTGATTGTGTCTTATAGTGCCTGGCTGATTGTGTATTATGGTGCCTGTCATATTGTGTGTCATGGTGTGTGCCTGATTGTGTGTCATGGTGCCTGTCTGATTGTGTGTCATGGTGCCTGGCTGATTGTGTATTATGGTGCCTGTCTGATTGTGTGTCATGGTGTGTGCCTGATTGTGTGTCATGGTGCCTGTCTGATTGTGTGTCATGGTGTCTGGCTGATTGTGTGTTATGGTGTCTGGCTGATTGTGTGTCATGGTGTCTGGCTGAATGTGTGTCATGGTGTCTGGCTGATTGTGTGTTATGGTGTCTGGCTGATGGTGTCTTATGGTGTCTGGCTGATTGTGTGTCATGGTGTCTGGCTGAATGTGTGTCATGGTGTCTGGCTGATTGTGTGTCATGGTGTCTGGCTGATTGTGTCTTATGGTGCCTGTCTGATTGTGTGTCATGGTGTCTGGCTGAATGTGTGTCATGGTGTCTGGCTGATTGTGTGTCATGGTGTCTGGCTTAATGTGTGTCATGGTGCCTGGCTGATTGTGTGTCATGGTGTCTGGCTGATTGTGTGTCATGATGTCTGGCTGATTGTGTCTTATGGTGTCTGTCTGATTGTGTCTTATAGTGCCTGGCTTATTGTGTGTCATGGTGCCTGGCTGATTGTGTGTCATGGTGCCTGTCTGATTGTGTGTCATGGTGCCTGTCTGATTGTGTGTCATGGTGTCTGGCTGATTGTGTATTTTGGTGCCTGTCTGATTGTGTGTCATGGTGTGTGCCTGATTGTGTGTCATGGTGCCTGTCTGATTGTGTGTCATGGTGTCTGGCTGATTGTGTGTTATGGTGTCTGGCTGATTGTGTCATGGTGTCTGTCTGATTGTGTGTCATGGTGTCTGGCTGAATGTGTGTCATGGTGTCTGGCTGATTGTGTGTCATGGTGTCTGGCTGATTGTGTGTTATGGTGTCTGGCTGATTGTGTGTTATGGTGTCTGGCTGAATGTGTGTCATGGTGTCTGGCTGATTGTGTGTCATGGTGTCTGGCTTATTGTGTCTTATGGTGCCTGGCTGATTGTGTGTCATGGTGTCTGGCTGATTGTGTGTCATGGTGTCTGGCTGATTGTGTGTCATGGTGTCTGGCTGATTGTGTGTCATGGTGTCTGGCTGATTGTGTGTCATGGTGCCTGTCTGATTGTGTGTCATGTCGCCTGGCTGATTGTGTGTCATGGTGTCTGGCTGACTGTGTGTCATGGTGTCTGGCTGATTGTGTGTTATGGTGTCTGGCTGATTGTGTGTCATGATGTCTGTCTGATTGTGTGTCATGGTGTCTGTCTGATTGTGTGTCATGGTGTCTGGCTGATTGTGTGTCATGGTGCCTGGCTGATTGTGTGTCATGATGTCTGTCTGATTGTGTGTTATGGTGCCTGTCTGATTGTATGTCATGGTGTCTGGCTGATTGTGTGTCATGGTGTCTGACTGATTGTGTGTCATGGTGTCTGTCTGATTGTGTGTCATGGTGCCTGGCTGATTGTGTGTCATGGTGTCTGGCTGATTGTGTGTCATGGTGCCAGGCTGATTGTGTGTCATGGTGTCTGGCTGATTGTGTGTCATGGTGCCAGGCTGATTGTGTGTCATGGTGTCTGGCTGATTGTGTGTCATGGTGCCAGGCTGATTGTGTGTCATGGTGCCAGGCTGATTGTGTGTCATGGTGCCTGTCTGATTGTGTGTCATGGTGTCTGGCTGATTGTGTGTCATGGTGTCTGGCTGATTGTGTCTTATGGTGTCTGGCTGATTGTGTGTTATGGTGCCTGTCTGATTGTGTCTTATGGTGCCTGGCTGATTGTGTCTTATGGTGTCTGGCTGATTGTGTGTCATGGTGCCTGGCTGATTGTGTGTCATGGTGTCTGGCTGATTGTGTCTTATGTTGCCTGGCTGATTGTGTGTCATGGTGTCTGGCTGATTGTGTCTTATGGTGTCTGTCTGATTGTGTGTCATGGTGTCTGGCTGATTGTGTGTCATGGTGTCTGGCTGATTGTGTGTCATGGTGTCTGGCTGATTGTGTCTTATGGTGTCTGGCTGATTGTGTGTCATGGTGTCTGGCTGATTGTGTGTCATGGTGTCTGGCTGATTGTGTGTCATGGTGTCTGGCTGATTGTGTGTCATGGTGTCTGTCTGATTGTGTGTCATGGTGTCTGGCTGATTGTGTGTCATGGTGTCTGGCTGATTGTGTCTTATGGTGTCTGGCTGATTGTGTCTTATGGTGCCTGGCTGATTGTGTGTTATGGTGTCTGGCTGATTGTGTGTCATGGTGTCTGGCTGATTGTGTGTCATGGTGCCTGGCTGATTGTGTGTCATGGTGTCTGGCTGATTGTGTGTTATGGTGTCTGGCTGATTGTGTCTTATGGTGTCTGGCTGATTGTGTGTCATGGTGTCTGGCTGATTGTGTCTTATGGTGTCTGGCTGAATGTGTGTCATGGTGTCTGGCTGATTGTGTGTCATGGTGTCTGGCTGATTGTGTCTTATGGTGTCTGGCTGATTGTGTGTTATGGTGTCTGGCTGATTGTGTGTCATGGTGTCTGGCTGATTGTGTGTCATGGTGTCTGGCTGATTGTGTGTCATGGTGTCTGGCTGATTGTGTGTCATGGTGTCTGTCTGATTGTGTGTCATGGTGTCTGGCTGATTGTGTCTTATGGTGTCTGGCTGATTGTGTGTTATGGTGTCTGGCTGATTGTGTGTCATGGTGTCTGGCTGATTGTGTGTCATGGTGTCTGGCTGATTGTGTGTCATGGTGTCTGTCTGATTGTGTGTCATGGTGTCTGGCTGATTGTGTGTTATGGTGTCTGGCTGATTGTGTGTCATGGTGTCTGGCTGATTGTGTGTCATGGTGTCTGGCTGATTGTGTGTCATGGTGTCTGGCTGATTGTGTGTCATGGTGTCTGGCTGATTGTGTGTCATGGTGTCTGGCTGATTGTGTATTATGGTGTCTGGCTGGTTGTGTGTTATGGTGTCTGGCTGATTGTGTGTTATGGTGCCTGTCTGATTGTGTGTCATGGTGCCTGGCTGATTGTGTGTTATGGTGTCTGTCTGATTGTGTCTTATGGTGTCTGGCTGATTGTGTGTCATGGTGTCTGGCTGATTGTGTATTATGGTGCCTGTCTGATTGTGTGTCATGGTGTCTGGCTGATTGTGTGTCATGGTGTCTGGCTGATTGTGTGTTATGGTGTCTGGCTGATTGTGTGTCATGTCGCCTGTCTGATTGTGTGTTATGGTGTCTGGCAGATTGTGTATCATGGTGTCTGGCTGATTGTGTGTTATGGTGTCTGGCTGATTGTGTGTCATGGTGTCTGGCTGATTGTGTGTCATGGTGCCTGGCTGATTGTGTGTCATGGTGTCTGGCTGATTGTGTGTCATGGTGTCTGGCTGATTGTGTGTCATGGTGTCTGGCTGATTGTGTCTTATGGTGTCTGGCTGATTGTGTCTTATGGTGTCTGGCTGATTGTGTGTCATGGTGTCTGGCTGATTGTGTGTCATGGTGTCTGGCTGATTGTGTGTCATAGTGCCTGTCTGATTGTGTGTCATGGTGTCTGGCTGATTGTGTCTTATGGTGCCAGGCTGATTGTGTCTTATGTTGCCTGGCTGATTGTGTGTCATGGTGCCTCAATGGTGTCGATCATTGCTCGTAATATCAATCACTGGATTTTCTGGCCCTGACTTGATTTTGTCTGCAGTCATACACCTAAAATATCACTGAGTGCAGAGTTCAGCAACAAAGTGACAGCCATTACCTTCTGTGTTGCAGGTAACTGTTGCTGACCTGCCAGGGCTGATTGAAGGGGCTCACTACAACTTCGGAATGGGGCACCGGTTCCTGAAGCACATCGAGAGAACCAAGCTGCTGCTGTTCATGGTGGATGTTGGGGGGTTTCAGCTGGGCGTCCAGTACCAGCACCGCACAGCCTTCCAGACAGTCCTGCTGCTTAACAAGGTGGGTGGCATCATGTGTGTGAGTGAGTGAGTGAGGGATGGAGTGTCACAGGAGCATGGGTATGGTATAGAAACAGGAAGCAAACCAGGGTTTAAATAGATGATCATAGGTTTTGGTTGTGTGTAATGGGATGCAACTCTGCACTTTGAATTGCAGCGTCTTGGACAATTGGCCCCCCTGTGACCCCCATATAATCTGACATGGAGAATGTCCGATACATTTGCAAGGTTTTGCCAGACGCAGAATATCATTTGTTTTACTGTCCAAAATATATTGAAATCTGCTATTGCAAGAAGATGCTCGTAATGTCCCAGTGTCCTATGTTTGTAGCAAGAGCTGACGAAGTACTTGTCCCAGTTGGGCTTCCATACAATGTCCCAGTGTCCCATGTTTGTAGCAGGAGCTGATGAAGTATATGTCCCAGTTGGGCTTCTGTACAATATCCCAGTGTCCCATGTTTGCAGCAAGATCTGACATTATATGTCCCAGTTGGGCTTCCGTACAATGTCCCAGTGTCCCATGTTTGTAGCAAGATCTGACGAAGTATATGTCCCAGTTGGGCTTCCATACAATGTCCCAGTGTCCCATGTTTGTAGCAGTAACTGATGAAGTATATGTCCCAGTTGGGCTTCCATACAATGTCCCAGTGTCCCATGTTTGCAGCAAGAGCGGACGAAGTATATGTCCCAGGTCGGCTTCCATACAATGTCCCAGTGTCCCATGTTTGCAGCAAGAGCTGACGAAGTATATGTCCCAGGTCGGCTTCCATACAATGTTCCAGTGTCCCATGTTTGCAGCAAGATCTGACAAAGTATATGTCCCAGTTGGGCTTCCATACAATGTCCCAGTGTCCCATGTTTGCAGCAAGATCTGACAAAGTATATGTCCCAGTTGGGCTTCCATACAATGTCCCAGTGTCCCATGTTTGCAGCAAGATCTGACAAAGTATATGTCCCAGTGGGGCTTCCATACAATGTCCCAGTGTCCCATGTTTGTAGCAGTAACTGATGAAGTATATGTCCCAGTTGGGCTTCCATACAATGTCCCAGTGTCCCATGTTTGCAGCAAGAGCGGACGAAGTATATGTCCCAGGTCGGCTTCCATACAGTGTCCCAGTGTCCCATGTTTGCAGCAAGAGCTGACGAAGTATATGTCCCAGGTGGGCTTCCATACAATGTTCCAGTGTCCCATGTTTGCAGCAAGATCTGACAAAGTATATGTCCCAGTTGGGCTTCCATACAATGTCCCAGTGTCCCATGTTTGCAGCAAGATCTGACAAAGTATATGTCCCAGTTGGGCTTCCATACAATGTCCCAGTGTCCCATGTTTGTAGCAGTAACTGATGAAGTATATGTCCCAGTTGGGCTTCCGTACAGTGTCCCAGTGTCCCATGTTGGTTGCAAGAGCTGACGAGGTATATGTCCCAGTTGGGCTTCCATACAATGTCCCAGTGTCCCATGTTTGCAGCAAGATCTGACAAAGTATATGTCGCAGTTGGGCTTCCGTACAGTGTCCCAGTGTCCCATGTTTGTAGCAAGAGCTGACGAGGTATATGTCCCAGTTGGGCTTCCATACAATGTCCCATGTGTGTAGCAGGATCTGATGAAGATGAGGATTTGGACGTCTGGCTTTGATTTTGCTGATTGCATCCTTTTGGTGTGGTGTTCTCATTTCTGGTGTCCTCCTGTGATATTACGGCGTAAATTCCAATTCACTCACACACTTTTAGTGTGGATCACCAGTCCCTGGTTGGCTTCGTCCAGAGTTTATTAATTATGGGCTGCCATGAAATTAGCTTGAAAATTGCTGACTGCTGCATGCTTCGTCCCATGTCCCACCCCACCAGTGATGAGTGCCAGGTTCTAGAGCCCCTGGAGGGGGTTTGGATGAGTACATATCAGTCCCTGGTTTTGTCTCTGACCCAGGAGCTGGAGCTGTACCGGGAGGATCTGGTCGGCAAGCCGGCCGTCCTGGCCATCAACAAGACTGACACTGAGGGCGGGCAGGAAAAGGCTGAGGAGGTCGTTCAACTCATCAAAACCATGGAAGGTGAGCTACGGTCAAAATAAGGTCAAAGATCAGGGTTGGCGTGGCACGTGCTATTTCAGTAATTAGATAAGATGACCAAATAGAATGTAAATACAAATACACATTTTAAGGAAACTTCGCAAATTGATAACTTTATTATAATGTAAATGCCATTTTGTCAAGTAGGCCTCCAACTCAGCAATAAAACATATTCATAGTGCACTTTATACTATTTACTCTGCATTTTTGTTCACAATGTAATGAGACCCGTGAAGATGCAGGGTAGAATAGGTCTTTAGGAACCCATGCTTGCCCTAAAAAGCAACTATGCTTGTCGTAAGAGGCGACTAACGGATCGGGTGGTCAGGCTCGCTGACTTGGTTGATGCATGTCATCGTATCCCAATTGTGTGGATTGATGCTCATGATATCAATCACTGGATTGTCTGGTCCAGACTTGATTATTTACAGACCACTGTCATATAGCTGGAATATTGCTGAGTGCGACACTAAACAACAAAGAAACAAAAAAATCAACATATATACTTTCTTTGTTTTTTAGATACTTGAAATTTTTACTTTGTTTGTCGCTTTCACCTTGACCACACTGAAACTTCTAATGGTCATTTCTCAGCTACTTGTTTTGAAAATGAAATTTGGTATATGTGTAGTTGCTAGTGTGGCTAGATATATGTGTTTTGTTTTTTGCAATAGTATAAATTTTGACCTATGCGTATGTTCCGAAGTTCTCTCAAAATGCATTTCCTGACACTGTTACCATCGTCTTCTCAGACACGGATGTACCTCAGTGTCAAATTTTGGTTGTCACCGGTGATCCTAGGAATCCCTATGAGGTTGTAATGTCTCAATCTTTTTCCATCTGCAGATAATATGGACATGATTGAGCCGGAGATTAGGCCGACACAAATGGTAAAGTTTGACGACATTTTCACAATCTCGGCCAAAACAGGAGCATCTGTACCAGAGATGAAGATGAAGATACGCACACTGCTGGACACCTATGCTGAAATTGCAAGATATGAACAGAAAACTTCACGGGAACGAATGTCTCCCACCAGTGGCTACTCCCCCCCAGGTCTGAGCCAAGAACATGTGAAACCCAAGCTTGTGTGACAGCAACTCTTGTAAACTGTGTTATTTACTGCAATAAATAGTCTCATAAGTTTTGTTTGTTTGTTGTTGAACGTTTCACACAGCAATATTACAGATATGTGATGGCAATCTGTAAATAATGAAGTCTTGACAAGACAATCAAGTGATTGACATTATGAGCATCGTTCCACGCAATTGGAATATGATGACATGCATCAACCATGTCAGTGAGTCTGACCACCCATCCCGTTAGTCGTCTCTTATGACAAGTATGGGTTGAAGACCAGTTCTAACCCAGATCTTTCAGGCAGTGTGAGTTTGGATCCCAGAGTCGACCTGATTATTGTCTGGGGTTTGTCAGCACCCTACCAGTGCTCATGAGTTATTGCCAAAGTGAGGAGAGAGTGAGTTGGCTTTTATGCAGCTGGAAACAATGTTTCAGTAGTATTGTGGAGGAAGTGAGTCGGGTCTAAGATGTCTACTATGGTGAAACCCATGAGCACCAGTTGGTGCAGACAAACCCGGGAACTGGCGAATCTTGGATTTCAGACCAAAACGAAAGGCTAGCAGGTGGACACCGTTGGGGTTACACGAAAACGAAATGTTTTCCCACAGACTTATGTATTAAGGTTTTTATGTATATTTACAAAAATAACTAGTAGGTAATGAACAGCCATTACATTTCCTTGTATGCAGTCTGGCCATAGAGCTACAATAAAAACACAAAGCTTGGCTCGCTGAGATAAACGCCAACCCCAGTCCCGCACCAGTACGTGGTCACATTCAGGGTTAGTCATCCTGTTCAAAAAGACAAAACTAAACATTGAAAAAAACATGGTCGGTTTTAGGTATTGGATAGATGTACATTAAGAAAACAAAAAACATTACACAAAACCATCCAAACACAGCTGCCAGATTTCTCAATCAACCTTCGATCTGACTCCGACCCGCGTAGCAGGTAAATATTCAGTTTCTTTAATAAAAGTAGTAAATCCGTTGTTTAGAATAGAATTAAAAACTTTACCCAAGCAACAGTTTTGTGATATTGGTCTGCATTTTATCCGTAGGATAAGCCTTCTTTAAAATTGGCTTATTAAAAAACAGCATTTGACTATGCTTCTGGTACGTTTCCAGTATCCAGTATCAAATATTATATATAGTAAACGATTTAACACAAACAGTTATTACTTTGCCTGACCCAAGCCCAGCTCCATATTTGGCCGAGCATTCCCGCCTTTGACCGAGCTGGCACGATCCAAGCCGACTTTGCGGACCCGTTTCGGCATTCGTCACCACTCGCCCCTTTCCGTAACCTGCAAGAAGACTCGTCCACCATTCGTGACCAACTCGTGTTATTCCGGGACAAGCTTCTTGCAGGTTACGGAAAGGGGCGAGTGTTGACGAATGCCGAAACGGGTCCGCAAAGTCGGCTTGGATCGTGCCAGCTATTCGGCTTGTCCCGGAATAAAACGAGTTGGTCACGAATGGAAAACCAACTGTTTCTTATTAACATCTATACTGAGGTTTTTAAATACATAAATAACTAGTAGGCAATGATCAGCCATTACATTTCCATGTATTCACAGTCTGGCCTGAAGCGACGGACGTTCCGTCTCGCCCAGAATCCCCACAGGGAGACCAGCATAGATAGCTGCAGACCTATATTTTTACCCATTCGTCACCACTCGCCCCTTTCCGTAACCTGCAAGGAGCTATTCGGCTTGTCCCGGAATAACACGAGATGGTCACGAATGATTTTTACCCAGAATCGCAATGAATGCAACAGCGATATGAGGCAAAAATAATTTAATCTTAATCATGAAAGTGTTAAAAGCATGATTAATTATATAATATCTACATATAATGTATAAAGAACGTCACAGAAAATATTGAGTCATTTCTTAATTACTTATAAGTAACTCAGTCGATGACATAACATTTAATCTAAATGTTTGTCAACTGTATTACCGAAATATTGACCAGTCCCATCCCTCGCGTGTTGCTACACAATTAATACAAGCGCTACAACAGATAACCTTGGGGTAAACCCATTTACTTCAAAAACAGATTTGTTGCAATGTTACAGTTCGTGAACGCCGTCGGATATAACTGGCAGCCTTTCAGTGCACAAATCGGTTCGCCTTGGCTTAAAGTTAATGTTAAAGGCGCGTTCCCAATTCCCATCCAGACGAGGAACTGTGACTCGCTGATACCAACGGAACATGCAGGCGGACAGTCCGACGTTGTTGTGTTTAACAACCCAGTGCTAAAAAGTCGTGGGAATGGAGTCTGATGCTGACGTTATGTGCACTGAACACGGTATGTTGGGGAACCAAGGGTATAAAAGTGATCACTGTGTAATTAATCTGACAGATGCAATAAAGCTGTAGGCAACATTAAAACACCGGGATGCAGATGGCAATTGTTCTGATGCTTCTATGTGCGGGTATTCATGCTGCGCGGACTAACGGTATGTAATTGTGTTCATGCTGCACGGGATAACGGTATGTAATTGTGTTCATGCTGCACAGACTAACGGTATGTAATTGTGTTCATGCTGCACGGGATGACGGTATGTAATTGTGTCATGCTGCACGGACTAACGGTATGTAGTTGTGTGCATGCTGCACAGACTAACGGTATGTAATTGTGTTCATGCTGCACGGGATGACGGTATGTAATTGTGTTCATGCTGCACGGACTAACGGTATGTAATTGTGTTCATGCTGCACAGACTAACGGTATGTAATTGTGTTCATGCTGCACGGGATGACGGTATGTAATTGTGTTCATGCTGCACGGACTAACGGCATGTAATTGTGTTCATGCTGCACAGACTAACGGTATGTAATTGTGTTCATGCTGCACAGACTAACGGTATGTAATTGTGTTCATGCTGCACGGGATGACGGTATGTAATTGTGTTCATGCTGTACGGGATAACGGTATGTAATTGTGTTCAATATTTCAGTTATATCAGGGTTTGTAAATATTTCAGTTATATCAGGGTGTGTCAGTATTTCAGTTATATCAGGGTGTGTCAATATTTCAGTTATATCAGGGTATGTCAATATTTTAATTATATCGGGGGGTGTCAATATTTCAGTTATATCAGGGTGTGTCAATATTTCAGTTATATCAGGGTGTGTCAATATTTCAGTTATATAACGGCATGTCAGTTCAGGGTGGGATGAAAGCCCGAAGTGATGCACGATTTAGTCGTTGACTGTTGATAAAACCGAGGCGCGTGGGTATGGTGCTGACAAACCTGGTCCCAGTCTGGACCGGGCAAACCACTGGCTCCAATCCTTGACCGGTTTCAGTCTTCCGTTACTACACGCGACTCTAGTAGTACACGCACGTAGTACCGGAGACCTTCTCACACCAGGAACAACAAACAACAAGACCACAAAGCTTATTTAATCAACAACACACAAGGAGTAGACAACAATGCGAAATCAATGACAACGCAGGGCAGTAATCCAACAAATACTCCGTCCACTCTATTATTAGCCAATCAGGAAACAATAGGCCGCGAGTGGGCGTGCCTTTATTTGCCAATGGAATTACTTGCATATTTTTTATGACGAAATAATTAATATTTTGATGCCTAATTAATATTTTTTATATTCAGCCCAATGTGGAGGCGGTCTCACTCTGATCGGACGCACCTGTTTTTTTGTCGACAAGAAAATTAAAAAGTCTCGAGCTGCGGCAGAAGTCTTTTGCTGGAAAAAAGGAGCGCAGCTTGCCCACCCAAGAACTCGACAAGAAAACTCGGAGATAGAGAAATATCTGAACACCTTCGATTCTGGATGTACGTGAACAGGAGGAAGTAGCTCACCTGGGCTGTGTCTTGTGTTGTAGTTCACCTAGGCTGTGTCTTGTGTTGTAGTTCACCTAGGCTGTGTCTTGTGTTGTAGCTCACCTAGGCTGTGTCTTGTGTTGTAGTTCACCTAGGCTGTGTCTTGTGTTATAGCTCACCTGTGCTGTGTCTTGTGACTCACCTGTGCTGTGTCTTGTGTTGTAGCTCACCTAGTTTGCGTCTTAAGTTGTAGCTCGCCTATGCTGTGTATTATGTTGTAGCTCACCTAGGCTGTGTTTTGTGTTGTAGCTCACATGTGCTGTGTCTTGTATTGTAGCTCACCTGGACTGTGTCTTATGTTGTAGCTCACCTGGGCTGTGTTGTCTTGCTACTCACCTAATGTGTCTTATGTTGTAGCTCCCCTGGGCTGTGTCTTATGTTGTAGCTCACCTGGGCTGTGTTGTCTTGCTACTCACCTAATGTGTCTTATGTTGTAGCTCATCTGGTCTGTCTTGTGTTGTAGCTCACCTAGGCTGTGTCTTGTGTTGTAGCTCACCTGGGCTGTGTCTTGTGTTGTAGCTCACCTGGGCTATGTCTCGTGTTGTAGTTCACCTAGGCTGTGTCTTGTGTTATAGCTCACCTGTGCTGTGTCTTGTGACTCACCTGTGCTGTGTCTTGTGTTGTAGCTCACCTAGTTTGCGTCTTAAGTTGTAGCTCGCCTGTGCTGTGTATTATGTTGTAGCTCACCTAGGCTGTGTTTTGTGTTGTAGCTCACATGTGCTGTGTCTTGTATTGCAGCTCACCTGGACTGTGTCTTATGTTGTAGCTCACCTGGGCTGTGTTGTCTTGCTACTCACCTAATGTGTCTTATGTTGTAGCTCACCTGGGCTGTGTTGTCTTGCTACTCACCTAATGTGTCTTATGTTGTAGCTCATCTGGTCTGTCTTGTGTTGTAGCTCACCTGGGCTGTGTCTTGTGTTGTAGCTCACCTTGGCTGTGTCTTTGGTTGTAGCTCACCTGAGCTGTGTTTTGTGTTTCTAGATCATCTGGGTTTTTTCTTGTGTTGTAGCTCTCCTGGGCTGTGTCTTATGTTGCAGCTCACCTAGGTTGTGTCTTGTGTTTTTGCTCACCTAGGTTGTGTTTTGTGTTTCTAGATCATCTGTTTTTTTTCTTGGGTTGTAGCTCACCTGGGCTGTGTCTTGGGTTGTAGCTCACCAGGGCTGTGTTGTCTTGCTACTCACCTAGGTTGTGTCTTATGTTGTAGCTCATCTGGGCTGTGTTGTGTTGTAGCTCACCGGGGATGTGTCTTGTGTTGTAGCTCACCTAGGTTGTGTCTTCTGTTGTAGCTCACCTAGGTTGGGTTTTGTGTTTCTAGATCATCTGGGTTTTTTCTTGTGTTGTAGCTCACCTGGGCTGTGTCTTGGGTTGTAGCTGACCAGGGATGTGTCATGCGTTGTAGCTCATCCGGACGTGTCTTGTGTTGTAGCTCACCTGAGCTGTGTCTTGTGTTGTTGCTCACCTAGGCTGTGTCTTGTGTTGTAGTTCACCAGGGATGTGTCTCGTGTGTAGCTCACCTGGTCTGTGTCTTGTGTTGTAGCTCACCGGTTTGTGTCTTGTTTTGTAGCTCACCTGTGGTATGTCTTGTATTGTAGCTCACCTTGGCTGTGTCTTAGCTCACTTGCGCTGCATTCCAGCTCCGATTATAACTCGACTTAACTCAGTCCCATTCCAGGTCATCTGTGGAAGGAATCCATAGCGGAACTCGTTCACTCGTTCACGTGACTATGACGTGACATAACACAAGATATAACTGAAATACTGACACGCCATGATTTAACTGAATATATACATGTACATCTATTGCATCATTTCAAATGGGAAGTGACATAGGAAATGTGTTAAAAATAATGTTGGTTCATGCACGCACGCACACACGCACGCACGCACGCACGCACGCACGCACGCACGCACGCACGCACGCACACACACACACACACACACACACACGCGCGCGCGCCCACACATGAAGTGTATGAGCAGACTGATACGCCACTTTTAGCAATATTAGCGGGGTAACAGGTACTGTACACATGTGGGGAATCGAACCGGATCTGGGCATTACGAGCCAACGCCTTACCTTGATTTCCAAACGTTTCACTTTGCTGTGAAACAATTTAAAGGAAGTCAAACTTGAGTTTAAAGGGCGGTGGGGTAACCTAGTGGTTACAGCGCTCGCTCGTCACGCCAAAGGCCCGGGTTTAATTCCCCATATGGGAAAAACTGTGTGAACAATCCCCCTCGGGATATTGCTGGAATATTGCTAGAAGCAATTAAAAACCATACTCATACATTGTCTCGAAGCGAAAATTATTTATTAAGGTGAATAGACATGGACTTGGAAACTTATTCGAGACAAGATATCGATATGAAACGGTATGAAACTGTACGAAACTGTATGAGACTATATGAAACTGTACGAAACTGTATGAGACTATATGAAACTGTACTTCCTATCATTTCAGTTTGGTTCTTCGCAAACATGTTTTGGTTTGGATTAAAGCGAGTGTCATCAGGCGAGTTCGAATTCACACAAGGAAAGCCAGGCTACTCTCACTGGCAAAAGGGAGAACCAAGTGGCAGGGGAGAGAAATGTTGCGAGTATGTATGCAAAGATCACCACTGTCAGTGGAACGATGCGATGTGTAGCATGGAGAAGATGTTTGTCTGCCAGCTGAGAGGTGAGCGGAATTAATACCTTGCAACCTCGTTAATCCGGACGGTGGATTTCATCCAGCTTAATGAAACATGTCACAGCAGTGATCCTGGATTAAGGTTTCGGATTAACGGGTTAATTGTAACAGTGCATGTTCTGTGAAACCAATCACCACTTTAAACGACCGCCTCCTTGGTTTAGTGGTAGAGCGTCCAACCGGAGAGCGGAAGGTTCGGGGTTCGATCCCCGGCCGCGTCATACCAAAAGAGGTTATAAGATGGTGCTTGTTGTTACCCTGTCTGGCCCTCGGCATTAAGGGGCTAAAACAAGGACTGATCGGCTCGAAGTTAGTACACTCTGTCCGAGTGGGGTATTCATGTCACACACACACACACACACACACACACACACACACACACACACACACACACACACACACAGAGAAAGGCCCATGTTTTGTTATTTTGCCGTTGCAAACCCATATGGCTATGGCGTAAAGGGCATGAAATATAGACGGGAGAAAGACATAGAGATGTACATGCATCATTTCTAAATATACATAGGCAAGAGAGTTAACTGACTTTAAAATTTTAAGTCCAGTTTCCACCCTTGCCGAACTAGGCTGGAATTTCTGGGCTTGATCGTAGCGCCATCAGCTATTACGAGTTACTCGAACACTTTTTACTCGAACTCCTTTTACTCGAGACATCATTTAAGACGATTTAACTCCATAGTTCTGCCAGACTCCTTTATTTCGGCAACGTTATCGTGACCTGATTGAATGCATATCGACAGCATGGGTCGTTGTTCGTGCTATCAACCATTGGTTAAGGTGTGGGTACTATGGTTAAACATTTGCCTGATCTGATTGTATGTGCCAGTACCCCGACAACGTGAATTGTCGTACGTGCTATCAAGCACTGGTTTCAATGACACTGACTCAGTGATCTATGGCCGCCGTGGTAGTGTTGTTATAGGATATAGATCGACTCCGAGGTCTTGACTGAGAATGTAAGTCCAGGGCAGAAGTATATTGGGGATCGCCGAAGTCCCGAACCAATATCCAGATATCCAAGGGCTTTCATTCTTAGTCAAGACCGAAGAGGAGATTTTTAGGAGACTTCTAAACCGTCTAAATGAAAGATATAATAGAAAAAATAAGAAGCCATCGGAATACCATACAGTGAAACAATAATGTGCGTCAGGGTATGCAAGGAATTCGAAGAAAGCGTGTGATTCATCGACCACGTGCAGCATGAACACAGCTCAAGTCTTGACATGTAAGATTGAACACCCTTTCATCACCTGCCCAGTGAGTAAACAGTGGGTTGCAAAGCTAAATACGATATGCGAGGTTGAAGGTTCGATTCGCGTCATGGAATCTTCATGTAGAAAATATTGCGACTTTTAAGCAATTAAAAATAGTCATGTCAAAAAGCTAGGTTATACAATTTAACTGTTAAACCTTACAATATTCAATTAAATCTGGGACATCTTCTGAATGCCCGGGGTCGATGAATATATTCGCAGTTTATCAAGTAAAGTCAGCAACTATTCAGATTTTAATAGTTAAAGGTATAATTAATCACAAATTCTTGACAAAAATTATATTTGAAAAACGGAAATAAGGTAAAACAGACGGGGAAAAAAACACAAGTGAAATCGTCCCCAAACGAAAAATTCCGCCACTGCGGGGGATCCCCTTAAGGGCGGTCGGGTAGCCTAGTGTTTAAAGCGTTCGCTCGTCACGCCGAAGACCCGGGTTCGATTCCCGACATGGGTACAATGTGTGAAGCCCATTTCTGGTGTCCCCCGCCGTGATATTGCTGTAATATTGCTTCAAGCGGCGTAAAACCATACTCACTCACTCACTTCTGCGGTTAAAACTGCGCAATTTCAACTTTCATGACGATCGGGTCGACGCTCAATCTGCCTCTCTGTCCACTTTATCCATTTGATACCCTGTCCACAACTTAGTATGCCTTCAGAAACAGCAGAAACATTATATGTATAACGGCTAAGAATCACAAGACAGATGAACGCGGCAAACATATCAGCCAATGAAAACAGTTGTCACCGCTACGCCCGAACCTTTAGGCCACGCCCCCAAATAGGTTTGTTTTGGAAGCCGATAACGGAGAGTGTGATTTCAGGACTTTCACTAGACATTTAAATTCTTTCTACAAATATAATTTTTTCTCTCTGACTAAATGTATCTAGGCAAATTGATATTTGCAACAAAATCACAATCATTTTTTATTGCTTTACTTGCCCTTTAAAGAATCACCGCACGCAGTAGGGTGACGTCACAAAAGGTTTATAATAAAAGTTGCTTGTCACTCGAGGGATCTGGGGATCTGACAGTGACATATAGCTCCTATCTGAGGCAATGCCAGCGTCGAGCCATGTTTCTTTCCATCGGCCACCGTGGGGAATGACATATTGCAAAATGAAATATATATTCACGTGAAACATAAAGTTTTTGTTATCCAGATTAAGGTCCAGTCTCATTAAAATCAGACCTCAGTTCACGCTACCGCTAAACAAAGATGTGAGGACATCCCATTAGGGGTCACGTCAGAACGACCTTTCATCCGACCAATCAGAGCATCGCTTACCAGATTATGAAAGTGACAGTCGGAATGTGATTTCTGATCATGCAGCCTCGAAAACTTTAACTCCGAACGATAGTTACGGGTTTAACGACAGTGCCCATACAATCTAGACCATCTATTAGCCATTCCAGAATGTTCTTTTGTTCAGGTTTCAAATTTGTAATCGAGAATTTGTCAAAATATGTTACGAAGCGTAGTTGCCAATTTGAAATTAGTGCCGTAAAGCACGAGAAAGCTACCTTCTGATTGGTCATTCCATTTGTCGGTCAAAGTTCGCGCAAGGTCGGTCTGACGTGACCCGTAATGGGATGTCCTCAGATCTTTGTTTAGCGGAAGCGAGAACTAAGATCTGATTTTAATGAGATTGGATTGAGGTCACGCTCGATGGTGTATACGACTGTGTATGCACGAAGCCAGCGGCCAATGTTATGTAAATGCTCTGGAAAGGTCACGCAAGGTCAAGATCTGAATCTGAAGCTGGGTTTGTTCTTTGTTTCAGTGTGTCCGCAGGCATGTCTGCACAAATCTGACACAAGTGAGTATCATGACACTGTAACCGGAGATAGTTCTACCGCCCTCGGAAGTCTTACGTTTATCCCCTACGTAGGTATTTATTGTCCCCTTCGTGGAACTTTCTTATCTCCAGCTCATGAGTTTCTCACACACACCACCCTACCTCCTACGAATTTTACCTATCCTGTCTCATAGGACTTGCTTACCCCCATAGGAAGTATAGTCTCATGCATAAGCCTTTCCGAAAACGTTCGCTGGTCACATGGAGTGAGTGAGTGAGTGAGTGAGTATGGTTTTACGCCGTTTTTAGCAATATTCCAGCAATATCACGGCTGGGGACACCAGAAATGGGCTTCACACATTGTACCCATGTCGGGAATCGAACCCGGGTCTTCGGCGTGACGAGCGAACGCTTTAACCACTAGGCTACCCGACCGCCCCTTCTGGTCACATGGAAGGCCCGGGTTTGAGAGCATTGTGTGAAACCCGTTTCTGGTGTCCCATGCCAAGATAGCGCTGGAATATTGCTAAAAGCGGCGTAAAACCATACTCATTCACATCCCTCTGGGATAGTTGAGGAAGCATATTGCCAGTGATGTTAAAAGTCACATAGTATTTTAGCTTCACTTTGAGTGAGTGAGTTGGGTTTAACGCCGCTTTTAACAGTATTACAGTTATATCACGGCGTGTCAGCTTAATGTGGGAGGAAAGCCCGAAGTGATGCAGGTCTCAGACGTTTACCACTTCGGTGAAACCCACGAACATAATCGGGACGAACCGGGATTCGAACCCACAATCATATGTTTCTGGCGTACCCAAGGGACGCAACTCTGCATCGCGGCGCCCTAAGACGACTGGGCCACCCGTGATCCCCGCTTCACTCTGACCTTCATTGTTGCATATGGATGTTTCCGTGTCAAGGTCAAATATTGGTTTTTGCCTTTTTCGGAAACAGATTCGACACCAACCACGACAACGACGACTAAGCTGCCCTTCTCAGATACAGTCTCCCGGGTAACAAAAGATGAAACACAATGGTTCTTAACACCTACCCCACCTTCAGGCTACAGCTGGTCAACACTGACGCCAGAGGCAACCACTGTCATCACAGGTCAACAAGCGGACCAGACAGAGGCTGAGGTCAAGGTCAATAACAGGGTGAAGGCCACTGAAGTGCAGAAACAGTACAATGGTGAGTGAGTGAGTGAGTGAGTTGGGTTTAACGCCGCTTTTAACAGTGTTCCAATTATATCACAGCGTGTTAGCTTAATGTGGGAGGAAAGCCCGAAGTGATGCAGGTCTCAGACGATTACCACGTCGGTGAAACCCACGAGCACGGGTATGGTGCTGACAAACCAAGAAACATAATCAGGGTGAACCGGGATTAGAACCCACAATCATAGGTTTCTGGCGTGCCCAAGGGACGCAACTCTGCACAGCGAATCGCGGCGCCTTAGACGACTGGGCCACCCGTGCCCCCTACAATGGTGAGGCCCCTTTCTGATATATTAACGTGATCGGATGGTCAGGGTCGCTGACTTGGTTGATGCATGTCATCATATTCAGATTGAGTGGATCGATGCTCATGATGTCAATCATTTGATTGTCTGGTCCATACTCGATTACTTACAGCCCGCCGTCTTATGGCTGGAATATTGCTGAGTGGGGTGATAGTATTCTAGTTGTATCACGGCGTGTCGGCCTCATGTGGGTGAGGTGAGGTGAAATTGGGTTTAACGTCGCGTCCAAGATTATTTCACTTATATAGCGACGTGCATGCACGTGTGTGTGTGTGTGTGTGTGGCTGCTTGTACTAGTCCAGACTGATGCCGATTTATAGTGCTAGCCCACTGAGATACCATGCCGCAGTTTAACATGAATACCCCACTCAGACACAGTATACTGACTCCGAGCCGACCAATCCTTGTTTTAGCCCTTTAATGCCGAGCGCCAGACAGGGTAACAACAAGTACCATCTTTAAACGTCTTTTGGTATGACGCGGCCGGGGATCGAACCCCGAACCTTCCGCTCTCCGGGCGGACGCTCTACCACTAGACCACGGAGGTGGTCCTCATGTGGGAGTAAAGACCATAGTGATGCTTTGGTAAACGCCTTATTTGAAAAATTATATTTAGTTTTGTTTAAATTTAAATGTAATAAGAACTGGACTCGTGCAGATCCTGGTAGAGAATAGGTCTTCTGCTCCCCATGATTGCCGTAAGAGGCGTCTAGCGGGATCGGGTGGTCAGGCTCGGTGACGTTGTTGATGCATGTCATCGTATCCAAATTGTGTAGATCGATGCTCATGATGTCAACCACTGGATTATCTGGTTCAAACAGACCGTTGTCATACAGGTGAAATATTGATGAAGGCGGCGTTAAACAACAAACAAACAAACAATTAATTACTGAAAAAGCGGCGTAAAACTATACTCACTCACTCACATTTGAACAGATGAAGGTGTGATGACGAGGAACGATTAGATTGTATTTAAATAATCACTATAACTTCAGTTATACCTCGTTAATCTGGATGATTCTGTTCGGATAAACGAAATATTGGTAGGGAGACTGTTTTGTCCTTTCGCTTATATGAAAAGTGTACGCAGTATTTATCAGGAGGGCGGAAACCAGACTTACAAGGTCTTATTGTATGATTCTGTTACAGGTAGCAATTCAGGATGTGGCAGCGTCTTCCTGGGTCTGCTTCTCGTCCCACTGTTGATCTGCGTGATGCAGATTCTGTGAAATATAAAGAAGTCACTGTCGTGGACGTCGTTTCATCCTTTGTGCCGTTGCTCATGATATTAACCATTTGTTTGTCTGGCCCAGACTGTAGTCTACAACAAAAGTTGATATAGCTGTACCACTGCTAAGTTCGATGAAATGCAACATTCACTCACTCACTCGTGCTCTTTTTCTGTGTTGCGGGAAACAGGGTAAGGCCGTATCTTGCCGTTTCTCCATTACCGACCGACGACCGACACACACACACACACACAGAACGACAGACAGACATATGGACCGACCGACACACACACAGAACGACAGACAGACAGACAGACATATGGACCGACCGACACACACACAGAACGACAGACAGACAGACAGACAGACATATGGACCGACCGACACACACACAGAACGACAGACAGACAGACATATGGTCCGACCGACACACACAGAACGACAGACAGACATATGGACCGACCGACACACACAGAACGACAGACATACAAACAGACAGACAGACATATGGACCGACTGACCCACACAGAACGACAGACATACAAACAGACAGACAGACATATGGACCAACCGACACACAGAACGACAGACAGACATATAGACCGACCGACACACACATATACAGACAGACATATGGACCAACCGACACACAGAGCGACAGACATACATATAGACCGACCGACACACACATAGACAGACAGACAGACAGACCGACACACAAATATACAGACAGACACATATGGACCGAACGACCGACACACAAACAGTACGACAGACAGACAGACATATGGACAGATAGAAAGACAGACAGACACATACATATGGACCGAACGACCGACACACAAACAGGCAGACAGACAGACACATGGATCGACTGACCTAGAGACCGACTGGCCTCATAATACATTGATATAGCATGATACATCACGCGTGCTCTAACCTGTGGGAGTCGACTGAAATCTTACCCGGCAACATGACCACAACTGCCATCTGCTCCAGGAGCTTCACTGGCTGCCACTCACACACCTCCCTCTTTCGCGATCTCAAATTACCTGCCCTTTGTAGCTACCCTTGAAAAATCACGCACCGGCACCGTTGGGGATCGAGTCTTTGGCAAAGCTGGATAATATCCGATGTTTTCCCACCAACCAATCTTATGTGAGACACGGAATTGTAAAGTAATGAATATTTAACTAGCATGTTCCGTGGGAAGGGTGAGGTGAGGTGAGGTGATATTGGGTTTAACCTCGCGTCCAAGATTATTGCACTTATATAGCGACGTGCATGTACGTGTGCGTGTGTGTGTGGCTGCTTGTACTAGTCCGGACTGATGCCGATTTATAGTGCTAGCTCACTGAGATACCATGCCGCAGTTTTAACATGAATACCCCACTCAGACACAGTATACTGACTCCGAGCCGACCAGTCCTTGGTTTAGCCCCTTAATGCCGAGCGCCAGACAGGGTAACAACAAGTACCATCTTTAAACGTCTTTTGGTATGACGCGGCCGGGGATCGAAAACCGGACCTTCCGCCCTCCGGGCGGACGCTCTACCACTAGACCACGTCACTGGCATAAGGAGAACGGGTTGACGATTGAGATTTATAGAAAAGTATCTCGCAACTTGAGATGCATTATTAATAAACCAAAGTTAAATTTACAAAATACTTTACCAGAGGAGGGCACGGGTGGCCCAGTCGTCTAAGGCGCCGCGATTCGCTGTGCAGAGTTGCGTCCCCTGGGCACGCCAGAAACCTATGATTGTGGGTTCGAATCCCGGTTCGCCCCGATTATGTTTCTAGGTTTGTCAGCACCATACCCGTGCTCGTGGGTTTCACCGAAGTGGTAAACGTCTGAGACCTGCATCACTTCGGGCTTTCCTCCAAAAATTAAGCTGACACGCCGCGATATGACTGGAATACTGTTAAAAGCGGCGTTAAACCCAACTCACTCACTCACTCACTTTACCAGAAGGCGACTTGTGTACACCTCCTGCTCGTCCTGTGATTATTTCAGAGTAAGACACCAGCTATTTCCATCTCAGTGTTCCTTCTTAGTACAATAAAGCAAGTATTTCACTTGTTCAGCAACTAAAGTCAATGACTCTCGAGTCCTTTGACTGAAACAATATCGATGCTACGTCAATTTTTCACTCACCCACGTTCATTTGAAAATATAATCAGAAATACAGATCAACCCATTTTATGATTAATATCCGAATAACAGTTTGAATTGACATAGTTTAATATATATTACATCTCGCGTGTGTGAAATAGCACAATCTCAAGGCCCAACGTGTTTAGGCGATAACTGACCAAGCGTTTTCCTGCCGCGGGGCGATGAGTTATCTCCCTTAACAACCATATTACCATATATCCTAAGGCTTCATTGGAATACTGATATCCGATCTGATTGTCCTATCAATTCAAATGTGATAAAACTTAGTCCTTAAGATGCTGATAGGTCCCGATGTAATAAAGATGACGGCACATAGCGTAATTTCTACAATTATCAGTCGCGTTTGTTCTCTCTAGATCAACGACAATGCTAATCCGGCACTAGTCGTGATTATAATCACCTATAACAGCAGAGGCCTTGTCTCAGTACGTCTACTCGTGGCCGTACGCAGCGATGGAAGCATTGAAGGCATCTCACATAACAGTGAATTGTTGTGACGTCACACAGAAAATATCCGGGTAACGTGTAAAAGACAAGACGAGTTTTCTACTGCCTCACCCGCTCGCCGAACACACAGACCTGGATAATGTTTTGGGTTTCCCGAATCTCGAAGTATTTGATAGGGGCGTGCTCTGGGTTCGTGGTGACGTACTGCGTGTTTGTTTTATCGGGTGGCACTACCCGTATTGGCAGGATGCAGGACCGCTACAGAGGACGCGCATCTCCCGAGGACGGGGCGGTGTATGACGGTAAGGACGTCGACGTTTAAGATAGGGCTAGTGTTGATAAACCATTCCGATAAACTTGGCATCACCATCCGAGAAAATGAAGTTGATTAACAGGAACTATTTTGGATAAACATATGTCGATGCATTGTTGGAAATATTATTGCTTAACGTTCCCAAATCGTTTAGATTAGAGGTTTAGTGGTTTGCCGGGGAGTGAGTGCCAATGTAGACCGTGAGTGAGTGAGTATGGTTTAACGCCGCTTTTAGCAATATTCCAGCAGTATCACGGCGCTTCACACATTGTACCCATGTCGGGAATCGAACCCGGGTCTTCGGCATGACCAGCTTAAACCACTAAGCTTACACGACCGCCCTGCCAATGCAAACAAGCATTGCAGCTATTCATTTGGCGCCGTATAATAAATGGACAGTTTCACTTATGCAATGTCTTCCTGCGAGATTTCTAAATTTACGTCAGTGAATGAAAATATCGCTAAAACATTGATTATTTAAAGAATGAAATTATATGATAGAGTGATTATTACGCTAGTGCGTTTCCGTTTCGTAAAACTCCTTTATTTGAAATAACAATACTTATTTCCTCTCCACTGGCTCGTGCTTTAAACAATTTTATTTCCCCACTCGACTGAGCATGTGAGCTGTGTATTACTCTATGCTGTGTCCGAATCCTCTTATAACTGACTTGTGTTTAACGCCGCTTTCAACTACGCCGCTTTCAACAGCACCGTATTTCCTCGATTTAACGCCGGGTCTCGGTTATTCTCCGTTCTCTTGACTGTCTCCCAGACCCTAGAGATTTTTAAAAAAAAGGGGTCCAACACAATTCTAGAAGAAATTAGCAAGTCTATTATTCCAGTTATATCACAACGTGTCAGCTTAATGTTGGAGGAAAGCCTGAAGTAATACAGGTCTCAGACGTTACGGCACTGTGATTAAACTCACAAACACGGGCATGACAAGCCCGGAAACACAATCGGGGCGAACACCCAATCACAGGTTTGTGGTGTGCCCAAGGGAGGCAACTCTCTACCGCGAATTGCCTCTCCTTAAACGACTGGGCCACCCATGAGATTCTGGCAGGCCTAAGGGACACACAGCAAAATTCGACTCCTTAGACGACAGAGCCACACGTATGTGTACCCCTACTCTGAGTCTTAAAATCGTCTGGGTTAAAATATAGAGACGATGGCAACACCACGAGAAGTAGTGAGTACTATACAAGTATCTACATGGTTGACACTGTCGGGCCTTCGTGTTTCCTTGGTGTTAAGGGGCGGTCGGGTAGCCTAGTGGTTAAAGCGTTCGCTCGTCACGCCGAAGACCCGGGTTCGATTCCCGACATGGGTACAATGTGTGAAGCCCATTTCTGGTGTCCCCCGTCGTGATATTGCTGGAATATTGCTAAAAGTGACGTTAAACCATACTCACTCACTCCTTGGTGTTATATCCGCCGAATATAGGATTATGTGACTATAAAAATATTTTGTTATTTTTTGGTTGTTCTGGATAAAACACGCCACCGAGGTTTGGGTTGAAAAGGCTTTCCCCGAGGTAAAGGTATTACATTTTCAACCTAAATCTCGGAGGGGTGTTTTATCCAACGTATGAACCGTCAAAATGCAAGAAATACCAGAAAACAGTTAGAAAATATCAACATGCGTTATAGTGAAACACTACAGTGTATCGCGGTATAAAAGGAATTCGCTCAAAGCGTGCTAGAGAAATACCACGAGCAGCATGGGCTAGCTGGAGTCATGATATGATAAACTGAACAACTTCTCATCACCTGCCCCAGTACCTCAGTGGGAAGGCAGTGGGTTACCTGCTCAACTCGATGTGTGAGATTACAGGTACGATTTACGTCATGGAATTTTCATATTATTTTTTTGTGATTTTTAACCGATCACTAAACACAATTGTGTTTACATCAAGAAGCAAGTTTATAAAACGTTAATTGTAAAACCCAGGTACCGTATTCGACGTTATAAGCGCCCAGCGCGTTCTCAAAATTAGAAATAGGGGTCTCTTATTAGAATATAATTTTGGAGAGAAAAAAACAGAGCTGAAAGATCGTAAATTTCGTGTTTTATGCTGACAGCCTGAAATGATACAAAAGAAAGGTTATATTTCCAGATATATTTTCCAGAAGTGAATTGCCCATAATTAAGTGAGTGAGTGAGTGAGTGAGTATGGCTTTACGCCGCTTTTAGCAATATTCCAGCAATATCACGGCGGGGGACACCAGAAATGGGCTTCACACATTGTACCCATGTCGGGAATCGAACCCGGGTCTTCGGCGTGACGAGCGAACGCTTTAACCACTAGGCTACCCGACCGCCCCCCCATAATTAAGGGTGCATGTAACACACGAGTGCGTAATCTTACTATTGTACACGAATAAATAAGTGTACATTGATCAATCGAAAGGGGTACCAATTGGGATTGTTCATTAGCCAATATATTAGCAAATATCGCCGTGGGCGCTTATTAGAGCGGGGCGCTTATTACGTCAAATACGGTTCTACCATTTATATGTATTCACCAGGTCCCGGACATTGTTGATATTGCCTGCCCTGGAAGTTTACCGACATTTAGAAGAACCTTCTGTTGCTGTTGTGTGACGTCATCTGAGGTTTAAAAATATTGTTCAAATATTGTTCTCACATTTTGTTATGTTTCAGATGTCCAAGAAGCCCCTGATACGATGGCGTCTCGCTTGCGAATATCTTGCTGGATTATGACAAGCCCACGGAATCTTGAAAAGAGGGCGAGATTTATCCAGATGACGTGGGCTAAACGCTGTGACAAAGTGGTGTTCATCAGCTCGGAAACGAACACGACCTTTCCAACGGTTGGACTTAACGTTTCTGAAGGTCGGAACCATTTGACCGAAAAAACTCTTGGAGGCTTTCGTTATATTTATGAACATCATTTCGACGACTGTGATTGGTTCTTTAAAGCAGATGACGACACTTACCTCGTTGTGGAAAACCTTCGTCACTTCCTTGCTGATTTCGACACAAACGAGCCACTATATTTCGGCCATCATTTTAAGGCAATTATTAAACAAGGATACTCTAGTGGCGGATCCGGATTGGTTGTCAGCAAAGAAGCCCTGAGAAGGTTTGGTCAACATGGACATCGTCCGAAAATATGTCGACAAAAGGGCACAGCGGGGGATGCAGCATTTGGTCAGTGCATGCAGTCATTGGAAGTAAAGTTAGCAAATTCAACAGATTCGCAAGGAAGGAGCAAGTTTCATTGCATGACTCCACACTCCCACCTGTCCGGTAAATACCCACAGTGGTACCGGAAGTACGACGCCAACGGTGCCAAGAAGGTATGTCTTAGAGTCGGTCATTGGTGCTGATGGTATTCAGGGGATCACCTTGATGTCATCATTGCTGCTAATGTTTACGGGAGACGGTTGGATGACCTAGTTCTTCGTGCATGGTATCGCCATACTGAAGAACAGGGGTCGAATCCCATTGTTGGTATAATACTTAGCGTCCATTCTTGGTGTCCCCGGTTACAAAGGACAATACACGTACATATTAAATATTATTATTATTATTTCAGGGTATCCAGAGCATGAGTGATCATCCCATCTCTTTCCATTACGTCGGCGGATACAAACAGCTGGAGTTGGAATATCTGATGTACCGCGCCCGAATACATCATTATGTGCCTAGTCTGTCACTGGATTAAAAGAAAATGATTCAAATGTTTTCTTTCTTTCTTCTTTACATTGCAACAAATACACTGTCGGAAACTTATGATGTATAAAAAAAACACGCCTCCGAAGTTTTGGTTGAAAATATAAAATCGCTAGCGAGGGAATAGCCGGAGTTCAAGGTTTTACATTTTGAACCAAACCCGAGGAACCGTGTTTTATCCAACTTATGAACCGTCTAAATGCAAGAAATAGCACACAAAATGAAAACATCGACATATTTATGGTTAAACAATGCAGTGTGTCGCGGTATAAAAGGAATTCGATCAAAGCTTGTGAGAGAAAAAAAACAACGTGCAGCATGGACCAGCTCAAGTCATGACATGTGAAATTCTACAACCTCTCATCACCCGAGCCGGCAGCTGTGGGAAAACAGTTGGTTTCAAGACTTAACATCACATGTGGGGTTGCATGTTTTGATTTTCGTCGTGGAATTTTCATGTGAAACAATTGTGACGTTTAACCAATCATCAAACACAACTGTGTTCACATCAAAAGGCAAGTTTATAAAAGGTTAATAGTAAAACCTACAATTAAAATTAGATTAGAAGTAACCCATTTCAAAACCTGGGCTTGGAAGATGAGCTGGTTACAAGGTTTACCCGAGGTTGTCGGGAACCTAATGCAGTAGAGTGCATAGCCAATACGTTACAGTAATTAGCGCTGATGGTCATGGACAAGTGGAAGCCAGGACTTAAATTATCACTGATTGGTTATTGACAATGGGCAAACGAGGGGCCGGGGGTAATTAACATTGATAAGTAAAACAACAGCAACTGACAAAGATCAAAGCACTAGACCGTCGGTGCACGTGCTGCGACAAGACATATCGTCAACAGGTTGTTCGGTGCTGCATGGATCACCCGTGCAGGTACCTGTATAAAACTCGACCGAACGTGTCACACACAATCACAGGAACCCAAAACACACTGAACAATGGTCAAATGTAAAATACAGATGAGAGAGAGAGAGAGTGGTATGGTCATGGAGGGGACTCCACAAGTTCTGATTGCCAGAACACTCCGCTGCTCTCGTCAGACAGCCCCGGTCGGGTAGCCTAGTGGTTAAAGTGAGTGAGTGAGTTGGGTTTAACGCCGCTTTTAACAGTATTCCAGTTATATCACGGCGTGTCAGCTTAATGTGGGAGGAAAGCCCGAAGTGATGCAGGTCTCAGACGTTTACCACTTCGGTGAAACCCAAGAGCACGGGTATGGTGCTTACAAACCTAGAAACATAATCGGGGCGAACCGGCATTCGAACCCACAATCATAGGTGTCTGGCGTGCCCAAGGGACGCAACTGCACAGCGAATCGCGGCGCCTTTGACGCCGAAGACCCGGGTTCGATTCCCGACATGGGTACAATGTGTGAAGCCCATTTCTGGTGTCCCCCGCCGTGATATTGCTGGAACATTGCTAAAAGCGGCGTAAAACAATACTCACTCACTCACTGACGTCAGACCATCATCAAACTGATCACACTATACAACAGGGGTGGCCGCACCACTGACCGGTCTCGGATTGGCCGACCACGTGTTACCAACCCCTTAGAAGACAGATATCTGTGAACCCTGCATCTACGCAGCCGGATCCGGAAACACAGTGAGAAGATGACTGCGAGCTGTTGGCATTAGGGCATACAGACCGCTCCGTGGGGTGGTGTTGGGTCCACAACGTCGCTAAGACTACGGTGGGTTCGACTTGTACGACGTTGGCAGCGGCTCGAATGACAAGGTGTCTTGTTTACCGATGAGAACAGGTTCTACCTATTCCATGCAGACGGGAGGGTCCGCGTTTATCGCCTTAGGGGGGAAGAATAGCTCCTGGCTGTATACAAGATGTCCGTCTCCATGGAGGGCGTGGTCTCATGCTGTGGGGCGGAATCTATGACGATGAGAAGATACCACTCGTTCTTATTCATGGCAATCTCAATGCCTAACGGTACGTTGACGAAGTCCTAAGACGAGTAGCGGTGCCATTTCTGCAGCGACAACCAAGGGGTATCCAACAGGACAACGCCCAACCATACACCGCCCGCTTCACGCAGAACTTTCTAAACAACGTCAACGTGCCCGTACTGCCTTGGCCCCCACGTTCTCCCGGCATATCTCCCATCGAACACTTGTGATATCGTATCTAGAGTGCTGTGGAGACGCCCCAACCATCCAAACAACTTACATGACCTGGAACACGTCTTGCAGGATGTTTGGCAACACATTCCGGCAATCGCCATCAGACGTTTGACGTCATCCTTGAGACGGTGCATTGAAGCATGCATCCTTGCCAGGGGTAGTCGTGTATCCTTGCCAGCTAGGGGTGGTCGTGCATCCTTGTCAGGGGGGGTGGGGGGGTCCGTGCATCCTTGTCAGGGGTGGTCGTGCATCCTTGCCAGGGGGGGGGGGACTGACGTGAGAACTGACGTTTGGTACCCCTAGTCATATATACACTGACCGCCGCTGTTTGCGTTTGCTATTTTGCAAGTTTGACAGGTGAAGTAAATACATAGAATCAATTGCATCAACATCTTTTGGGCCTTGTTTTCATTTTACAGTTAATCAAACTCCATGTGAACTTTCTTTTCATCTTCTGTTTACTGACAAAAGACGACGACTGTGATGACGGGATAGCCTGACACGGCGCCCTGAACGGCTTCACATCTACTGATGAAAGGTAGCAGCACAGCTTTTGGACACTCCGTTCTCGTCACAGGAACTCGATGATAGCGTGAATATAATAGCATCATATACGTATAGAAAACAAATCTCTATAGAGGGGTGTGATTTACTTCTCTACGTATATGTTATTATATACAAGCCATCATCGAGCTCCTATGGTTCTCACTGGCTTAGAGAGGGCGCTGCTTGTACTAGTCACGGCCAAGTGAAGCAGGTCGACATGAGCGGGACAGTATTCATGATCCTGGTACTGCTTTTAGCTGCCGATGCCTGGGTTTTGGCGATGGAGCAGACTGGTAAGTTTATTGACATACTGACAATTCCCCCTGGTAGAAACATTTTGCAATAAGTGAAAATTGTAATTTGATATGACATGCAGCTGAACATGGGTAGGTAAACAACTAGAGGGGCCGACTAGGTGGAAACAAACAATTTGGTTTGACCTACAACAGATTATGTTTTACACCTCCAACAACAGGGCCAGTGATTGATATTTCGTGTGTGAGTGTCTGTGTGAGTTTATGTGTGATTGTGTGTCTGTATGTGAGTGTGTGTGTGTGAGTGTGTGTGTGTGAGTGTGTGTGTGTGAGTGTGCGTGTGTCTGTGTGTGAGTGTGTCTGTGTGTGAGTGTGTCTGTGTGAGTGTATGTGTGTGTGAGTGAGTGTGTCTGTGAGTGAGTGTGCGTGTGTGAGTGTGTCTGTGTGAGTGTATGTGTGTGTGAGTGTGTCTGTGTGAGTGTATGTGTGTGTGAGTGAGTGTGCGTGTGTCTGTGTGAGTGTATGTGTGTGTGAGTGAGTGTGTCTGTGAGTGAGTGTGCGTGTGTGAGTGTGTCTGTGTGTGAGTGTGTGTCTGTGTGTGAGTGAGTGTATGTGTGTGTGTCTGTGTGTGAGTGTGCATGTGTGGGTTTGTGTGTCTGTGTGTGAGTGAGTGTGAGTGTGCAAAGCCGGAGGACAACTCTTTCATCAGATATTTCCGAAATAGGGTATTTTCAGTCAAAATGTTTCCCTTTAGGCATATAATGATATAACTATTTTTAAAAGGCATCTAAATATAAGTATCAATGCAAAAGAAAACCAGTCTGGATTATCCACCGAAACAGATTAAAATTTGGCGGAAAGGTCAAAATAGCTGTGATGGTTATATGAACGGCTCACTGTAAATCAGTGAGGACACCAGGTTTTAGCGACAAAGGTAAACTTGTCCTGCCCGACCGGTAGAACCCGCCATTTACACAATTTGCATAAAATGTAAGTATTTATTACCCGACGTCGCACACTTTCGTAGCCAGTGATCCTTTTCTGCTTGTAATTTTTTCCGATGTGTTTCGTTAGGCAGTGTGTTACCATCTTTTGTCTTTAGACAGCACTACAGACATAAGTGTAGTTGATGACCCTACACACACAGTGTTATCTTTTACACCTAACACTGTTACATGACACTGCCATACGGTCATCACGAGGCTGTGTCATATCCCGCGACGTCATGGTTTCTGCCACGTCATGGCCTCTGATCACGTCCTCCACATTTACGACCACATCCTTACATTGCTGTAAACATATCTAAATATGGTTATGACCACGCCCCTACATTAATGTAGGCACATCTAAATATAGTCATGACCATGCCCCTGTGATGACCACGCCTCTGAACCGTTTTGCCCACACCTCTGTATCGTTATGAACACCCCCTATATCGTTTTGCCCACACCACTGTTTCGTTGTGAACAATCCCTATATCGTTTTGCCCACACCTCTGTATTGTTATGAACAATCCCTATATCGTTTTGCCCACACCTCTGTGTCGTTGTGAACAATCCCTCTATCGTTTTGCCTACACCTCTGTGTCGTGAACAATCCATGTACCGTTTTGCCCACACCTCTGTATCGTTATGAACAATCCCTGTACCGTTTTGCCCACACCTCTGTATCGTTATGAACAATCCCTGTACCGTTTTGCCCACACCTCTGTATCGTTATGAACAATCCCTATATCTTTTTGCCCACACCTCTGTGTCGTTGTGAACAATCCCTGTACTGTTTTGCCCACACCTCTGTATCGTTATGAACACTCCCTATATCGTTTTGCCCGCACCTCTGTATCGCTGTGAACACTCCCTATATCGTTTTGCCCACACCCCTGTATCGTTATGAACAATCCCTATATCGTTTTGCCCACACCTCTGTATCGTTATGAACACTCCCTATATCGTTTTGCCCGCACCTCTGTATCGCTGTGAACACTCCCTATATCGTTTTGCCCACACCCCTGTATCGTTATGAACAATCCCTATATCGTTTTGCCCACACCTCTGTATCGTTATGAACACCCCCTATATCGTTTTGCCCACACCTCTGTATCGTTATGAACAATCACTATATCGTTTTGCCCACACCTTTGTATCGTTATGACCACGTCTCTCGAGCCAGGCAGATCATTACGAAGCTGTTTGTTTCTAATCTGTTAATCCGCAGATGTGTGTGGGGGAGCGCAGTCTCAACTGGGAGACAAGTGTTTTCACTTCATCGAGACGAAACTCACCTGGCCCGAAGCCAAGGCGTACTGTAAGGCGGAATATGGCGGAATCCTGGCCCAACCAACAACCAAAGAGAATGAGGAAATCAAGACATACCTGACGAATCTTACAAATAAATGTGAGTGGGTGAGTGGGTGAGTGGGCCCAGTGGGCGAGTGGGCGAGTGGGCGAGTGGGCGGTCAAGTGAAGTGAGTGAATGATTGGGGTTTAATGCTGACTTGTGGACATTACTGTACCATACATGTTTTGCCTCACCAGGTGGCAACACGGCGATGTTCTGGCTGGGTGTGTCATGGACTCCCCTGTGTTTTGTTGTTGCAGGTGCCAACAAGGCGGTGTTCTGGCTGGGTGTGTCATGGACTCCCCTGTGTTTTGTTGTTGCAGGTGCCAACAAGGCGATGTTCTGGCTGGGTGTGTCATGGACTGAACTGTGTTTTGTTGTTCCAGGTGCCAACAAGGCGGTGTTCTGGCTGGGTGTGTCATAGGCTCACCTGTGTTTTGTTGTTGCAGGTGCCAACAAGGCGATGTTCTGGCTGGCTGTGTCATGGACTGAACTGTGTTTTGTTGTTCCAGGTGCCAACAAGGCGGTGTTCTGGCTGGGTGTGTTATGGACTCCCCTGTATTTTGTTGGTGCAGGTGCAACGGGGCGATGTTCTGGCTGGGTGTGTCATAGACTGAACTGTGTTTTGTTGTTGCAGGTGCCAACAAGGCGATGTTCTGGCTGTGTGTGTCATAGACTGAACTGTGTTTTGTTGTTCCAGGTGCCAACAAGGCGGTGTTCTGGCTGGGTGTGTCATAGACTGAACTGTGTTTTGTTGTTCCAGGTGGCAACAAGGCGATGTTCTGGCTGTGTGTGTCATAGACTGAACTGTTGTTTGTTGTTCCAGGTGCCAACAAGGCGGTGTTCTGGCTGGGTGTGTCATGGACTGAACTGTGTTTTGTTGTTGCAGGTGCCAACAAGGCGATGTTCTGGCTGGGTGTGTCATAGACTGAACTGTGTTTTGTTGTTCCAGGTGCCAACAAGGCGGTGTTCTGGCTGGGTGTGTCATAGACTGAACTGTGGTTTGTTGTTCCAGGTGCCAACAAGGCGATGCTCTGGCTGGGTGTGTCATAGACTGAACTGTGTTTTGTTGTTCCAGGTGGCAACAAGGCGGTGTTCTGGCTGGGTGTGTCATAGACTGAACTGTGTTTTGTTGTTCCAGGTGCCAACAAGGCGGTGTTCTGGCTGGGTGTGTCATAGACTGAACTGTGTTTTGTTGTTCCAGGTGCCAACAAGGCGATGCTCTGGCTGGGTGTGTCATGGACCGAACTGTGTTTTGTTGTTGCAGGTGCCAACAAGGCGGTGTTCTGGCTGGGTGTGTCATGGACTGAACTGTGTTTTGTTGTTCCAGGTGCCAACAAGGCGATGTTCTGGCTGGGTGTGTCATAGACTGAACTGTGGTTTGTTGTTCCAGGTGCCAACAAGGCGATGTTCTGGCTGGGTGTGTCATAGACTGAACTGTGTTTTGTTGTTCCAGGTGCCAACAAGGCGGTGTTCTGGCTGGGTGTGTCATAGATTGAACTGTGTTTTGTTGTTCCAGGTGCCAACAAGGCGATGTTCTGGCTGGGTGTGTCATGGACTCCCATGTGTTTTGTTGTTCCAGGTGCCAACAAGGCGGTGTTCTGGCTGGGTGTGTCATAGACTGAACTGTGTTTTGTTGTTCCAGGTGCCAACAAGGCGGTGTTCTGGCTGGGTGTGTCATAGACTGAACTGTGTTTTGTTGTTCCAGGTGCCAACAAGGCGATGTTCTGGCTGGGTGTGTCATAGACTGAACTGTGTTTTGTTGTTCCAGGTGCCAACAAGGCGCTGTTCTGGCTGGGTGTGTTTGGAGTCGAGGAGTCAAGAACACATGTATACGCTGTTACAGGAAGTGTTATCCAGTTCTCCGACTGGTCGAGAGGCAACCCGAGTTGGTCGCCCAGCATGGTGGACGGTAGCCTAGAAACGTGTGTCGAGTATCGCTGTGTTGCTGGCAAAATCAAGTGGAATGACAAAACGTGCTCTTCTCCCTCAGCCTTTGTCTGTGAGACCAGGGGTATGTGAGCCTAAACTATTGCGTCATGATACTCAGATGCCTCATGCCATGCGTGCCGTCTTACCCTCCATGTATCATCGCTGTCACCAGTGTGCATCATCATCATCATCATCATCATTATACTAATTACATGACATTTCAACTGAAATAGAAATTCAATTTGACAAACAAACAAACAAACAAAAGATTTTAGTTTGGGTAAAAGTATTCGATAGCGCTGGGATGGAACTTGATTGCCTCAGATCCAAGGGAAGTAACTCTGAAATGTTGTTTTGGTGATACTGAAATGGCCTCAGACCTAAGGGTGATAACTCTGGCATGTTGTGTTGATGATACTGAGATGGCCTCAGACCTATGGGGAGATAACTCTGACTTGTTGTGTTGGTGATACTGAGATTGCCTCAGACCTATGGGGAGATAACTCTGGCATGTTCTGTTGGTGATACTGAGATGGCCTCAGACCTAGGGGAGATAACTCTGGCATGTTGTGCTGGTGATACTAAGATGATATTGAGTCACGGCTCCCAACTGTGACAGAAGGACACAACCATACATGGAGTTCAGCTCGACTTACCGTTATGTTTACAAACATATGATGACTGTGGTAGCACCGAATACTCTTCCCCCAGATATCTCTTCTGTTGTTTGACCATTTGAATTTCTGTTTTATTTAAAACCATCACTAATTGGTACAGAGGGAATCTACGGGGAAAGTTGAGTGTTTTCCGTTCGTCTGCAATCTCGAACCAATCTGATGAAACAATCAAAACGTAAATGTGATGTGATTGCACACTGTGAAAATGTGATATGATTACACACTGGAAATGTAATATGATTCACATTGTGAAAATGCAATATGATTCACATTGTGAAAATGCAATATGATTGCATACTGAAAAAGTGATATGATTGCACAATATGACAATGCAATATGGTTGCACACTGTAAAAATGTAACATGATTTCACACTGGAAATGTACTTTGATTGTACACTGGAAATGTAATAGGATTGGACACTCTGAGAATGTGGTATGACAGCTTACTGTGAGAATACAGGGGGCACGGGTGGCCAAGTCGTCTAAGGCGCCGCGATTCGCTGTGCAGAGTTGCGTCCCTTGGGCACGCCAGAAACCTATGATTGTGGGTTCGAATCCCGGTCCGCCCCGATTATGTTTCTAGGTTTGTCAGCACCATACCCGTGCTCGTGGGTTTCACCGAAGTGGTAAACCTCTGAGACCTGCATCACTTCGGGCTTTCCTCCCACATTAAGCTGACACGCCGCGATATAACCGGAATACTGTTAAAAGCGGCGTTAACCCAACTCACTCACTCACTACACACTGGGCCACGGACAGGAGGAGTTCCGTCCCCTGCGTTGTTGTAGTGCTTCTATGCAGTGTTGTTTTGTATATTTCGTGTATATTTTTTTAATATGACATCACTAATATCTGTATTCAGCAACGTCTGCAGCCAACAGCACTGCAGGTGATATTTCATCGTCGACAAGCGAGAGAGTCATTGAATCCCAAACGAATGACACAAGTAAGACATTTGCCACTGCCATGACTTATTCGACCATTGCCACAGTGGCTCTCGCCTGCACTTTGATCCCGCTGTCAAAGATGTCACGTGATGCTAGATGAGAGCTTTGAACAACACCTGTTATGTTTGAGGCTGAATTACGCCATAAAAGAGAACTTGCGTGATTCGATAAGAACAAAGTAATCTTCAAGTAGCGTGACAACGGAGTGAAGGACGGAAACCCAAATCACGCTTGTATCCTTAACACACTGTGTATCTCAACAAGTACCTGTGATCATGTTCTAAGTAGGAGATTGCGGTGATTATATAGTCACATATCTCAGAATTCCTACATTTTCTTTGAACATTTTCAACGCAAATGTACTATTTCAGACTCTCTAAATTGATAAAAATCATAAAATAACAATTTGAAATAACTAAATATGATATGATATATACAGCTGTAAAGAAGAAATGACACATTTAGGTCTACCGTTTAGGAATATCTGTGTCCTGTACGACACAAGTTATTGCGAAATCTACCATTGAGTTTTCGGTTTAACGCCTCTTTGAACAATAGTTCGGTTACATCACGGAGGTATCAGCTTGATGTGGGGGAAAGCTCGGAGTGATGCAGGTTTCCGACGTTTACCATTTTGGTGAAACCAAAGAGCACGGGTATGGTGCTGACAAACCTAGAAACATAATAAGGGCGAACTGGGATTCGAACTCACGACTCACTGATGTCCGGCACAATAGGGGAAGCAACTCTGCACAGCGTTTTGCGGCGCCTTAGACGACTGGGGTACAAGCGTCCCCCATCCCTCTCAAAATACTTGAAATGAACCGAATTGCAAATGTGATAAAGCTGAAAGACAATACTGTGGATCGACTGTTATGGTCAACGAATACCAAGTGCATAGCATAACATGGTTCTACTCGCTGTCCGGTGGTGGGGTAGCCTAGTTGTTAAAGCGCTCGCTCGTCACGCTGAACACCCGGGTTCGATTCCCCAGATGGGCACAATATGTGAAGGAATTTTGCTAAAAGTGGCGTAAAACCATACTCGCTCATTTACTCGCTGCCCCCTTTATAACGCACATTAAGCGTGTGAGCTTTTCTGATGATTTTGTTTGATGATCAGACCGAAGTTGGTTCAAAGGGTGGACTCTCATTATCGCTGTCACGCCAATCTGTGCACTCTCATTTCCCCAACTGCTTCTTGTCATAGTACTGATAACAGTAACCGTGACTAAAGGTCGTCTTTGCTTGTAAACAATACCGAATCAAAGGGTTTGCTTTCCAGGATAGCACTAACTCATTCATATCGAGCTTTATATATAATCCCGACCCTGAGGCACCCCATACCAGGGTGTGAGGATGGTTTACCGCACCGTGCTGGCCCTCCGGGTCGTAGTATGGCTCATTGTAGGAGATGTTTTGTGGATGGTTCCAGGCGAAAATGGTAAAGACCCTTCCTCTACTGTGCTGAGATAGGGGTGGTGGGGTAGCTTAGCGTTCGCCCGTCACGACGAAGGCCTGGGTTCGATTCCCCACATGGGTACAATGTGTGAAGCCAACTCCCGGCGTGATGTTGCTGGAATATTGCTAAAAGCGGCGTAAAACTATACTCACTTAATCAATTTGTGATAAGTAATTAAATATAGCCACTTAAACTTAAATAGTGTAAGTATTTTATGAACGTATAATCTATTATTTCATTGAAACCTTTTAGCCTTAAACCACTTCGTAATAACACTTCCGTCGCATGTAATTGAGATGGATGGGCTTCACATATTGTATTCTTATGAGGGGGAATCGAACCCCGGTCTTCTGCGTGAAGAGCGAACGCTTTAACCATTAGGCTACCCCACCACCCCGATTCATTACTTGAGGATCTAAACTTAAGACATTAAATGAAAAGGTTATTGATAACAAGGCGTGGTGTAACAATTCGTAACTGTTGTTTTACTTATATACTGTTGTTCGTACAGAAACAGATGGCTCATGCTTTACTATGGTGGCTGAGAGGGGACATAACTTTATCGACTTTAATTATGGCCGCGGAATTGTGATAACACGTGACGAGAAAGCGATAACACGAAGCGAATTCCACGAATTCCACGAAGCGTTTTCTCGTTTTGTGCTATCACTTCATGGCACTACCGCGGCCGAAAAATCCGATAAAGCAATGGCCCCTCTCGGCCACCGTAGATACTACCTTGTTCTGACGTCACCACATCCTCCTATGTTATGCGGACACGTCAACGATACAGTCTGGATAAACGGGGTTTGACGTGCAAACTGTCTTTGAGGGCTTTGCTGACATAATGTATCTTAGTTACAGATTTGTCAGGATGTGGCGAGGCACAGTTGCGTGTTGCCAACAAATGTTTTCATTTCAACGACTATGGCCGAACATGGGAGGAAGCAAAGGTAACTTGTCAGGAGGTGTACGGGGGAATGTTGGCCCAACCAGACACTGCTGAGAACAAGGCAATCAAGGACTACGTGATGGGAGTGACCGATCAATGTAAGAACGCGGTTTCACATTCTCTCAGAAATAATATACTGAAAATATATGAAAATATTTTATATAAGGCGATACAGACTGAAAAGAAAACGAATTTTTTTCATTAAAATGAAAATACAGTAAACTACGGTTATAACGAACACGCTTATAACGAACTGACGGATATAACGAACTTACTTTTTGGTCCCGACTACTTGCTGTAGTCATGCTGTATATGTACTTATCACGAACTACGGCTATAGCGAACTAAAATTAGTAGTCCCTTTGAGTTCGTTATAACCGTAGTTTACTGTATTAAGAAACGCAATACTAACTGCAAACAAATAATAGACAATACTATACCGAAAATACGAAATACTGATAATAGAGATAAATCTACTGTGTTTGGAAATTTGAGGTAGTCTAACTCTAGATTAGATACCTGTTATCTTAACGTGGAACCGAGCGCTATAGATACCTTAAGTTTTAAATGACATTAGGCTTGTCTCCATGTTACCATGACGACAAGGACGCTGCCTCATACTCGGTGATCTTTTGAAACTCGTAACTAAACCTCATGAAATAATTCAAAGATGTCTAGTTAATTTTATGACATCCTGTTGTATGTATTGCACACCGCTGAGTGGACTCCACTGTGAGTGAGTGAGTGAGTGAGTGGGGTTTTACGCCGCTTTTAGCAATATTCCAGCAATATCACGGCGGGGGACACCAGAAATGGGCTTCACACATTGTACCCATGTCGGGAATCGAACCCGGGTCTTCGGCGTGACGAGCGAACGCTTGAACCACTAGGCTACCCGACCGCCCCGGACTCCACTGTGTCATGCCTTGGGGATTATCGTGATGCTTCCCACTGTACGGGCGGCTTAGAGAAATAGTGACAAAAATGCTGAACTTATTTATAAAAAAAACCCACCAAAATTAAATAACAGGTTTTTAGCTATTTGAAGTTGTAGGTATGTGAGTTTGTAATAACTCCCCAACAGTAAAATACACATTGAACCTAACTGCCTCTTCATCCCGGGCTTTCGCGTGCTGAACGTGACGAACACGTCGTTGCTCTTTACTGTCCGTTAACGTGACGTACATGCCGTTACTGTCCATAAACTTGACGTACAAGTCGTTACTCTTTACTCTCCATGAACGTGACGTACATGTCGCTACTCTTTACTGTCCGTGAATGTGACGTACATGTCGATACTCTTTACTATCTATAAACGTGACGTACGTGTCGTTACGCTTTACTGTATATGAACGTGACGTACATGTCGTCACTCTTTACTGTCCATAAAGGTGACTTACAAATGTTTACTCTTTACTGTCCATGAACGAGACGTGTATGTCGTTACTCTTTACTGTCCATGAATGTGACGTACATGTCGTTACTCTTTTTCTTTCAAGAAATTGTCTTAAATGTCGTTACTCTTTACTGTCCGTTAACGTGACGTACCTGTCGTCACTCTTTTCCTTCCCAGAACTTATCGCACATGTCGTTACTCTTTACTGTCCACGAACGTGACGTACATGTCGTTACTCTTAACTGTCTATCGCCGTGACGTACTCGTCGTTACTATTTTTTACTACATGTAGGTAGCCTAATGGTTGAAGCGTTTGCTCGTACATTCCGTGACACCAATGGTTATCCTCACTCACTCACTCACTCACTCACTCACTCACTCACTGTGCTCATTGGCTAATGAACATTTCAACGTTTCAACGTTTCTGTTGCGTATCAGTAAAGTAACAATTTCTCTGATAGGCAATTAGAAATAGAAAAAACAAGAGAAATTAAACTACCCGATTCGTAACTTGTTAAATACAAACGATTTAACTGGTCCGGATAAAATGTTATTGCTGTTTCCATGGCACAGGTCAGAACATGAGGTCATACTGGTTTGGTATGAACCAAAACTCCAACACATCGTGGATCTTCGCTGCGGGTGACGACCCCCCAACCTTTTTGGATTGGCACCCTGATGAACCGAGCTATTATGACAATAACCGTAATCCGGAAGGATGTGTTGAATACCAGTGTCTGGCGTACAGAGGAAGCATCGCATGGAATGACAGATCCTGCGAGCATCAGGTGTCCTTCATCTGTGAAAACACGGGTATGTTGGATCTTTTCACTTCCGTTTCAGACTCAATTATGAACGGTCAAGCAAATGTTTCAAATCTCAACGTTCAGTGTTCATCTCATTAAAACTAAACTCATTCAATCAGTTCAGTGTACATCTCATTCAATCAGTTCAGTGTTCATCTCATTAAAACAGTTCAGTGTGCATCTCATTCAGTCAGTTCAGTGTACATCTCATTCAGTCAGTTCAGTGTACATCTCATTCAGTCAGTTCAGTGTATAACTCATTCGGTTCAGTGTACATCTCATTCAGTTCAGTGTACATCTCATTCAATCAGTTCAGTGTACATCTCATTCAGTTCAGTGTACATCTCATTCAGTCAGTTCAGTGTACATCTCATTCAGTCAGTTCAGTGTACATCTCATTCAGTTCAGTTTACATCTCATTCAGTTCAGTGTACATCTCATTCAGTCAGTTCAGTGTACATCTCATTCAGTCAGTTCAGTGTACATCTCATTCAGTCAGTTCAGTGTAGATCTCATTCAGATAGTTCAGTGTACATCTCATTCATTCAGTTCAGTGTACATCTCATTCAGTTCAGTGTACATATCATTCAGTCAGTTCATTGTACATCTCATTCAGTCAGTTCAGTGTACATCTCATTCAGTTCAGTGTACATCTCATTCAGTTCAGTGTACATCTCATTCAGTTCAGTTTACATCTCATTCAGTTCAGTGTACATCTCATTCAGTCAGTTCAGTGTACATCTCATTCAGTCAGTTCAAAGTTCATCTCATTAAAACAGTTCAGTGTACATCTCATTCAGTCAGTTCAGTGTACATCTCATTCAGTCAGTTCAGAGTTCATCTCATTAAAACAGTTCAGTGTACATCTCATTCAATCAGTTCAGTGTACATCTCATTCAGTCAGTTCAGTGTACATCTCATTCAGTCAGTTCAGTGTACATCTCATTCAGTCAGTTCAGTGTTCATCTCATTCAGTCAGTTCAGTGTACATCTCATTCAATCAGTTCAGTGTACATCTCATTCAGTCAGTTCAGAATACATCTCATTCAGTTCAGTGTAAATCTCATTCAGTTTAGTGTACATCTCATTCAATCAGTTCAGTGTAAATCTCATTCAGTTCAGTGTACATCTCATTCAAACAGTTCAGTGTTCATCTCATTCAGTTCAGTGTACATCTCATTCAGTCAGTTCAGTGTACATCTCATTCAGTCAGTTCAGTGTACATCTCATTCAGTCAGTTCAGTGTACATCTCATTCAGTCAGTTCAGAGTTCATCTCATTAAAACAGTTCAGTGTACATCTCATTCAGTCAGTTCAGTGCACATCTGATGCTGGGATGTTGTATGGATATATTCGTTCAGCGGCAGATGCAAAATCATATATTTTTGTAAACTAATGTTACAAGAATGTAAGTTTTGATGCAGACAATATAGTAACTGCTGCATGTATTCGCGGAGGATGTCTTCACACTAACGAAGTATTGGCGCTGTGAAGGTGCGTTAAAGTACGTGAGTTATACACGATCGCAGTTGGTCTATCCGACTGAAAATAAACACGTGTTGGTATAACACCACAAAGCTACGGCGGATGTCTACACACTAGTGAAGTACTGGCGCTGTGTAGGTGCACATGTGGAACTCATTTGTGACATGAACGTCCTATCGGCCTCCTTTCTGCCTCCAGTGTCCACTCCCGCGCCAACACCCGCCACTACTCCAGCACCACAATCAGTACCAGACGCAGGGGAGGGTGGAGCAACTTCACAGAACAACTCGTCTGACTTGCACAATGGTCAGACACTGAATGGAACTACAAGTAAGAAGTGTGCATGTCTCTTGTGTTGCTCAGAGCGTCGTGTCAGTTTTATGTGGAAGACCCAAGACGCTCAAGGATTAGCAAGGCGGGGATTCGAATCCTCTTTTTAACATACAGCTGTAAGGGTACCTGTAAGTTAACGCCTACAACCTGCAGCTGTAAGGGTACCCGTAAGTAAACGCCTACAACCTGCAGCTGTAAGAGTGCCCGTTAGTAAGCGCCCCCAATCTGCATCTGTAAGGGTGTCCGTTAGTAAACGCCCCCAATCTGTATCTGTAAGGGTGCCCGTTAGTAAGCGCCCCCAATCTGCATCTGTAAGGGTGCCCGTTAGTAAACGCCTTCAATCAGCAGCTGTAAGGGTGCCCGTTAGTAAACGCCTTCAATCAGCAGCTGTAAGGGTGCCCGTTAGTAAACGCCCCCAATCTGCATCTGTAAGGGTGCCCGTTAGTAAACGCCTTCAATCAGCAGCTGTAAGGGTGCCCGTTAGTAAACGCCTTCAATCAGCAGCTGTAAGGGTGCCCGTTAGTAAACGCCTTCAATCTGCAGCTGTAAGGGTGCCCGTAAATAAACGCCTACAATTTGCAGCTGTAAGGGTACCCGTAAGTAAACACCTACAATCTGCAGCTGTAAGGGTACCCGTAAGTAAACGCCTACAACCTGCAGCTGAAAGGGTGCCCGTTAGTAAACGCCTTCAAACTGCAGCTGTAAGGGTACCCGTAAGTAAACGCCTTCAATCTGCAGCTGTAAGGGTGCCCGTAAGTAAACGCCTACAATTTGCAGCTGTAAGGGTACCCGTAAGTAAAAACCTACAATCTGCAGCTTTAAGGGTACCCGTAAGTAAACGCCTTCAATCTGCAGCTGAAAGGGTGCCCGTTAGTAAACGCCTTCAAACTGCAGCTGTAAGGATACCCGTAAGTTAACGCCTTCAATCTGCAGCTGTAAGGGTGCCAGTTAGTAAACGCCTTCAATCTGCAGCTGTAAGGGTGCCCGTAAATAAACGCCTACAATTTGCAGCTGTCAGGGTACCCGTAAGTAAACACCTACAATCTGCAGCTGTAAGGGTAACCGTAAGTAAACGCCTACAACCTGCAGCTGTAAGGGTGCCCGTTAGTAAACGCCTTCAATCTACAGCTGTTGGGGTACCCGTAAGTAAACGTCTTCAATCAGCAGCTGTAAGGGTATCCGTAACTAAACGCCTACAATCTGCAGCTGTAAGGGTACCCGTAAGTAAACGCCTACAACCTGCAGCTGAAAGGGTGCCCGTTAGTAAACGCCTTCAAACTGCAGCTGTAAGGGTACCCGTAAGTAAACGCCTTCAATCTGCAGCTGTAAGGGTGCCCGTTAGTAAACGCCTTCAAACTGCAGCTGTAAGGGTACCCGTAAGTAAACACCTACAATCTGCAGCTGTAAGGGTGCCAGTTAGTAAACGCCTTCAATCTGCAGCTGTAAGGGTGCCCGTAAATAAACGCCTACAATTTGCAGCTGTAAGGGTACCCGTAAGTAAACGTCTTCAATCAGCAGCTGTAAGGGTATCCGTAAGTAAACGCCTACCACCTGCAGCTGTAAGGGTACCCGTAAGTAAACGCCTTAAAGTCCTACAACCTACATCACTTTCCCCTCGATTTAAACTGACACCCCGTGATATATGAGAAATACTGTTCAAACTGACATTACTCACTCCACAGCAGGCCCGCTATTCGATGAGAAATGCAGTTTAGCCGAGTCGATTTCAATCTCATTAAAATCAAATCTTTGTTTTCGCTACAAAGATCTGAGGACACGCCATTTAGGATCACGTCAGAACGACCTTTCGCGAATTTTGACCGACCAATGAAATGACTGACAAGAAATCGTCATTAGCCAATCAGAAGGCAGCATTCTCGTGCTTTACGACACTAGTTTCAAACTGGCGACTACGCTTCGAAACATATTTTTACTTTAAAAAAAAATTAAAACTGATAAGAAGAACATTCTGGAATTTCTTATAGATGGCCTAGATTGTATGGATATAATCATAAAACCCGTAACTGTCGTTCGGAATACCCCATGTTAAATATTTCGTGGTTGCATGATTAGAAAACACATTCCGACTGTCACTTTCATGATCTGGTAAGCGACGCTCTGATTGGTTGGGTGAAAGGTCGTTCTGACGTGACCCTTAATGGGATGTCCTCAGATCTTTGTTCAGCGATAGCTAGAACTAAGATCTGATTTTAATGAGATTGAATCGATTTTCTCTATTTTTAGATATGAAATCCGAATCGAACCAGCTGGAGGCCCTGAGACCAGCTGCAGCTGTTGGGGTGGGTTGTGTCAGTCTTTTGTGGATGCACCGCATGCTGTGAGGAGACAACTAAACCCCTGTGTACGTGGAGTCGTGTTCTTGTACCACGAAACAGTAAAATTTGCTTTTATTTCATCGTCGTGCATTTTATATAATTAGAAATAATTATTACATATTTAATATCCAGTTGAGAGATTGTCTTCCCAGCAGATACCAGTTGAGAGTTTGTCTCCGTCGGCGGTCGCATTTGAGAGCTTGCCAGGAGGGTACTTATTCACTTTTAACATCTACCTCACAGCCAGGTGTGCCACCCAATACACATTCTAGTCGCCGCTTGCGAATTGGGGACAGTTAAGCGTTGGATCAATGAAGGATGTTTTTGAATGAGGTTTTACTCCCCTTCGTATCAGAAGTGGCTTCACACATTGCAGCTATAGAGGGAATCGAACCCAGGTCTACGGCGAGACAAACCATCGCTTTAACCGTGACTTGGCCACTAACCACCACCTTTAAGGAATCTTAGGTCAGGTGAAATGGGGTTTAACGTTGCGACCATGATTATTGCACTTCTATAGAGACGTACATGCAGGTGTGTGTGTGGCTGCTTGTACTAGTCCGGACTAATGCCAGGCCACTGAGTTACCATGCCGTAGTTTAACATGAATACCCCACTCAGATATTGTATACTAACGCGGTCGGGGATTGAACCCCGGACCTTGTGCTCTCCTGGCGGACGCTCTTCCACTAGACCACGGAGGCGGTCTGATGAATCTTATTGAAAGAGATTTAAACATTTGAACCTGTGTCAGAGATACATGTTTATAATTATCTAGGAAGTTAATTCAAAGGAGGACACCATACAGATGACAAAACATGACAAACCGTTCTCGTGGCCAAATCTAACTGAGCCATAAGTGTCACATCCGTGAGTGAGTGAGTGATCGAGTGGTCGAGTGAGTGAGTGAGTGATCGAGTGAGTGAGTGAGTGAATGAGTGAGTGATCGAGTGAGTTAGTGAGTGAGTGTGTGAGTGAGTGAGTGAGTGAGTGATCGAGTGAGTGAGTGAGTGAGTGAGTGAGTGAGCGAGCGAGTGAGCCAAACTCCGCCTTCAACACTAGTCAGTTATGTAAGTTAATAACCCGGCTTGTCGTGAGATCAGGTGATCAGGAAACACACAGCAACGTGCGACCCATGATTATTGATGAACTGGTGCAATCAAACAAAATATCCAATTTTAAGGTCAACATAGAGCCAGGATTACAATCATGGAGCATGAGATGGCCATACATGTGTCCCTTGGAACAAGCCCTTGCTATACATTCAACCCTGATATCTGTACATGTGTCCCACGGAACTTGGAACAAGCCCTTCCTATACATTCAACCCTGATATCTGTACATGTGTCCCACGGAACTTGGAACAAGCCCTTGCTATACATTCAACCCTGATATCTGTACATGTGTCCCACAGAACTTGGAACAAGCCCTTGCTATGCATTCAACCCTGACATCTATACATGTGTCCCACGGAACAAGCCCTTGCTATACATTCAACCCTGATATCTATACATGTGTCCCACGGAACTTGGAACAAGCCCTTGCTATACATTCAACCCTGATATCTATACATGTGTCCCACGGAACTTGGAACAAGCCCTTGCTATACATTCAACCCTGATATCTATAAATGTGTCCCACGGAACTTGGAACAAGCCCTTGCTATACATTCAACCCTGATATCTGTATATGTGTCCCACGGAACTTGGAACAAGCCCTTGCTATACATTCAACCCTGATATCTATACATGTGTCCCACGGACCTTGGAACAAGCCCTTGCTATACATTCAACCCTGATATCTGTACATGTGTCCCACGGACCTTGGAACAAGCCCTTGCTATACATTCAACCCTGATATCTGTACATGTGTCCCACGGACCTTGGAACAAGCCCTTGCTATACATTCAACCCTGATATCTGTACATGTGTCCCACGGACCTTGGAACAAGCCCTTGCTATACATTCAACCCTGATATCTATACATGTGTCCCTTGGAACTTGGAACAAGCCCTTGCTATACATTCAACCCTGATATCTGTACATGTGTCCCACGGAACTTGGAACAAGCCCTTGCTATACATTCAACCCTGATATCTGTACATGTGTCCCACGGAACTTGGGATAATTCCTTGCTATACATTTAACCCTGATATCTGTACATGTGTCCCACGGACCTTGGAACAAGCCCTTGCTATACATTTAACCCTGATATCTGTACATGTGTCCCACGGAACTTGGAACAAGCCCTTGCTATACATTCAACCCTGATATCTGTATATGTGTCCCACGGAACTTGGAACAAGCCCTTCCTATACATTCAACCCTGATATCTATACATGTGTCCCACGGAACTTGGAACAAGCCCTTGCTATACATTTAACCCTGATATCTATACATGTGTCCCACAGACCTTGGGATAATTCCTTGCTATACATTTAACCCTGATATCTGTACATGTGTCCCACGGACCTTGGAACAAGCCCTTGCTATACATTTAACCCTGATATCTGTACATGTGTCCCACGGAACTTGGAACAAGCCCTTGCTATACATTCAACCCTGATATCTGTATATGTGTCCCACGGAACTTGGAACAAGCCCTTACTATACATTCAACCCTGATATCTATACATTTGTCCCACGGACCTTGGAACAAGCCCTTGCTATACATTCAACCCTGATATCTATACATGTGTCCCGCGGAACTTGGAACAAGCCCTTACCATACATTCAACCCATGATATCTGTACATGTGTCCCATGGACCTTGGAACAAGCCCTTGCTGTACATTCAACCCTGATATCTATACATGTGTCCCACGGACCTTGGAACAAGCCCTTACCATACATTCAACCCAGATATCTTTACATGTGTCCCACGGACCTTGGCACAAGCCCTTACCATACATTCAACCCTGATATTGTGGCTGATACATGTGTCCCTTGGAACAAGCCCTTGCTATACATTCAACCCTGATATCTATACATGTGTCCCACGGACCTTGGAACAAGCCCTTGCTATACATTCAACCCTGATATCTATACATGTGTCCCACGGACCTTGGAACAAGCCCTTGCTATACATTCAACCCTGATATCTATACATGTGTCCCACGGACCTTGGAACAAGCCCTTACTATACATTCAACCCTGATATCTATACATGTGTCCCACGGACCTTGGAACAAGCCCTTGCTATACATTCAACCCTGATATCTATACATGTGTCCCTTGGAACTTGGAACAAGCCCTTGCTATACATTCAACCCTGATCTCTGTATATGTGTCCCACGGACCTTGGAACAAGCCCTTGCTATACATTCAACCCTGATATCTGTACATGTGTCCCACGGAACTTGGAACAAGCCCTTGCTATACATTTTACCTTGATATCTATACATGTGTCCCTTGGAACTTGGAACAAGCCCTTGCTATAAATTCAACCCTGATATCTGTATATGTGTCCCACGGACCTTGGAACAAGCCCTTGCCATACATTTAACCTTGATATCTATACATGTGTCCCTTGGAACTTGGAACAAGCCCTTGCTATACATTCAACCCTGATATCTGTATATGTGTCCCACGGAACTTGGAACAAGCCCTTGCTATACATTTAACCCTGATATCTATACATGTGTCCCACGGAACTTGGAACAAGCCCTTGCTATACATTTAACCCTGATATCTGTACATGTGTCCCACGGAACTTGGAACAAGCCCTTGCTATACATTCAACCCTGATATCTGTACATGTGTCCCACGGAACTTGGAACAAGCCCTTGCTATACATTTAACCCTGATATCTATACATGTGTCCCACGGACCTTGGAACAAGCCCTTGCTATACATTCAACCCTGATATCTATACATGTGTCCCACGGACCTTGGAACAAGCCCTTGCTATACATTTAACCCTGATATCTGTACATGTGTCCCACGGACCTTGGAACAAGCCCTTGCTATACATTTAACCCTGATATCTGTACATGTGTCCCACGGAACTTGGAACAAGCCCTTGCTATACATTTTACCTTGATATCTATACATGTGTCCCTCGGAACTTGGAACAAGCCCTTGCTATACATTTTACCTTGATATCTATACATGTGTCCCTTGGAACTTGGAGCAAGCCCTTACCATACATTCAACCCTGATATCTATACATGTGTCCCTTGGAACTTGGAACAAGCCCTTGCTATACATTCAACCCTGATATCTGTATATGTGTCCCACGGGCCTTGGAGCAAGCCCTTGCTATACATTTAACCCTGATATCTGTACATGTGTCCCACGGAACTTGGAACAAGCCCTTGCTATACATTTTACCTTGATATCTATACATGTGTCCCTCGGAACTTGGAACAAGCCCTTGCTATACATTTTACCTTGATATCTATACATGTGTCCCTCGGACCTTGGAACAAGCCCTTGCTATACATTTAACCCTGATATCTGTACATGTGTCCCACGGAACTTGGAACAAGCCCTCTATACATTTTACCTTGATATCTATACATGTGTCCCTCGGAACTTGGAACAAGCCCTTGCTATACATTTTACCTTGATATCTATACATGTGTCCCTTGGAACTTGGAGCAAGCCCTTACCATACATTCAACCCTGATATCTATACATGTGTCCCTTGGAACTTGGAACAAGCCCTTGCTATACATTCAACCCTGATATCTGTATATGTGTCCCACGGGCCTTGGAGCAAGCCCTTACCATACATTTAACCCTGATATCTATACATGTGTCCCACGGAACTTGGAACAAGCCCTTGCTATACATTTAACCTTGATATCTATACATGTGTCCCTTGGAACTTGGAACAAGCCCTTGCTATACATTCAACCCTGATATCTGTATATGTGTCCCACGGACCTTGGAACAAGCCCTTGCTATACATTTAACCTTGATATCTATAAATGTGTCCCACGGGCCTTGGAACAAGCCCTTGCTATACATTCAACCCTGATATCTATACATGTGTCCCTTGGAACTTGGAACAAGCCCTTGCTATACATTCAACCCTGATATCTGTATATGTGTCCCACGGACCTTGGAACAAGCCCTTGCCATACATTTAACCCTGATATCTATACATGTGTCCCACGGAACTTGGAACAAGCCCTTGCTATACATTCAACCCTGATATCTATACATGTGTCCCACGGAACTTGGAACAAGCCCTTGCTATACATTCAACCCTGATATCTATAAATGTGTCCCACGGAACTTGGAACAAGCCCTTGCTAAAGATTCAACCCTGATATCTATACATGTGTCCCACGGACCTTGGAACAAGCCCTTGCTATACATTCAACCCTGATATCTGTATATGTGTCCCACGGAACTTGGAACAAGCCCTTGCTATACATTCAACCCTGATATCTGTACATGTGTCCCTTGGAACTTGGAACAAGCCCTTGCTATACATTCAACCCTGATATCTATACATTTGTCCCACGGACCTTGGAACAAGCCCTTGCTATACATTTAACCCTGATATCTATACATGTGTCCCACGGAACTTGGAACAAGCCCTTGCTATACATTTAACCCTGATATCTGTATATGTGTCCCACGGACCTTTGAACAAGCCCTTGCCATACATTTAACCCTGATATCTATACATGTGTCCCACGGAACTTGGAACAAGCCCTTGCTATACATTCAACCCTGATATCTATACATGTGTCCCACGGAACTTGGAACAAGCCCTTGCTATACATTTTACCTTGATATCTGTACATGTGTCCCTTGGAACTTGGAACAAGCCCTTACCATACATTTAACACTGATATCTATACATGTGTCCCACGGAACTTGGAACAAGCCCTTGCTATACATTTAACCTTGATATCTATACATGTGTCCCACGGACCTTGGAACAAGCCCTTGCTATACATTTAACCCTGATATCTATACATGTGTCCCACGGAACTTGGAACAAGCCCTTGCTATACATTTTACCTTGATATCTGTACATGTGTCCCTTGGAACTTGGAACAAGCCCTTACCATACATTTAACCCTGATATCTATACATGTGTCCCTTGGAACTTGGAACAAGCCCTTGCTATACATTCAACCCTGATATCTATAAATGTTTCCCACGGAACTTGGAACAAGCCCTTGCTAAAGATTCAACCCTGATATCTATACATGTGTCCCACGGAACTTGGAACAAGCCCTTGCTATACATTCAACCCTGATATCTGTACATGTGTCCCACGGAACTTGGAACAAGCCCTTGCTATACATTCAACCCTGATATCTGTATATGTGTCCCACGGACCTTGGAACAAGCCCTTGCTATACATTCAACCCTGATATCTGTATATGTATCCGACGGGCCTTGGAACAAGCCCTTGCTATACATTTAACCCTGATATCTGTACATGTGTCCCACGGAACTTGGAACAAGCCCTTGCTATACATTTAACCCTGATATCTGTACATGTGTCCCACGGAACTTGGAACAAGCCCTTGCTATACATTTTACCTTGATATCTATACATGTGTCCCTTGGAACTTGGAACAAGCCCTTACCATACATTCAACCCTGATATCTATACATGTGTCCCACGGAACTTGGAACAAGCCCTTGCTATACATTTAACCTTGATATCTATACATGTGTCCCACGGACCTTGGAGCAAGCCCTTACCATACATTTAACCCTGATATCTATACATGTGTCCCACGGAACTTCGAACAAGCCCTTGCTATACATTTAGCCTTGATATCTATACATGTGTCCCTCGGAACTTGGAACAAGCCCTTGCTATACATTTTACCTTGATATCTATACATGTGTCCCTTGGAACTTGGAACAAGCCCTTACCATACATTCAACCCTGATATCTATACATGTGTCCCGCGGACCTTGGAACAAGCCCTTGCTATACATTTAACCCTGATATCTATACATGTGTCCCACGGAACTTGGAACAAGCCCTTGCTATACATTTTACCTTGATATCTATACATGTGTCCCTTGGAACTTGGAACAAGCCCTTACCATACATTCAACCCTGATATCTATACATGTGTACCGCGGACCTTGGAACAAGCCCTTGCTATACATTTAACCTTGATATCTATACATGTGTCCCTTGGAACTTGGAACAAGCCCTTGCTATACATTCAACCCTGATATCTGTATATGTGTCCCACGGAACTTGGAACAAGCCCTTGCTATACATTCAACCCTGATATCTATACATGTGTCCCACAGAACTTGGAACAAGCCCTTGCTATACATTCAACCCTGATATCTGTATATGTGTCCCACGGAACTTGGAACAAGCCCTTGCTATACATTTAACCCTGATATCTATACATGTGTCCCACAGAACTTGGAACAAGCCCTTGCTATACATTCAACCCTGATATCTGTATATGTGTCCCACGGACCTTGGAACAAGCCCTTGCTATACATTCAACCCTGATATCTATAAATGTGTCCCACGGAACTTGGAACAAGCCCTTACCATACATTCAACCCTGATATCTATACATGTGTCCCACGGACCTTGGAACAAGCCCTTGCTATACATTCAACCCTGATATCTATACATGTGTCCCGCGGACCTTTGAACAAGCCCGTGCTATACATTTAACCCTGATATCTATAAATGTGTCCCACGGAACTTGGAACAAGCCCTTGCTAAAGATTCAACCCTGATATCTATACATGTGTCCCACGGAACTTGGAACAAGCCCTCTATACATTCAACCCTGATATTGTGGCTGATAAAAAAAATATATACTCAGTCTGGATAAAAGTACACATTTATTATACACACCACCATTAAACATCATCATCATCATCATAATAATAATAATATACAGAGAAACAACTATTACTAGATTTGTGTATCGTCGTCACATCCTGGTTTCCATCGGACGTTACCAGGCCTACCAGGAATCTCTTTGAAGAATGACTTGAAGATACGATCCATGTGTTAAGACGACTGAGAGGTCTGGCAAAGTAAAACAGCTAAGAAACCCTGATCTTACTGTAAGTAAGCAATGCATGAATGCTGTCTCGTGTTTAGATACAAAGAGAATTATCACTCCTGAACAGAAGACTTTATAATTAAGAAGTATCATTGGTTCCATATTATGAAGCTGGGAATCAATTGTTCTCATTCAACTGTTGGTGTGTTAGCCTATAATGTACCTTCAAACACATAAACAAGATAAAACTGAAATGAGAAAAAACTAACACTTTGTTTGGCTGAACCATGATAAAGAAACACGATTGTTGTTTCCTCGTTGCGGAAGTGACGTCATCACCTCAATCTCACATAGTCTAACTTAGCACAGAACATTGTTTTGTATATAACTGACTGTTGTTTATAAGCTGTTTTACTTAAGTTGGATTGGCCAGTAAAATGTCCCTTCTCTACAATCGCTTGAAAGAACAGGCCGCAGGGCAGATAACTCTACCCCCATTGACTGTACTTGAACGCGGGTCTGAAGCAGTATCGCTCTACCAGTCGGTAGACCTGACACTTGACATAGTCCGCCCCGCACGTGTTGAGGAGAGCTCCGGGCTGGGAGGGGCAGCTGACCTGCTGGTACATCCCCCGCAAACACACGTGGCTGATGGGGTTGCCGAATGTGTAGATGAAGGTTTGGTAGTGGGAGCAAGGTTTGAAACCTGTTGGAAAATATTGGAAAATTGTATCACATTTTTCAATCACAACTTATACACTTGTCGCTTTGTCTTTATGAGTGAGTGAGTGAGTGCATGAGTGAGTGAGTGATGACAGCGATTTCATCGGGCTTATGATACATGTGTGCGTATATCGATATTCACCTGAGGTAAGATACGTCGGACGATATCGGTCTTCAGGTACATGACATCGGTAAATATCTTACGTTACGATACGCGGGACGATATTATGCGAAGTTGCGACAAAGAAGAGGATATTAAAATACATCAGACAATATCTGTCTCATCAGGGAACGATACGGAGGACGATATTAACCTCAGGGTTTGTTTGTTTGTTTGTCTGTTTGTTGTTTAATTGCGCACTCAGCACTATTCCAGCTTTATGACGGCAGTCTGTGAATAGTCAAGTATGGACCGGACAAACCAGTGATTGACATCATGAGCATCGATCTACGCAATTAGGATACGATGACATGCATCAACCAAGTCTGCGAGCCTGCCCACTAGATCTCGTTAGCCTCTTACGACAGGCATGGGTTGCTGAAGACCTATTCTATCCCGGATCTTCATGGGTGTCAGTGTACGATTGGGGGTGGTGGGGGGCGATATTAACTTCAGGGTACGATACATCGTGTCATTTATACTCAAATATTTCCAGGGCGGTCGGGTAGCCTAGTGGTTAAAGCTTTCGCTCGTCACGCCGAAGACCCGGGTTCTATTCCCGACATGGGTACAATGTGCGAAGCCCATTTCTGGGGTCCCCCGCCGTGATATTGCTAGAATATTGCTAAAAGCGGCGTGAAACCATACTCAGTCAGTCAGTCAAATATTTCCAATAGACATCTTTATGAATCTGACGGATATTCAATCTCAAATGCAATACAAAGCTTGAGTTACTAGTACAATTTCGAACGTGGGACAGCCTAGTGGTCAAAGCGATCACTCGTCACGCCGAAAACCCGGTTTCGATTCCGCTCATGGGTACAATGTGGTAAGCCCATTTCTAGAGTCCCCGTGATATTGCTGGAAATTTGCTAAAAGTGGCGTAAAACAAAATACACCCTCCCCTGTGGGCAGCGTTATGCCGGAAGAATGTCGAGATGGAGAATACTTACAGTGACCCCCTTGGCCGTTACATATCTCGGTCCTCGTTTCCGTCAGGGGTTCATCGCAGAGTCCAGTGGGTGTACAGGGCCGTGTCCGAGTGGAGTGGAGTGTCCCTTGACCACAGAACTGGGAGCAGGTGCCCGCTGTCCACGAGGCCCATGTTCCTATAGCTGTAGCAGAGAGAATAACGTGAGACGATCTTGTCATTAGAATCTTCAACATAATATGACCACTGTCTTTAATCACACCAAAACCCGTGAAGATCCGGGTTAGAATAGACCTTTAGCAACCCATGCTTGACGTAAGAAGCGACTATGCTTGTCGTCAGAGGCGATGAATTGGATCGGGTGGTCAGGCTCGCTGACCTGGTTGATGCATGTCATCGGATCCCATTTGCGAATCGGGGCGGTCGGGTAGCCTAGTGGTCCCGACATGGGTACAATGTGTGAAGCCCATTTCTGGTGTCCCACGCCGTGATATTGTTGGAATATTGCTAAAAGCGGCGTAAAACCATACTCACTCACTCACCCATTTGCGAGTCTGACACATGATGAATGGCCAAACCTTGGCATCTCCTGCATGAACGGAGTTTCCGAGGAGTGAAAAATAAAAATTTAATAAAATTTAGGGCTTGGCATAAGAGTGGGTGAGTGAGTGAGTTGGGTTTAACGCCGCTTTTTAACAGTATTACAGTTATATCGCGGCGTGTCAGCATCATGTGGGAGGAAGGCCCGAAGTGATGCAGGTCTCAGACGTTAACCACTTTGGTGAAACCCACGCGCACGGGTGTGGTGCTGACAAACCTAGAAACATAATCGGGGCGAATCGGGATTCGAACCCACAATCATATGTTTCTGGCGTGCCCATGGGACGCAACTCTGCACAACGAATTGCGTGCCCCCTGCGTGGCATACGTTACAAGATCCGACAGAAATGCTGTGAACACACAATGCCATTTAGAAAATCGTCAAATGTAACAAATGTTTACTAAGAAAGTGTTATCCCAAATATAACATGTGTTACATTTGACCACTTTCTAAATGGCATCGTGCGTTCATAGCTTTCGGCCATGGGAGCCGTGCCAACTTACACTTGTCAGAGGGGTACACAACTTACGTGATCTAGATTACCGGTTGTCGGACTTTCATTTTTTGTGGAAGCCTCGGTGGCTGAATGGGTTAGATCGCTGACTTTGTGTGCTGGCGATTAGTCGCCTCGCTATGGCAGTGTGGGTTCGAACCCCGGACGGGATTCAACCCCAAAACGTAAGAGAATCTGTACTTTACTAAGAAAGTGTTATCCCAAATATAATATTCGCGAACACCTGGTGTCATTGTGGTCATTGAAACGTGACACTTACTTCCTGTGCACGCGATTCCCGAGTTGCACGTGGTCGACTCCTGCTCGACTTCCTGAAAGCGACTGCCGGGTGGTGGGCGGTACGCAGGCCGCAGACAGGCACGAGTTCTCTGCCGCTGTTGAACCCCAGCCCCACAGGTGGCGTCACAGGAGGTCAAAGTTGATAAGGAGCCCCAGTTGCTCCAGTAATCTGAAATAAAACGGTTTGTTTTTAATTTGTCCGTTTTTATTTTATCAAAATCATCAGATCCACCCGTGTTCATGCATTTAAATAAAGCGACAAACCCTTTCCATTTTCAACAATAATCTCTACATAAAGCAGAGTCGATAGTACGATTCCGACTAAATCATGAGCATGTGTTTATGAATCACTATCAAAGAACGATGACACCAGGTGTTCGCGAAAAGATGTATTCTGCGTAGTCACCCATTCAATACTGTGGCCTCCATTGTGACCACATTCGCTGTGCAGAGTTGCGTCCCTTGGGCACGCCAGGAACCTGTGATTGTAGGTTCGAATCCCGGTCCGCCCCGATTATGTTTCTAGGTTTGTCAGCACCATTACCGTGCTCGTGGGTTTCACCGAAGTGGTAAACGTCTGAAACCTGCATCACTTCGGGCTTTCCTCCCACATTAAGCTGACACGCCGCGATATAACTGGAATACTGTCAGAAGCGGTGTTAAACCCAGCTCACTCAGTCACTCACTCCATAGTGACCAGGCAATCCCCGATTAAGCCTGCTCCAAATACAACGCTCCATCAGTGCATTTGCTATCTGAGAGTCAATCATTTTGTTTTCAAGATCTGTGTATTTGACATTTTACTTAAGAAATTTAGTTTCAAAACAGAGTGACTGGATGTTGTTATATTCCGCAGTGGGCAATACTGAATCTGTAACACGGATATATGGCCATACTTACAACAGCGCGTCGAGTTAAGTCTGAAATGAAATAAAATATTCATTCAATGTTTGTCGTTTAAATAATTATTATGATATTATGTAGGAATTATGAGATATATGACACGCTATTGACGTGTCATGATAAATTAAGCGCCGAACACATCAGCACAATAATGTTACAATCAGGCAGGTCACAGAAGTATCAAGTGATATTATCGTGGGTGTTTTTAGTATTTGCAGTCTTCAAGGAAACGGTGGGGCGGTTGGGTAGCCTAGTGGTTAAAGCGTTCGCTCGTCCCGCCGACGACCCGGGTTCGATTCCCCACATGGGTACAATGTGTGAAGCCCATTTCTGGTGTCCCCCGCCGTGATATTGCTGGAATATTGCTAAAAAGCGGCGTAAAACCATACTCACTCACTCACTCAGTCAAGGAAACGGTATCTTTGGAACCCAACCTCGGAAAATAACTGCTGATTTAGAAAAGGACTAAAACTCAATATCTGCTGACAATATCTGCCCGTGTTCCTATCGTCCGACAATAAATACCATGATATAGTGCAGATATACATACACCTGAGTTTCAGCTGGAGTAGAACATTAAGCTGTAAGTCGGAACTTTCTATACAAATATGAAAGGCGTATAGCCGAGCGTGTACAACTGCCAAAACTCACTGCGTGAACTGTGCATGTGTAACTTGGACACACATCAACACGACTGTGCAGAGTAGAAACGTCGGCGTCATGCTCATTCAGGTCTTGCAATCTCAGACAGGTGCTTGAAAGGAAGGGTCAGTGGTCAATTTCGGACTGGTCAAGGCTTCTTATACCCTGCCTAATCCTCATCCAGCTTATCACTTCACGGCTCATCAGGCGAAACGTTGGCCATCCCCCCGGGGTGACCGTCCACATCCCCACCCCCTAGGCTGAGGCACAGGGTTGTAGTGGCTGAACGTGCAAAACGCCCGGGTGTGAACTATCAGATTAGTATCTGTTCGTCACCCTTGATTGAGGTATTATATAAACAGTATTCCAAGCGATCTCTGATTCCGTCGACGGGAAATATTAGTGATAGCCATCATGGACTTACATGGGCGAGATTTTCTCATCACGATTACCAAGGGGTTCGTGTTATAATGTTTGGAGGAGCTTTGTTAGTGCGTCATTGAAGTGAAGCCCCACGGGTCAGTTGACCGTATCATGTCGTCCATTATTGAGCGCTATCGAAGTTACAAGCCCCCCTGTGTGTGTGTGTGTGTGTGTGTGTGTGTGTGTGTGTGTGTGTTGGAGACAAGTTAATATATCGCTGTGTTCATGGAAATTAACTAATATATCCCAGTGTTAATGGAGATAAATAATATATCCCGGTGTTAATGGAGCTAAACAAATATATCCCGGTGTTCATGGAGAAAAACTAATATATCCTTGTGTTCAATGAGATAAACTAATATATCCCAGTGTTGATGAAGACAAGGTAATATATCCCAGTGTTCATGGAGATAAACAGATATATCCTGGTGTTTGTGGAGATAAACTAATACATCCTGGTGATGATGGAGACAAGCTAATATATCGCTGTGTTCATTTAAATTAACTAATAGATCCTGGTGTTCATGGAGATAAACTAATATATCCCGGTGTTGATGGAGACAAGGTAATATATCCCAGTATTCATGGAGATAAACTAATATATACTCCCCTGTTTGTGGAGATATACTAATATATCCGGGTGTTGATGGGGACAAGCTAATATCTATCAGTGTTCATTGAGATAAACTCATATATCCTGGTGTTCATGGAGATAAACTAATATATCCCGGTGTTCATGGAGATAAACTAATATATCCTGGTGTTTGTGGACATAAACTTATATATCCCAGTGTTGGTGGATTATAAACTAGCCTGGTGTTCATGGAGATAAACTAATATATCCGGTGATAATGTTGATAAACTAATATATTCTGGTGTTTGTGGAGATGAACTAATATATCCTAGTGTTCATGGAGATAAACTAATGTATCCCAGTGTTCATGAAGATAAAGTAATATACCCGGTGTTCATGGAGAAAAAACTAACATATCCCGGTGTTCATGGAGAAAAAACTAACATATCCCGGTGTTCATGGAGAAAATACTAATATATCCTGGTGTTAATGGAGATAAACTAATATATCCTATTATTCATGGAGATAAACTAATATATCCCGGTGTTCATTTATGTGATGACACCACCTCTTTATGTGGACCCGAAAAATAAACAATGTGGACGCCATATAATATTATGATTGTTTGATTTTATAATAAAGAGACACAAGCAAATACAACAAGTCCATCTATGTTAGTAACAATAACGTTAGGACGTTCCAACACACAGAGACATCCGATTGGCAGAGGTTTGGGGAATACCACTTCCCGGAAAGTTTTCTCACGTCAATACTGTTGGATGGGATCTGGACAAGACGTGCCCACGGAGATCCGTTACCCAAACGTTATTGGCGGACTCGTTACCAAGTGTTTGATAACCCGTACCCATTTGTACCAATCAACTGGATGGCTCGTACCCATAAATGCGAACCCGCTTCCAATGAAAATATATATGATTTAAAAATCCTTAAACATTAATCGGATTAAACATTTTCAAAGTCATTGGTGCAGTAAACTTTAAACACGGAAAATTAACAAATTAACACGAAAAAATAGCCACCGACCAGTTAAAGCTATTTCTCTCGTGTTAATTTTTAAATATTCTCGATTATTTTGAGTGAGTGAGTATAGTTTTACGCCACTTTTAGCAATATTCCAGCAATATCACAACGGGGGACACCTGAAATGGGCTTCATACATTGTACCCATGTCGAGAATCAAACCCGGGTCTTCGGCGTGACGAGCGAACGCTTTAAGCAGTAGGCTGCCCGACCGCCCCTGATTATTTTGAAGGCGGGACAGAATACTTCAAATACTTCAAGAAATCCGCCAATGCTTCAAAGCCGAAAAGAACCGAACGAAACGGACGCCTGATCGAACGTTACATTTAGATGAATAATGGTGTGTGATAATAGGAATGACCATTTACCATGGCCTATAGATTTTTTGTGAAAAGAGTTAATACATTCCCGGTTATAAGTAAGGGCGGTTCCAGGACTCTGGATCCGCCTCATTCGTGATCAACCCGTGTTATTCCGGGACAAGCCGAAAAGCGACTCGTGCTCCTCTCGTGGCCATCGTGAACTAGGTTCCGTCTTAGCGCAAACGGGCATACCTAAAACAATTGTCAACTCGTTGCGTAATGGTTCACATATATTTCCCCATATATTATATATATTTCAGATGCAATTTAAAGGACATCGGGACGTGCGGAATTATGCAGTATGATTGAAAACATTTCACTGTGTCTTGGGTATATTTTTAGATGCAAGACATATGTAAAATCAAACATTATTTCTGAGGAATTATTTGACAAAGAACTTGAAATCATACGCGCATTCCGATTGGTTTGTCGTATTTTCGCCCATAACATTCAACGAGAGGGGGATGAGTCTTCTTGCAGATTACGGAAAGGGGCGAGTGGTCACGAATGGATCCGCCTATGATGAGTGTCATATCATAGTTTCCGGAGGACAGCTTTTGAATGTTTTTGTGATTTTACGAACTCTTGGATTTGTCACTCCTGTAGACGCCGGAATGTGTGCTTCAACAGCCAGTCAATGCTATCAATGTTAATCAACTGATTTTTTTATATTAAAACCAAAAAAAGTGAAGTTGGGATTCCTTGGTTAGAATAAAGTCGTAGGAGCATGTGCTGCTGGTAAGGGCCGATTACTGAGACCATGGAACACTTGCAAATAACAACTATAGTGTTACCACTGAACTGAATTTTTTATATTAAAACCCAAAAAAGTGAAGTTGGGATTCCTTGGTTAGAATAAAGTCGTAGGTACTGTGCTGCTGGTAAGGGCCGATTACTGACATCATGGGACACTTGCAAATAACACTCTTAGCTACAAACATGGTAAATCTTTAATGCGGTCTTGAATCCAAGCCATCCTACAATCGCTCTAAGATTGGTTTGTGAAAGTGAAATAGGACAATTGTATGGTGATTATGAAGTTAATTGTAGCCGCCTAAGATCGATTGTAACTAAGATTGTTCCGTGCAAGTCGACCCAGGTATCCGACACAGTAATGTGGTTGTGTGTGGTCGGACCAAGATGGCGTGGATCGCTTCTCACAATATCAGGGCCACTCCATTATTTCAGGTCACCCTCATATAGATGGGATATTGCTGAGTGAGTCGTTAAAACATCCAGGCAAGTAGACACAGTTACCCATCCATGTTTCTGTTAGGGATCACCAAAGCAATGGCTTCGGCTAGGATCATCAGTCATATTGTCTGAGGCGAGAGTTGGAGCCAGGATTCGCTACAACTACATCCAACAGACACTCCCATAGGCCACCATGAAAATAATGACAATACAAGCTTGGTGAAAAATATTTATCTAAACATACCAAAAATGGTGAAAATAAATATTTTTTTTGTACACAGCTTGATAAAATTAATACAAACCACAAACATGATTAAAAACAGGTGTTGATTACTACTAACATAGTGACAGAACTAAATGACTCAAGTACCATGGCTTAAATACTTCTAGATGTATTAATATCACGAGTCATAGAGACATATAGGATAGGTCATTTGTGACAACGGTATATTTATTGATCTAGAAATAGTTAAGCAATGACCCTGTGTCCAGGGCCCACTTGCACAAAGCGATCTTAGCGCTACAACTATCGTAAGGCTGTGTTAAAATATGGGAATTACGAGCATCTTAGCGCTAAGATTGTTTTGTGCAAGTTGATCCTGGTGCCTTTTCCACAAAGCCATCTTAGCACTGGCATGTTAAAGTATGGGAGTTACGAGCATCTTAGCGCTAAGATTGTTTTGTGCAAGTGGATCCTGATGCCTTTTCCACAAAGCCATCTTAGCACTGGCATGTTAAAGTATGGGAGTTACGAGCATCTTAGCGCTAAGATTGTTTTGTGCAAGTGGATCCGGGTGCCTTTTCCACAAAGCCATCTTAGCACTGGCATGTTAAAGCATGGGAGTTACGATTGTCTCAGCACAAAGATTGCTTTGAGGAACGGACCCTGGGTGGAACAGTTGTTTAATAATAAGTCGTCTAGTATACATCACTGCTGCCACAGGAGATATCTCTTTCCCTGTCACTCACATGTTTAAATACTGTGCTCGGCTAGAATACCGACATGGTAATGATCTGACAACCCTGCACAGGGATTGCCCTTTGTGGACGTACTAAGCAGCCGATCAAAGTTGACACATAAATATGGCATGTAGTCTATACACAACATCTTAAACATCTTTAACATCAACAATGGCAGCATCCAGAGGGGGACTTGAGCAGGTACAAAGTACAGTAAACTGTACTCACAGTTTCCCTAGCCCATCACAACTGTAACTTTCTCCCTTTACTTTCACTGCCAATAATGTCTACTCCTACCACTTGTGAAGTTATTGTGAAGAGTCCCCATTCTCACTAAACCTTAACAATGAGACATGGAACCTCTGATGCCCAAATATGGAACTCTTTCTTTCAATCATTCAAAAAAAATTCAAAGCATGGACTTTGTCTTCCAGCGTACATCAGTTAATAACAAATAACCACAACAAACATGGGTTGATTAAAGAGGATGAATTAAACAAACAGAAGTGAGGAAAACATCCATCTGACATCTTCTTGATGTTTAGAATTATAATAAGTTTGGGACATCCCACCAGAGTGATATCTTGATTAGAATTCTAATACGTTTGGGACATCCTTCAAGAGTGACATCTTAATATTTAGAATTCTGGTAAGTTTGGGACATCCTTCAAGTGATATCTTGATGTTTAGAATTCTAATGAGTTTGTGACATCCTAATAGAGTGATATCTTGATGTTTAGAATTCTAATGAGTTTGTGACATCCTAATAGAGTGATATCTTGATGTTTAGAATTCTAAGAAGTTTGTGACATCCTACAAGAGTGATATCTTGATGTTTAGAATTCTAAGAAGTTTGTGACATCCTTCAAGAGTGATATCTTGATGTTTAGAATTCTAAGAAGTTTGTGACATACTACAAGAGTGATATCTTGATGTTTAGAATTCTGATAAGTTTGTGACATCCTACCAGAGTGATATCTTGATGTTTAGAATTCTAAGAAGCTTGTGACATCCTACCAGAGTGATATCTTGATGTTTAGATTTCTGATAAGTTTGTGACATCCTACAAGAGTGATATCTTGATGTTTAGAATTCTAAGAAGTTTGTGACATACTACAAGAGTGATATCTTGATGTTTAGATTTCTGATAGGTTTGTGACATCCTACAAGAGTGATATCTTGATGTTTAGAATTCTAAGAAGTTTGTGACATCCTACTAGAGTGATATCTTGATGTTTAGAATTCTAAGAAGTTTGTGACATACTACAAGAGTGATATCTTGATGTTTAGAATTCTTATAGGTTTGAGGCATCTTTCAAGAGTGATATCTTGATGTTTAGATTCTAATAACTTTGGGACATCTCACAAGAGTAATATCTTGATGTTTAGAATTCTAATAACTTTGGGACATCTTTCAAGAGTGATATCTTGATGTTTAAAATTCTAATAAGTTTGTAAAATCCAACTAGAGTGATATCTTGATGTTTAAATTTCTAATAAGTTTGTGACATCCAACTAGAGTGATATCTTGATGTTTAGAATTTTAAGAAGTTTGTGACATCCTACGAGTGTGATATATTGATGTTTAGAATTCTAATAAGTTTGGGACATCTTACAAGAGTGATATCTTGATGTTTAGATTCTAATACGTTTGGGACATCTTACAAGAGTAATATCTTGATGTTGAGAATTCTAATAAGTTAGGGACATCTTTCAAGAGTGATATCTTGATGTTTAGAATTCTAATAAGTTTGTAAAATCCTACTAGAGTGATATCTTGATGTTTAGAATTCTAATAGGTTTGTGACATCCTACTAGGGTGACATCTTGATGTTTAGAATTCTAATAAGTTTGGGACATCCTGATATTTAGAATTCTAATAAGTTTGGACATTCTGATATTTAGAATTATAATAAGTTTGGGACATCCCACCAGAGTGATATCTTGATTAGAATTCTAATAAGTTTGGGACATCCTTCAAGAGTGACATCTTGATGTTTAGAATTCTGGTAAGTTTGGAACATCCTTCAAGAGTGATATCTTGATGTTTAGATTTCTAATAAGTTTTGGACATCTTACAAGAGTGATATCTTGATGTTTAGAATTCTAATAAGTTTGTGACATCCTACTAGGGTGACATCTTGATGTTTAGAATTCTAATAAATTTGTGACATCCTACTAGGGTGATATCTTGATGTTTAGAATTCTAATAAGTTTGGAACATCCTACTAGGGTGACATCTTGATGTTTAGATTCTAATAAGTTTGGGACATAGAACAAGAGTGATATCTTGATGTTTAGAATTCTACTAAGTTTGGGACATCCTGATATTTAGAATTTTAATAAGTTTAGGATATCCAACAAGAGTGACATCTTGATGCTTAGAATTCTGATATGTTTTGACAACCTACAAAAATGAAACCTCCCAGTTTAGAGTTGTGATGTTGTCAAAGCTATGGTGTGGATTAGAGGTGTCCCACAGTAGCGTTCTAGTCCCTATGGATCTTAAAAGATGATGCATGAAAGTGACTGACACAATCCTTGATAATCCAGGGTCTCGTATCTCCATTCTGTTTTCATGAACACTGTGGAACCATCTTCCAACATAGCTGTATGTTGAGTCTGATATGATTGACCTGATGCTGAAATGGAGTCCAATCAAATTACACTGTTCTTTCCTGACTGAACATGCTGAAACAAGCAGCAATGTCACCAGTCTTCTACTTGTTGACTGCTGTCTCATATACAACATTGTACATCTTGCAGATGAGATACTTCATGATTTTCATGTATATATCTGTGTTGAACTCGTGAGAAGAGACCTTTGGATTGGTAGTTAGTTTCTTTGTTTCTTTGTTGTTTAACGCCGCACTCAGCAATATTCCAGCTACATGATGGGGACTGTAAATAATGGAGTCTGGACCAGACAATCCACAGATTGACATTACGAGCATCGATCTACGCAGTTGGGATACGATGACATGCATCAACCAAGTCAGCGAGCCTAACCACCCGATCTCGTTAGTCACCTCTTATGACAAGCATAGTCGCCTTTTACGGCAAGAATGGGTTGCTGAAGACCTATTCTACCCCGGATCTTCAGGGGTTGGACTGGTAGTTGACTTCAAGTTCATGAGTGAGAGAAAGTCTGTGCCAGCTAAGTGATAAAAGACGCCACTTCCAAAACTAAGATGTGATGGTGAATGGATCGAGGGAAAATACCATGACAGATTGGGGGTGATGATACACTGGGTAATCTTGGGTGGGACTGGGACTTCATGTGCTGGGAAGAACTGGTCTGTTGAAATCCCTCACTTGAGACTCACACCCTCCTGATCATGAAAAGACTGTATCAGTGTCAGGACCCTCGGTGCTGCGACTCACAGTGTTATGACCAGATGTTGTTGCCCCTTGATGACCCGTATGATCCTCCGGTGGCGTAGGGTGCCGATGCTCTTGATGGAGCTTCTTTAACATCGGCTAACACATCCCCAGTGGCAGCAGCTTGGAGGAAGGGCTCACTGTTGTAGACATATGCAGACTCCGGGCGACTGTACGCAGCCTAGTGGAAGCAAATAAACATTATCAACAAAACAGTTTCCTCGGTTCAACCAGTAATTCGTTCGTTCGTTCGTTCGTTCGTTTGTTGTTAAACGCCGCTGTCAGCAATATTCAAGCTATATGACGACGGTCTGTAAATAATTGAGTCTGGACCAGACAATCACTTCAACGAGTAAATCACATGAACTAATGAATATATTTTTTAAAAATTTTGAAATGATGTTTATTGGAAAGAAACACCTGTTTCCATTTAAATTCCACAAATATTGCATCCTATTTTGTTTATATCTTAACTTTATAAGTTATGTTTCTGGTGAAGGTTCTGGTGCATCACTTTAGTCATTTCAGAGACAAGTGAGACAGTCAGCGTAAAGAGTGAGTGAGTATGGTTTTACGCCACTTTTAGCAATATTCCAGAAATATCACGGCGGGGGACACCAGAAATGAGCTTCACACATTGTACCCATGTGGAACCAGGGCCTTCAGCGTGACGAGCGAACACTATAACAACTAGGCTACCTGACCGGCCTTCAGTGTAAAGAAGAAAACCAACAGCCCAATTAAGGTCACTTTGACCTTTTGACCTGGTGAGATTAGTCTTCTGAAGTCTCCACTACCTACCATACGGATGCCTCTTCCAGTTATCTTTCTCTGTTGAATTGCTTTGGCATTTTCAATCTGAAATTACAGACAACATACACAACTTGAAAATGGCATAGTGTATATTTATATCTATTTATCAAGTAAACAAGTCATCAGGAGATCTCCCCATTCTGGTGCATATTGGAAATGGAGTTTGGCTATTTATACCCCACTATCGGATACGATCAGTACAGTGATGTTCAGTATTTTTCAACATCCCAAATCATCAAAAGGTACCAGTTTACCACTAGACTAATCTGTATAGCAAGTTTCATCAAGAAATATTCAACGGTTTTGGCGCCAGTTCATCAGTAGACTGAGCAAGTTTCATCTTAAAAACTTCAATGGTTTTGGAGTTCTACTCCAGAAATGAGCACTACCCTCATTTTCAGTACATGTCCAACTTGTCATCAAAATAAAAAAAAAATCCCAAATTATCAAAAGGCCCTTATTCACCACTTGACTGATCTGAGCAAGTTTGATCATGAATAATTATTATTCAATGGTTTTGGAGTTCTGCTCCGGCAATGAGCACTTCCCTCATTTTCAGTGTAAGTCCACCTTGTCATCATGAAAAGATTACAAAAAAAATAATTAAAAAATCCCAAATTATTAAAAGGCTAGAGTTCACCACTAGACTGACCTGTATAGCAAGTTTCATTATGAAAAAAATCAATTGTTCGGCTCTTGAAACAGAAAATAGATGTCTGACGGACGGACGGAAGGACAACATGCTGATCACTTTATCCCCCGTTTCTTCAAAACGGGGGGATAACAAATGCAGAGAAATAAGTGATGTGAATGTTTATTTTTAAATCCAATAGCAATATTCCAACCATATCTGGGGGCACGGGTGGCCCAGTCGTCTAAGACTTGGCGATTCGCTGTGCAGAGTTGCGTTCCTTGGGCACGCCAGAAACCTATGATTATGGGTTCGAATCTCTGAATCAGCCCCGATTATGTTTCTAGGTTTGTCAGCTCATGGGTTTCATCGAAGTGGTAAACGTCTGAGATGTGAATCACTTTAGGCTTTCCTCCCACTTTAAGCTGACACGCCGCGATATAACTGAAATACTGTTAAAAGCGACGTTAAACTAAACCAGTCTTGGACTGGGAAACTAGTGGTTGATAGCACAAGCACTGATCCTCATCATCAGGGTTGGATGACACACAACGACACACTGCAGCCAGCTCCATTAGTCATCTCCAGGGTAGACACATGGCACCAGAAATCAGTCAGAAACCACCCCCACCCCCAATCCAAGGACAGCTCTAATGATATGTCATGATATTCCAATAACTGCAATAACTGACCCACAAGATACCGTGAAGTCTTGTTAAACCAGACTCCACTATTAACTCCATAGAACATAACTTCAAAGTCTAACATCTCTGTCTATGGATAACTTTGACAGTCAGACTATAATATCCACAAAAACAAGGACAACACACAGTTTTCTTTTCTACATTCAGTCTCTATCTCTCAACACGTATTCAAGACAATATCAGTTTGTGCATCCATGTTCTTCACAAGGCAAGGGAGTTAACTGACTATAAAAATCCAGTTTCCACCCTTGCTGAAGTAGGCTGGAGTTATATTTTGGCTGGACTAACAAGTCTATGCATAGTCCAATCAAATTTGTGTAATGAACTAGACATCTGGTTCGTAAACAACATAGATTTTAAGGTGCAGATTTCACTTGACTGAAGGATTTGCACAGCATGGGCGTCGACAGATATTTGGCAAATCTTTTCATGTTTTTAATCAAGATGTTCAAATAATTTGATGCACTTCGCGAAGTAAGACCCATTTCATTACAATAGAGATCTTGCTTATCAATCAGATCATCTTGATTGGGCACTGCCATTTGTTTGAAGCCAATGCAGGTGATAGGTGGAATCTGGCTGGTCAGTAGGAGGGACATAGAAGGGACATGCTGTATTTGACGTAATAAGCGCCTAGGGCGCTCTCAAAAAATTAGAAATAGGGGGCTCTTATTAGAATATTATTTCGGTGGAAAAAACAGAGTTGAAAGATAAATTTTGTGGTTTATGCTGACAGACTGAAATGTTTATATGCGACAGATATATTTTTCCAGAATTAAATTGCCCATAATTAAGAATGCATATAACACACGAGTGCGTATCATACGCGAATAAATAAGTCTTGTGTACATTGATCAATCGGAAGGGGTGCTAAATGGGATTGTTCACCAGCCAATATATTAGCAAATATCGCTGTGGGCGCTTATTAGAGCGGGGGGCTTATTACGTCGAATACGGTAACTCGTATTAGTCATTAGTGGTGCTACGATCGAGCCACGAAGTTCGAGCCTAGTTCGGCAAGCTATATTGCTTCCATGACCTGCTTACCTTCTTGATAATTCCCTTGTCAATCAGTTCATATTTTGGTGTTCTTTCCAAACCCATGGCAGCAAAATGGGGCCAAACTTTGTCTGAAGCTGAGGCAAAATCCTTTGGTGTTCTGAAAATTTAACATTCACAGAATCTTACACTGATTTTTCTTTGATTCTAGATTTGGAAAGTGCATGGCAATGGCATTATTCTAAAAAATATGAATATTTGCATCTTAAAATTTGATGAGACATTTTTGTTATCCACTACTTTGTCACAGGCCTGCTTGGCAACGTTACAGGGATCTATACCCAAATATCACTATTATAGTAAAATAAAGAAGTTGTTATCCAAAAGAAATTGACTACTTTCTCATCTGTCAGCTTCTAAGAAATGAGTGTCTACAACACACCCCCTGAGTGGCTCCAACACAACCCATGAGTGGCTCCAACACACCCCATGTGTGGCTCCAACACACCCCATGATTGGCTCCAACACACCCCATGAGTGGCTCCAACACAACCCATGAGTGGCTCCAACACACCCCATGAGTGGCTCCAGCACAACCCATGAGTGGCTCCAACACAACCCATGAGTGGCTCCAACACACCCCATGAGTGGCTCCAACACAACCCATGAGTGGCTCCAACACACCCCATGAGTGGCTCCAACACACCCCATGAGTGGCTCCAACACACCCCATGTGTGGCTCCAACACACCCCATGAGTGGCTCCAACACACCCCATGAGTGGCTCCAACACACCCCATGCATGGCTCCAACACACCCCATGAGTGGCTCCAACACACCCCATGAGTGGCTCCATGTGTGGCTCCAACACACCCCATGAGTGGCTCCAACACAACCCATGAGTGGCTCCAACACAACCCATGAGTGGCTCCAACACACCCCATGTGTGGCTCCAACACAACCCATGTGTGGCTCCAACACAACCCATGAGTGGCTCCAACACACCCCATGATTGGCTCCAACACACCCCATGAGTGGCTCCAACACACCCCATGTGTGGCTCCAACACACCCCATGCATGGCTCCAACACACCCCATGAGTGGCTCCAACACAACCCATGTGTGGCTCCAACACACCCCATGAGTGGCTCCAACACACCCCATGATTGGCTCCAACACAACCCATGCATGGCTCCAACACAACCCATGCATGGCTCCAACACAACCCATGAGTGGCTCCAACACACCCCATGTGTGGCTCCAACACACCCCATGCATGGCTCCAACACACCCAATGAGTGGCTCCAACACACCCCATGAGTGGCTCCAACACAACCCATGAGTGGCTCCAACACACCCCATGCATGGCTCCAACACACCCCATGAGAGTCTCCCGCCATGATATTGCTGGGATGTTGCTAAAAGCGGCATTAAAACCCAACTCAGGGTTAGAAACTAACAGTTTTTGTCCACTAGTCCTGAAAATGATAACATACAGCAAAACCCTTAAAATGGGCCAATTTCTACTAGTCCTTAGAATACCTTTACTATTGGGTAGTTTGGTAAGGACTACAGGACTAGTGCCAGTTTCTAACGCTGCAACTGACTCATTCACTCGTGAACATGATCAGTCTTTTATAAGCCTAAGTAAGTCATGTACACACCGTCCCTCTGCATCGGGTAACTCTGGCTGGGAATTGTTGTCTAGCAGTAGCATCACCACCTGAAAGCAAGCATGTTAGAGGTCAGGTCAGTGTAACGATACATTGTCTATCTCACCTATAGAATTATCAAAAAGCAAGCATGACAGGGGTCAGGTCAGCATAAATCTCACCTGTAGAATTATAAACATACCATATATCACTGTGTATAAGGCGACCCCACGTATAAGACGACCCCCCTGTACACGCCTTCAAAATCGACCCAAAATCCTATACTCCGTGTATAAAGCGACCTGGAAAGAAGCACATCACAAGTGCGCACACAAACCTTATATTTGCAATAAAAATATGTTTATCTTGCGTTGTTTTTTCTACGATGATTGGTTGCGTACTCCAGTACACGTCACCATTTTGTGTCTACACGGTATGACACCAAATTGGTGCCCGTAAAATAAAATTACTTTATGAAGTAATAACATAAGAGACAATGGTGAGTAATTTAATCGCCAATTAACTATGTTGTAACTAACTAGACTTATGTTTGCTTCACATTCAGCGTGTTTATTCCACAATCACTTATACACACCGTCTCCAACAGTTGTTAATACGTATGTTAATTGTTTAACAGACAATGAAAGTTAAAACAAAAGTACACATGAATCCACTTGAGAAGCTCACCGGGCCATGTTCCTGGAAGGCTGCAGCGTGGAGGGGCGTCCATAGCGTGTCCTTGTTCTGATAATTTGGATCTGAAACCAAATATTTCATAATGGCTGTGATGTAACAAAAACGTTTATTGAAGGATGAGGCTGAGAGGGACGGAGCCATGAAAATCAAGCAGTTTATTCTTCTGACTGCTCTATCTTGGATGGAGTAAAAACATGAACAAATTAAATAGTAACCATGGTAACTGTTGACTTTGAGAATGGCAGTTAAACTTTTTGTTTTACAAGAATTAATATTTATTTGCTCCCAATTAAATGAAGATCCAAAACAGTTTGAAGTAAAATGAATTGAAAATAATTTGAGCTATACAAATATTTCTCTTTCATTTTAATCTATTGATGATAATCCGTAAAAAACTAGAAAAGTGTGATCTTAATGGCACACAGTACATTCATCCCATGAAGACTTTGGGTTTCAACTGGCCTTCACCAAGAGGCGACTAACGTGATGGGGTGGTCAGACTCGCTGACTTGGTTGATGCATGTCATCGTATCCCAATTGCGTAAATCAATGCAAAGATGTCAATCACTGGATTGTATGTATATTTACAGTCCATCATCATATTGCTAGAACATTGCTGAGTGCAGCGTTACACAAGAAAAAAACAACAAAACAGTATATTCAGTACTTGCAGAAATTCAAGTACAAAAATCACTTCGGCCACAATTCAAGGAGTATTCATGCAGTATGAAGAAATAAAACAAGACAATATTACCTGTTCCCTTGTCCAGCAGATTCCTGACAATGTCCTTGATTCCCCAGAAACATGCTGAAACAGAAGGGACATGATGCAGAGATGATGGACATGTCAACAGTTTGAAGCATAATTTTTTTTTTCAAGAATTTTCCGGAACAATTTATTTTTTGCGATATAATCGCAGGCCTCCTGTCCAGAATATGAAATGGTGGGTCCCTTTCTTCATTGTAGTGTCAAAGGGATTTTCTACCAATAAATCCTTTATTCATGTTACACATTCAGTCAAGATGTTCTACCAGTAGTTAATGCACTGGTGTCATGTACATAAAGGGAGTTTCATTGTGATGTAACCTTAGGTGTCGGGTACTTTACCCTTCTTCCTTGGTCACTTGTTCCTGATCAACCACTCCTTAGTTCTGAGGATGATGTAGCTCTCTCTCTCAAAATCACAAGTCAGCTGGTTTGCTCAAGTCCATTTATTGGTGATGGTAGTTATTGTAAATATACTCACAAGGTCTTCAGTTGTTTTCTTGTTGCCTGTATTACTTAAATACAACACATTCCTAAGGTTGTATTGAAGAGCCTGATAGCTTTTCTGATGAAAGTTTAACTCTACTACTTTTCTGACCCGGAATTCCAATCTACAGAGAGGACTTCCCTGTTCAGCCGTGAGCTTCCGAATCCACGCACCACGACCGGACAACTCACTAAATACTATTGATGATAATTTTAGCTCCTCCCACCGAAATAATATTTGACATCATGTGACATGAGACCTAACGCTCACCTCCATATGAACCCCAATTTCCGTTCCAATCAGTTTTTCTTTCAAGCTCTTTTTAACCAAATCTTCAGCTAATTTCCTAACTCATTGGTCAACTGAACATACCCACAACTCAAACAATCCTAAGATGAAAACCCATTTCCCTGTGAGATCTGGATTCGACAACGAATCCCCCCAAACAATCATTTCCAATTCCAGCAATCTTGGTAATTTCCGCCAATAGCCATTTTTATTTCCAAGAAAAGCAAAATCGATAACCTGTTGGTGGTTCCCTCACCCTGTACAGTCACCTCTCTCATATCCATCTGTATCCATTCACCCGAAGCCTAACAGAATTTAATTAACCAGGTTTTTAGCTAATATTAAAACCCCTTTTTCCAAAATACCCTGGTTATAGTGACATAGTCACTTGTTTCTGGAGGTCCTAGAGTCTTTGGTTTTGAGACAAGAACACCTGATTTTCATTCTTGATTTCCTGCTTCCAAATGAAGACACTGGCTCGTGTATCTGTCGTGATCTCCCTACATTTGTGCTGGTGGCATGAAATATTGACAATACCTGGATGGTGACCAATGCTATGGTGCAACAAGCTGTGGAGCTACAACAGTTTTTGGTATCGATAAAGTTGTACGTTTTCTCAACTTACCAACTTCTAGAATGCCAAACAAACAGATAGTGCAACTTGAGGGGAAAAGAAGAAAGTTTTGGGAGGAGTCAGATTAAGGTCGTTTGGAATATATGTCCTGTCACTGTTTCATGACATCCAAACTGTTTCTTGAGAGATGTGGGGGGCCCAGTCGTCTAAGGCGCTGCGATTCGTTGTGCAGAGTTGCCTCCCTTGGGCACGCCAGAAACCTATGATTGTTGGTTCGAATCCTGGTTCGCCCCGATTATGTTTCTAGGTTTGTCAGCACCATACCCGTGCTCATGGGTTTCACCGAAGTGGTAAACGTCTGAGACCTGCATCACTTTGGGCTTTCCTCCCACATTTAGCTGACACGCCGTGATATAACTGGAATACTGTTAAAAGCGGCATTAAACCCAACTCACTCACTCACTCACTCTTGAGAGATGGAGCCAACCAATTCCTTTTACTTCTCCAGATATGGAGCCAAACTATACTGTATTGTTATTGACAAAATTTGTATTATCAGCCATTCCGGAACAAATGATTACAGGTACTTTAAAAGTTTTGAATCACTGTTTCAACCATTTGTTGACCATGTTGACTGACCATTGGTGTGTCGGGACCACGGAACATCCATGACCCCGCATAACATCACATGATCCTGCATCACATCACATGACCCTGCATCACGTCACATGACCCTGCTTTCTCCTCACAGAACTAAACCATGGAGCCAGCTGACTAAAGCAGTTCCGTTACCCTCCCTCTGATGGAGATCCGGGGTAGAACAGGTCTTCAGCAACCCATGCTTGCCATTAAAGGCAACTATGCTTGTTGTAAGAGGCGACTAACGGGATCGGGTGGTCAGGCTCGCTGACTTGGTTGGTGCATGTCATCGTATCCTAATTATGTGGATAGATGCTCATGATGTCAATCACTGGATTGTCTGGATTATTTACAGAACACCGTCATACAGCTGGAATATTGCTGAGTGTGGCGTTAAACAAATACTGTAAATCGTGAAATTAATTCGTCTCCAACAGAATGCGAACACTGGCCCCTGGCCAAAAATGCGACTCAATATGAATGCGACACCCCCCCTCTCAAGCATCAGTGGATATGTTATCTAAATAAAATGTCCTCTGTCAGGACATGCATGCGTGCTGGCTAGTGTTGGCCTTTGACTCAGTCTCAAAGAACAAAAACACCGTGTTGCGTGGGTGGCGTCTGTCTGGACTTGCAGGTGTGATCAGTGATGACGTAAGTGAGCAGAACTCTTGTCTTGACCCCAGCAGTGACAATTCACAGGATGTAATTAGTGTCTGAATGACATTGTTTATATACTTGTTACAAGTGCTGCTCAATAAACAGTGATGTGGAATACATAGTTGTTTGTTTCCAGCGTATGTCTACGTTGGTATTTCTGCTATTCAAAATGTCTTATTATTGATATAAATGCGATGTTTAATAATGCGGGCCAAGACCACTCGCATTTTTCGCATTTAATTCACGCTCGCGTTAATTTCAAGATTTACAGTAAACAAAACAAAACAAAAAAAACAAAACAAAACAAAACAAAACAAAACAAAACAAAACAAAACAAAACAAAACAAAACAAAACAAAACAAAACAAAACAAACAAACAAACAAACACTGATGGAACTCACCAATGTATAACTGACTTTGAGTGGCTTCAGGCCCAGAACCCTCTATCTTGATATTTTCTGTCAAAAACTGCTGCACCAACTGTGGAAAAAACAAATTGAAGCCTCAGATGTTTGTAATGAAACAGAGCGGAGAAATGTCACTGTTTTTTAACTGTTCCTCACCACCTTATCACAAGTCAGTCTAGTTTGGATCAAATTAACTGTCATAATAATTCAAACAAAACTGTTTAATGAAAGCCACAATTTTTAATGCATTTTGATGAAGCTAGAATTCTACTGTTTTAAATACGTTATTGTTAAAACAAATGGTAAAAAACAAAAATCTCCTAATACAAAAAAGCAAGTCCACAAAAGCCCTAATCTACTTCTACATTATTGTAACAGACCTACATTACAACACTCACAAACAACCAGGTATGTTTGAAATTAAAATAACGACTAAACAATTACTGTTAACTCACCTACAAAGTGGGTTTGGAAATAATCAATATATTTGACCAGTGAGTCACTAGCAGTTTCACAATGTGTAACTTATTGGAAAAAAACGGTGTCTGGCTGTTAACAATGAGTGAGTGAGTATGGTTTTACACCGCTTTTAGTTTTAGCAATATTCCAGCAATATCATGGCGGAGGACACAAGAAATGGGCTTCACACATTGTACCCATGTGGGGAATCGAACCCTGGTCTTCGGTGTGACAAGCGAACACTTTAACCACTAGGCTATCCCACAACCCCCTGATAACAATGAGGGGGCACGGGTGGCCCAGTCGTCTAAGGCGCCGCGATTCGCTGTGCAGAGCTGCGTCCCTTGGGTACGCCAGAAACCTATGATTGTGGGTTCGAACCTCGGTTCGCCCCGATTATGTTTCTAGGTTTGTCAGCACCATAACCGTGCTCGTGGGTTTCACCGAAGTGGTAAACGTCTGAGACCTGCATCACTTCGGGCTTTCCTCCCACATTAAGCTGACACGCCGCGATATAACTGGAATACTGTAAAAGCGGCGTTAAACCCAACTCACTCACTCACTCACACTGTTAACAATGATGACTGGTATGGATCACGGGTTAAATATACCACAGCGGCAACACACAAGATCATTTAAAACTGATACGAAGTAAGCCTAGAAAATACAATATTTCTACACAAAAACACAATGCTAAAGTTCACAGGACAGGACAGCCACAGACTAACGACGGTGGTGAATTAGATTGTGTGCTATCTTCAAATTCATCATTGTCAAGAAAGCTGGTACTGTGTAGTGTTAATTGTCACATCCACCCCATCACAAATAACACAGAGTAAGGATTGCTCCTGTCTGTATTTAATTTCATAGCATTTTTTTTCAGATAGATCCAGATAAAAATACCTAACTGAAAACAAGGGAGTTAGAGTGCTGTTGCGTGAGGTGCACTTGTTGCGACACACACTTCACCATAGACATGAAAAAGACGTAGTTTGGAATCAATCTCATTTAAATCAGATCTTAGTTCTCGCTACCACAAAACAAAGATCTGAGGACATCCCATTACGGGTAACGTCAGAACGACCTTTCATCCGACCAATCAGAGCATCGCTTACCAGATTATGAAAGTGACAGTCGGAATGTGATTTCTTATCATGTAGCCTCGAAAACTTTAACTCCGATCGATAGTTACGGGTTTAACGGCTGAATCCATACAATCTAGACCATCTATTAGCCATTCCAGAATGTTCTTTTGTTCAGGTTTCAAATTTGTAATCGAGAACTTGTCAAAATATGTTTCGAAGCGTAGTCGCCAATTTGAAATTAGTGCCGTAAAGCAGGAGAAAGCTGCCTTCTAATTGGTCATTCCATTGGTTGGTCAAAGTTTGTGCAAGGTCGGTCTGACATGACCCGTAATGGGATGTCCTCAGATCTTTGTTTAGCGGTAGCGAGAACTAAGATCTGATTTTAATGAGACTGAGTTTGGAATAAAAGTATAATTACTCTTATTGAGCCTTTGAACATATTTCAATCACATATGGATAAAAAGGAACCATCACCATTTCTATATGTGTTTCAGGTTTCAGATCAGTTCATATTCTAAGACATTGACTGGTTGCCATCCAAAATGTCCTCTGTTTATTGAAATTTGGTAATGAGATTGAAGAATGTCCTATAAAAAGTTTATAATATTATGAAACTGTTCTTATACTATTTGTCCCCAACAAAATTGCTGTTGTTAGTGGGATATTCTTGAGCAAAGAAATAAGAATGTTCCAGTTGATTCCCCTCAATGTCAATGTCGAGTGCAGGACACAACACAACCAGTGCACAACAAGTACTGGTCTTACAGATATAGATCTAGGGTCTATGGCCATTTTGAACAAGCAGTCCCTATCAACAGTATCTCCTTGTTGTCACTGGTCATGTGGGTGGTACACTGGGGTCACTGGTCATGTGGGTGGTACATTGGGGTCACTGGTCATCTGGGTGGTACACTGGGGTCACTGGTCATCTGGGTGGTACATTGGGGTCACTGGTCATGTGGGTGGTACATTGGGGTCACTGGTCATGTGGGTGGTATATTGGGGTCACTGGTCATGTGGGTGGTACATTGGGGTCACTGGTCATGTAGGTGGTACATTGGGGTCACTGGTCATGTAGGTGGTACATTGGGGTCACTGGTCATGTGGGTGGTACATTGGGGTCACTGGTCATGTAGGTGGTACATTGGGGTCACTGGTCATCTGGGTGGGACATTGGGGTCACTGGTCATCTGGGTGGGACATTGGGGTCACTGGTCATGTAGGTGGTACATTGGGGTCACTGGTCATCTGGATGGTACATTGGGGTCACTGGTCATGTGGGTGGGACATTGGGGTCACTGGTCATCTGGGTGGTATATTGGGGTCACTGGTCATGTGGGTGGTACATTGGGGTCACTGGTCATCTGGGTGGTACATTGGGGTCACTGGTCATGTGGGTGGTACATTGGGGTCACTGGTCATCTGGGTGGTACATTGGGGTCACTGGTCATCTGGGTGGTACATTGGGGTCACTGGTCATCTGGGTGGTACATTAGGGTCACTGGTCATCTGGGTGGTAAATTGGGGTCACTGGTCATGTGGGTGGTACATTGGGGTCACTGCATGGTTATGTGGGTGGTACATTGGGGTCACTGGTCATCTGTGTGGTACATTGGGGTCACTGGTCATCTGGGTGGTACATTGGGGTCACTGGTCATCTGGGTGGTACATTGGGGTCACTGGTCATCTGGGTGGTACACTCGGTGGTAAATTGGGGTCACTGGTCATGTAGGTGGTACATTGGGGTCACTTGTCATCTGGGTGGTACATTGGAGTCACTGTTCATCTGGGTGGTACATTGGGGTCATCTGGGTTGTACATTGGGGTCACTGGTCATCTGGGTGGTACATTGGGGTCACTGGTCATCTGGGTGGTACATTGGGGTCATCTGGGTGGTACATTGGGGTCACTGGTCATCTGGGTGGTACATTGGGGTCACTGGTCATCTGGGTGGTACATTGGGGTCATCTGGGTGGTACATTGGGGTCACTGGTCACCTGGGTTGTACATTGGGGTCACTGGTCATCTGGGTGGTACATTGGGGTCACTGGTCATCTGGGTGGTACATTGGGGTCACTGGTCATCTTGGTGGTATATTGGGGTCACTGGTCATCTTGGTGGTATATTGGGGTCACTGGTCATGTGGGTGGTACATTGGGGTCACTGTTCATCTGGGTGGTACATTGGGGTCACTGGTCACCTGGGTGGTACTTTTGGGTCACTGGTCATCTGGGTGGTACATTGGGGTCACTGGTCATGTCACTGGTTATCTTAGTGGTGCATTGGGGTCACTGGTTACCTGGGTGGTTCATTGCAAACTTCTTTAGAAAGCACCTCCGGAAAAGCAAAATCTTGAGTTCTGTTTGAGATCGATTACCTTTTGTGTGAGACTGACAAGCAATATCATGGTCTTTTTTGATGTTGTTGCTGTTCAACACCACACATCAATATTCCAGCTATCTGACGGCAGTCTGTAAATACTTTTGTTTGTTTTGTTAATAGTTTGGTCCATCTATTAATATTGTGAGCAATGACCCACTATGTAGAGATACGAAGACACACAATCCACCAAGTTACTAAGTGTGACCATCCAATCCACCGAGTTGCCTCTATGACCAGCAGAGGTGGGTGGGGCACTATTGTTACCCCCCCGGGGGGTGATGAACAATAGCTGTGTACTAGGGCTGGGACGAGTCCAAATTTACTACCTGGGTACCCACCACTGTATTACCCGACCCTACCCAGGTACCCACTGTAGGTTTCAGGAGATTTGGAACATTTTTAGCATAGCCCTGGCAAAACGTATTTAGATACATGCATTAAACAATCTGGCCATTCATCAACCATATGACAAATCAGAAGGAATGAGTGCATATCCAGAAAGAAATTTGAGCATTAGTGACTTTATTGTAACCACAGAGTTTTAGATCATTTTTGTCATTAAACAATATATCACGTACCCAACCACGGGTCCGTGTAGTCCTGTGTGGGTACCTGGGTCCTACTTAGTATCCACCCGACCCGGATACCCGAGTTACCCGTCCAAGCCTTACTGTCTACTGTTGTCTACACTAGTGCTGGTTAATACAAAAAGCAGAATTGCCAGTGTACAACACTACAAACACTCGTCCTAACTACCAGTACCTTGATGGTTGCTTCTCCTGGTGTGAACAACTAGGACAGAAATGACCAATGGTAAGTATCTATCTATTCTACAGAATGATATTTAGATAGAATTCTGATCTATAAATACATTTTTTACTTTTAACAAGAGATAAACTTGGTGCTTGCCTTAGTTGAAATTAATCAAGTATATAAAAATGTAATGAAAGTTTGATAGATGTACATGGAACTTTACAGATATATAAAATGATACTGATGTATTTTGTAAAAACACATGCTCTACTCTGATTTCTGACTTTGGCAGAAAAAAATATGTGCTCAAAACACAACAACAAAGGTCTTAATACTTCAGTGTGAGAGTTTGAGTTTTCTGAAGCTGAGGAAAGTGATATTTTCACTGCAGATGATGCAGATGATCATGACACTCAAAATTTCACTGCAGTGAACATAACATTTGAAGAGTTACCTCCCCGTCAGTTATCTCCCTTTATTGTAAGTGTCTCAGGATCCTTACAATGATAGCCTGTTCGTGGAGTTCACTATACTGAGAGTGTAACAAAGGTCTCACCCACAGGGAAGAAGCTTGCACACAAACTGTTGACTTCCTATTTACGTTAGTTCCACAATTGGGGCACGGGTGGCCCAGTCGTCTAAGGCGCCGCGATTCGCTGTGCAGAGTTGCGTCCCTTGGGCACGCCAGAAACCTATGATTGTGGGATGGATCCCGGTTCGCCCCAATTATGTTTCTAAGTTTGTCAGCACCATACCCGTGCTCGTGGGTTTCACCGAAGTGGTAAACGTCTGAGACCTGCATCACTTCGGGCTTTCCTCCCACATTAAGCTGACACGCCGTGATATAACTGGAATACTGTTAAAAGCGGCGTTAAACCCAACTCACTCACTCACTAGTTCCACAATGACGGCAACGTAACAGCAGATGGTCATTTATGGGGTTAATATCTCTTCTTGCTGTTTGTTATTCTCTTGAAAATGTTTCATTATAAACTGTATATTTCTCATTTTACTTGTCCATTGAGGCTCTTTGTTTTGCAAAGTGCCATTTTTGTTACTTAACCAGCGTGTATTCTTTTGCTTCCAACAACTTTCTTGAGATTCTTATCCAAATGTATGAAAAAGAATTATATTGACATCAAATACTTTTTTGTTACTTTTGTTTATATTTTAAAGATTTTGCAAGTTCGGAACTACTTTTTAAGTAAGACTGACAAGGGGTGGTGAAATGTCCCTGCGTGTTAGGTAGGGAGAATTTATGTTTCAAGGTTTTATATTGTAATGAAATAATCTAATTTTGAACTAATTTAATTTTCAATTAACAACACAAAAAGTATATTATCTTGTGACAGTGGAAAGGAGATATTTTCACTTGTGGCTACGTCACTCATGGAAACTCATATCTCCTTTCTTCGTCACTCGATGAGGGAAACATGATGTTTCACTCGACACATGGAACATCCTTTACATCCTACCAAAAGAAAAAGACTAGTGTTCACTTTTTAGTTGAGTGCCCCAAATGACTCAGAGATGTATCAGCTCTTCAGCAATTTCTGGAGCCCCTGGGTACAGTAACAACTGTTTTTGTAAAAAAGAATTAGAATCTGAACAAAACAAACAAGTTGAGTACCCTGCCTCTTCATTTTTTTCAAGAAATTGTCTGGGAAATATCCGCACTGGCTTGCAACCAGGTGTTGCAGAGAACTGACAGCTTGTCATATTTTTGGATGACCCTCCACATGTCCCTGTACATTTTATTCATGACCCTCCCTCCCTGAAAAGACAAAATGCAAAAGCACTTCATATTTTATTAATCTTATTATATACTGTCCATTTTTTAATGACCCTCCCCAAATATGTATATTATTTTTACGCCCCCTTCCCTTGAGACCATCATATTTTTAGGTGACCCTCCCTTGATTCCCTCTCACACTTCTCTCGTCCCCACTCCCCTTCTCCCACAAAGTCAGAGTAAGCGGTACAGAAAATTTGGCCTACCTTTAGAGTACAGTACCACAAACTTTTCAAACACGTGACAATATCCCATGACGTAATTTGTAGTATTTTGTTGCCAGTCACACTGGCGAAACACTGCCCTGTGACGTCAGGGGTCATCGAGTGTGCGTAAGCTCCTCCCAGTGATCTATCATCTCTATACGCAATGTCATTGAATACGCCCAGCGATGTTGAGAGTTTTGAATATTTGTTTTCTAAATAGAGCCTTCAGCGGCACTTTTTATAGCAAGCGCTAGTTTATGAAAGCACTTATTTTCAATATATTTATTATTTCAATTTTTTTCTATAATTCAAGTGGCTAAAATGATTATAAATGGGAACTAATATACATATATTTTTTTTGGTTCATTAATTTTCATTATTATGCACAAGAATGCAGTTTATTGGGTAATATTATGTTGGTACTGAACACATCCAAATGTCGCGGGTGTTAGGGTAGGTTACCCCAAAGTCTATCCCTAGCCCTTGGATCCCTGTTACGATCAGTCACCCCTTTAGGATCATTAGGGTTAGGTACTTGTTTAGTGGCTATTATAGATGAAATGGTTTAGTGTCGAATATGTTGGCTACTGGAAACTGTCCTGGAATATCCACACAAGCCACTTTCACTGCTACATTTATTCATAACTGATTAAAAAAGCAAACTCACCCTTGTGCCGTGACTGCTTATGCCTCCCTTGTTCCTTACTATTATCCACATCATCCTTACAGTGTTCCCTACCACACTTTTCTGTCACCAAATTCATCCGACGAGTTATTTAATACCATGTCATTCATTCGTACTCGCGAGTTTGACGTCTGACAACTGGAGCTGTTTTCAGTTCTTGCCTTATCTGCTCATTCCTCACCACTCGGAATCTTGTATATTATGGAATGGGCCAAATGCCATCGGGATCACTTGTAAGTGTCCGTAGACTAAAGTCACGAGACACCATGCCTACCCGTAACCTTCGTAAATGTCCGTGACCTATACGACCCTATTTTTGTTCAGTTCCCATAAAGTCATAGGCATGACTAGGTAAATTTGCACTTAGTTTAACAGTGTGGACGTTGCTCAGTCGGTTAGCTGTCGGGCTAACAATCTGAAGGTCGCGAGTTCGCGTCTGACGGATTCTTGCAAAAACTTTGAGTCATATATATATGTGACCTACGGCAGAGATCGTCCTCAAGAGAAGTTGTGGTACTGTATTCTAAAGGTGCTCCAAATTTTAGTGTCTGAATATTGCAGAAATATTGTTGAGTAAATGGCGATAACTGGTCAGTGGATGTCAGATGTTGGATAGTAACCAATAGGCTACCCGACCGCCCTGGGTGCTAAAGGAAAAATCAATTAGGTCTAATGGCAATCTGATAATTCTATGCTTATAATCAGCAAGTTTCTAGGGATTAGAATAAAAAATTAGAATATACAATTGAAAATAATAATTGCTTGTGCACTTATCAGAGAGTTGATTCCTAGCTAAGATGGGTACAGAGTACCTTAGGTAGATTTGATCAGTATTTTGAAAAACGAAATATAAAAGCATACTACATCGTAACCACGCGAGACGAGGCAAAACCTATTTGCAGGACCTGATTGGTGCTATGGCTGTTGACTACATATCTCGGTAGTGATAACATAAACAAAAAAAATCTACAGCGCACCTGTCACTCTGCTAACTTTACAGCTAACGGTAGGCGGCAGGATATTTGGTGGCTGGCAACGACAAGCAAAGGCGCCCATCTCGATAACTCGGACGAGGTGTGTGTGTCGGTGAATAGGTAATGCTTCTAATGTTAATGACATGCATAACTCGACCCATGCTCTCCTCACCTTATCATCCCCTTGCTGTGCTATTGTTGACAAGTTCTCCAAGGGAATATTCGCCGATCTCAGGTGCGATTTGAGATCTCTAAGGACGCTGTAGTCATCCGCCATCTTTCTTTCGGTAAGGTATAAAACATGAAACAGCTGATAGGGTGGAAACAGAATCTTGCCCAATGCGTTTACGCGTTCTCATTTCAGAAGCCAATACGTATGCTGTCCCCGAACTAATATGTATTTTCAATGTGATCAATTATGACTTACTTGTTGCTACATTTGAAAATTAGGCTTATTAACTGTTAAGTGTTGGCTTCCATTTGTCAATTGCTAATCACGTATCAGCGCCAATTAACTGTTGGTAACATGATTACCCCACTCAGACACAGTATACTGACTCCGAGCCGACCAGTCCTTGTTTTAGCCCCTTAATGTCGAGCATCAGACAGGGTAACAACAAGTACAATCTGTTAACGTCTTTTGGTTTGACGCAGGCGAGGATCGAACCCTGGACCTCATAGACAGTCGACGCTCATAGGCAGTAGATCTAGAGACCCTCTTCTAACCCAGTAAGTTAAAAGGTATAGAGCCGTATTTATTTATTCTTGTATCTCGGATACTATACAAAGACTATATGTTCCCTGAAGTGGCTATTCTATGTCAATATCTGTGTTAAAACACACAGCAGGTTATCGCAAGTATCATTAATTCTATGGCATTTTAGATAATATTAAACAGTAATACGCTCTTCAAAAAAAGAAACGCACAGGTAGATTTTTCGTAAAATTATTGTACCTAATAAAGTCGATATATTTAATTCAATATCATAGATACAAATATGAAATTTTGGAGCTCGATAGTCACATGTAGTCGTTGTACAAAGGCATTGAAAACTGTTCATTGTCATTTCACATAAGGCCACAAGGTTGCGCTGAACTCAGTATCTCGTGTGACCGCCCCGGGCAGCAGTCAAGGCTCTGCGTCTACTCGGCACTGACTGCGGAATTCTGCGCCATTCTGCCTGTAACGCGTTGGCCAGTTGTTGGAGTGTCTGCGGCGTGTTCTGACGTTAACGTGCACGTGGATCGAGTTCTGGTGTCCCCCGTCGTGATATTGCTGGAATATTGCAAGTAATAAACCGGCGTAAAACTATACTCGTTCACTCTTTGTTCATAAGTTGGCATGCACTATATCTCGTAAACCTGATTCAAAGTTTTGCTGGGGGCACGGGTGGCCCAGTCGTCTAAGGCGCCGCGATTCGCTGTGCAGAGTTGCGTCCCTTGGGCACGCCAGAAACCTATGATTGTGGGTTCGAATCCTGGTTCGCTTCGATTATGTTTCTAGGTTTGTCAGCACCATACCCGTGCTCGTGGGTTTCACCGAAGTGGTAAACGTCTGAGACCTGCATCACTTCGGGTTTTCCTCCCACATTAAGCTGACACGCCGCGATATAACTGGAATACTGTTAAAAGCGGCGTTAAACCCAACTCACTCACTCACTCACTCACACACTCAAAGTTTTGCTGCAAAGTGTCAATGTTATTTGTTTTGTTTGTTTGCAGTGTGACGTCACAGTCAGCAATAATCCAGCTCTATGACGGTGGCGTATACATAATCGAGTCTAGCCCAGACAAATCAGTGACTGATATGAGAACGGTTGTCAAGGTTAATTGACGGAAATCAAATTGACCACGTCGCAACATTGTGAACGTGCATTACAAGGCTGAGACATCACTGTACATTTTAGATTTTCATTCATACTTCTATCAACATGTCTGGCGGTTGCGGTGTGGTGGGTTTGATGTCCTTGATATGTGGATAACACACACTGGTGGATGCGGTGTGGTGGGTTTGGTGTTCTTGATATGTGGATAACACGCACTGGTGGATGCGGTGTGGTGGGTTTGGTGTTCTTGATATGTGGACAACACACATTGGTGGATGCGGTGTGGTGGGTTTGGTGTTCTTGATATGTGGACAACACACATTGGTGGATGCGGTGTGGTGGGTTTGGTGTTCTTGATATGTGGACAACACACATTGGTGGATGCGGTGTGGTGGGTTTGGTGTCTTTGATATGTGGATAACACACTTTGGTGGATGTGGTGGGTTTGGTGTCTTTGATATGTGGATAACACACACTGGTGGATGCGGTGTGGTGGGTTTGGTGTCCTTGATACGTGGATAACACACATTGGTGGATGCGGTGTGGTGGGTTTGGTGTCCTTGATATGCGGATAACAGACACTGGTGGATGCGGTGTGGTGGGTTTGGTGTCCTTGATGTGTGGATAACACACACTGGTGGATGCGGTGTGGTGGGTTTGGTGTCCTTGATATGTGGATAACACACACTGGTGGGTGTAGTGTGGTGGGTTTGGTGTCCTTGATACGTGGATAACACACACTGGTGGGTGTAGTGTGGTGGGTTTGGTGTCTTTGATATGTGGATAACACACACTGGTGGATGCAGTGTGGTGGGTTTGGTGTCTTTGATATGTGGATAACACACACTGGTTGATGCGGTGTGGTGGGATTGGTGTCCTTGATATGTGGATAACACACACTGGTGGATGCGGTGTGGTGGGTTTGGTGTTCTTGATATGTGGATAACACACACTGGTTGATGCGGTGTGGTGGGATTGGTGTCCTTGATATGTGGATAACACACACTGGTGGATGCGGTGTGGTGGGTTTGGTGTTCTTGATATGTGGATAACACACATTGGTTGATGCGGTGTGGTGGGTTTGGTGTCTTTGATATGTGGATAACACACACTGGTGGATGCGGTGTGGTGGGTTTGGTGTCCTTGATATGTGGATAACACACACTGGTGGATGCGGTGTGGTGGGTTTGGTGTTCTTGATATGTGGATAACACACACTGGTGGATGCAGTGTGGTGGGTTTGGTGTCCTCGATATGTGGATAACACACACTGGTGGATGCGGTGTGGTGGGTTTGGTGTTCTTGATATGTGGATAACACACACTGGTGGATGCGGTGTGGTGGGTTTGGTGTCCTTGATGTGTGGATAACACACACTGGTGGATGCGGTGTGGTGGGTTTGGTGTCCTTGATATGTGGATAACACACACTGGTGGATGCGGTGTGGTGGGTTTGGTGTCCTTGATGTGTGGATAACACACACTGGTGGATGCGGTGTGGTGGGTTTGGTGTCTTTGATATGTGGATAACACACACTGGTGGATGCGGTGTGGTGGGTTTGGTGTCTTTGATATGTGGATAACACACACTTGCGGATGCCATGTGGTGGGTTTGGTGTCCTTGGTATTTGGATAACACACACCGATGGATGAGGTGTGGTGGGTCTGGTGTCTTTGATATGTGGATAACACACACCAGTGGATGAGGTTTGGTGGGTTTGGTGTCCTTGATATGTTGATAACACACACTGGTGGATGCGGTGTGGTGGGTTTGGTGTCTTTAATATGTTGATAACACACACTGGTGGATGAGGTGTGGTGGGATTGGTTTTGATATGTGGATAACACACTTTGGTGGATGTGGTGGGTTTGGTGTCTTTGATATGTTGATAACACACACTGGTGGATGCGGTGTGGTGGGATTGGTTTTGATATGTGGATAACACACTTTGGTGGATGTGGTGGGTTTGGTGTCTTTGATATGTTGATAACACACATTGGTGGATGCGGTGTGGTGGGTTTGGTGTCTTTGATATGTTGATAACACACACTGGTGGATGCGGTGTGGTGGGATTGGTTTTGATATGTGAATAACACACTTTGGTGGATGTGGTGGGTTTGGTGTCTTTGATATGTTGATAACACACACTGGTGGATGCGGTGTGGTGGGATTGGTTTTGATATGTGGATAACACACTTTGGTGGATAACACAAACTGGTGGATGCGGTGTGGTGGGTTTGGTGTCTTTGATATGTGGATAACACACACTGGTGGATGCGGTGTGGTGGGTTTGGTGTCTTTGATATGTGGATAACACACACTGGTGGATGCGGTGTGGTGGATTTGGTGTCCTTGATATGTGGATAACACACACTGGTGGATGCGGTGTGGTGGATTTGGTGTTCTTGATATGTGGATAACACACACTGGTGGATGCGGTGTGGTGGATTTGGTGTTCTTGATATGTGGATAACACACACTGGTGGATGCGGTGTGGTGGATTTGGTGTTCTTGATATGTGGATAACACAAACTGGTGGATGCGGTGTGGTGGGTTTGGTGTCTTTGATATGTGGATAACACACACTGGTGGATGCGGTGTGGTGGATTTGGTGTCCTTGATATGTGGATAACACACACTGGTGGATGCGGTGTGGTGGATTTGGTGTTCTTGATATGTGGATAACACACACTGGTGGATGCGGTGTGGTGGATTTGGTGTTCTTGATATGTGGATAACACACACTGGTGGATGCGGTGTGGTGGGTTTGGTGTCCTTGATACGTGGATAACACACATTGGTGGATGTGATGGGTTTGGTGTCTTTGATATGTTGATAACACACACTGGTGGATGCGGTGTGGTGAACTCCTGTATAACATTCTGTTGCCTATGTGTATCAGTAAACACCTTAACCAGCGATACAGAAACTCGTCTCCATTTTGCGTGATTAAATGGAAGTAAAATTACGTACAAACTTAAAATTAAATCCTTCTGATTGCTGCGAGGAGTTTGGGATAACCGCACACTGAACGGAGAACGAAATGTGACTTTGTTGAGTTTGGGAGTTTTCTCTATCCGCTCGTGCTTCAGACCCGTGAAGGTCTGGGTTAGAATAGGCCTTCAGCATCCCATCCTTGCCGTAAGAGGCGACTATATCACGGGAACGAGTGGCCAGGCACGCTGACTTGGTTCATGCATGTCATCGCATCCCAATGGCGTAGATCGATGCTCATGATGTCAATCAATGGATTGTCTGGTCCAGACCAGATTATTTACAGTCTGTCGATGAGGGTGGTTTTAAACAACAAACAAACTCTCTTGCTTTCATTAATCAGTTCAGGGCAAAACGGGTCTAGTCGTCGTCCTTTTGGTACGTCAGAAATATCTGATAGTGGGTTCGAATCCCGATTAGGTTTCTGAGTTTATCAGCACCCTATACCTGCTCGTGGGTGTCCCCGACGTGGTAAACGTCTAACTCACGCACTATATTTTATGACAGTGTACATAAGTTTTATTTCAGAGTTGATGTAAATGTAATAGATGCGACTATAATGTGACAGTAAAGATATTTTTATGTATGATAACTACTTTATTCTATAATGATGCGACGTTTCGGTATAGATCCTTATACCGGCGTCATTCAAGTGTGAAGTAAGAGTGTTTGCGAGGTTGGTTATTCGCGAACGGACATGCAGTCAAACTCTCAGACTTATCCCAATGTTTTCTTATTAGCTGAGTTCTAGTTTAAAGGGCTTAAGTTATCGGACACAACGCTTCTGTATTTATTCTTGTTTGGGAATTCCCCGGGGTTTTCCAAGGAACGTGGAAGACGTCTGACAATGTTTGCGTCATTTCTTTAATACAGCCTCATGAAAACCATGTGAACGTCAGTTTCTTGTGACAGACCTCTTGTCCAATGGAAAAACCGTATGTCGTGTAAACCTCAAAAGATTACATACTGATATATGGTTTATGGTCATCAAAAATAAACAGCTTTCCTGGATCACCCCTTAGACGCGCACGTATAATCACTACATCTCTGCCCGTGTTCCCCGGGGTGTTGTCAACACAAGTCACGTGTCAGTCACACGTGCAGCCCTGCTCCAAGGCTGTACTGAAAGTGAGTGAGTGAGTGAGTGAGTGAGTTGGGTTTGACGTCGCTTTTAACAGTATTCCAGTTATATCGCGGCGTGTCAGCTTAATGTGACAGGAAAGCCCGAAGGGATGCAGGTCTTAGACGTTTACCACTTCGGTGAAACCCACGAGCACGGGTATGGTGCTGACAAACCTAGAAACATAATCGGGGCGAACCGGGATTCGAACCCACAATCAGAGGTTTCTGGCGTGCCCAAGGGACGCAACTCTGCACAGCGAATCGCGGCGCCTTAGACGACTGGGCCACCCGTGCCCCCCTGTACTGAAAGTCCATGGTGTATATTAATTCTGTCCTTATAACACGGAAGTCATGTCGCCAGCGTCTTGTGGGTACAACCTGTTGTTTTTTAATATTTATGTAATCTCGAAAAAATGATTTAAACTAATAATTATTGCCTAAGAGACTTAGTTAGTACGAACCTCTACAGCACGCGGCTGTCAATTCTCTTAATTTGTTGAACATGTATTACTAATCGCTGGTATTGAACCATCTACACATGGCACACACACACGGAATGGCTGGTATTGAACCATCTTCACACTGCACACACACACGGAATGGCTGGTATTGAACCATCTAAACATTGCACACACACACACACACACACACACACACACACACACACACACACACACACACACACACACACACACACACACACACACACACATACACGGAATGGCTGGTATTGAACCATCTACATATTGCACACACACACACACACGGAATGGCTGGTATTGAACCATCTACATATTGCACACACACACGCGGAATGGCTGGCATTGAACCATCTACATATTGCACACACACACGCGGAATGGCTGCAGCTGGTATTGCTGGTGGTGTAGGTGATGGGACTGTTGTGTTGATGGTGGTGTAGGTGATGGGACTGTTTGGTTGATGGTGGTGTAGGTGATGGGACTGTTGTGTTGCTGGTGGTGTAGGTGATGGGACTGTTGTGTTGCTGGTGGTGTAGGTGATGGGACTGTTGTGTTGATGGTGGTGTAGGTGATGGGACTGTTTGGTTGATGGTGGTGTAGGTGATGGGACTGTTGTGTTGCTGGTGGTGTAGGTGATGGGACTGTTGTGTTGCTGGTGGTGTAGGTGATGGGACTGTTGTGTTGCTGGTGGTGTAGGTGATGGGACTGTTGTGTTGCTGGTGGTGTAGGTGATGGGACTGTTGTGTTGCTGGTGGTGTAGGTGATGGGACTGTTGTGTTGCTGGTGGTGTAGGTGATGGGACTGTTGTGTTGATGGTGGTGTAGGTGATGGGACTGTTGTGTTGCTGGTGGTGTAGGTGATGGGACTGTTGTGTTGCTGGTGGTGTAGGTGATGGGACTGTTGTGTTGCTGGTGGTGTAGGTGATGGGACTGTTGTGTTGCTGGTGGTGTAGGTGATGGGACTGTTTGGTTGATGGTGGTGTAGGTGATGGGACTGTTGTGTTGCTGGTGGTGTAGGTGATGGGACTGTTGTGTTGCTGGTGGTGTAGGTGATGGGACTGTTTGGTTGATGGTGGTGTAGGTGATGGGACTGTTGTGTTGCTGGTGGTGTAGGTGATGGGACTGTTGTGTTGCTGGTGGTGTAGGTGATGGGACTGTTGTGTTGCTGGTGGTGTAGGTGATGGGACTGTTGTGTTGCTGGTGGTGTAGGTGATGGGACTGTTGTGTTGCTGGTGGTGTAGGTGATGGGACTGTTGTGTTGCTGGTGGTGTAGGTGATGGGACTGTTGTGTTGCTGGTGGTGTAGGTGATGGGACTGTTGTGTTGCTGGTGGTGTAGGTGATGGGACTGTTTGGTTGATGGTGGTGTAGGTGATGGGACTGTTTGGTAGATGGTGGTGAAGGTGATGGGACTGTTGGGTTGATGGTGGTGTAGGTGATGGGACTGTTGGGCTGATGGTGGTGTAGGTGATGGGACTGTTTGGTAGATGGTGGTGTAGGTGATGGGACTGTTTGGTTGATGGTGGTGTAGGTGATGGGACTGTTGGGCTGATGGTGGTGTAGGTGATGGGACTGTTTGGTTGATGGTGGTGTAGGTGATGGGACTGTTTGGCTGATGGTGGTGTAGGTGATGGGACTGTTTGGTTGATGGTGGTGTAGGTGATGGGACTGTTTGGTTGATGGTGATGTAGGTGATGGGACTGTTGGGCTGATGGTGGTGTAGGTGATGGGACTGTTGGGCTGATGGTGGTGTAGGTGATGGGACTGTTTGGTTGATGGTGGTGTAGGTGATGGGACTGTTTGGTTGATGGTGGTGTAGGTGATGGGACTGTTGGGCTGATGGTGGTGTAGGTGATGGGACTGTTTGGTTGATGGTGGTGTAGGTGATGGGACTGTTTGGTAGATGGTGTAGTAGGTGATGGGACTGGTAGGTTGATGGTGTAGTAGGTGATGGGACTGTTTGGTTGATTGTGGTGTAGGTGATGGGACTGTTTGGTTGATGATGGCGTTGGTGAAGGGACTGTTTAGTTGATTGTGGTGTAGGTGATGGGACTGTTTGGTTGATGGTGGTGTAGGTGATTGGACTGTTTGGTTGGTGGTGGTGTAGCTGATGGGACTGTTTGGTAGATGGTGGTGTAGGTGATGGGACTGTTTTGGTTGATTGTGGTGTAGGTGATGGGACTGTTTGGTTGATGGTGGCGTTGGTGAAGGGACTGTTTGGTTGATGGTGGTGTAGGTGATGGGACTGTTTGGTTGATGGTGGTGTAGGTGATTGGACTGTTTGGTTGGTGGTGGTGTAGCTGATGGGACTGTTTGGTAGATGGTGGTGTAGGTGATGGGACTGTTTGGTAGATGGTGGTGTTGGTGATGGGACTGTTGGGTTGATGGTGATGTAGGTTTGGACTGTTTGGTAGATGGTGGTGTAGGTGATGGGACTGTTTGGTTGATTGGACTTTTTGGGGGTTATGTGTTGTAGGGGATGGGGCTGTTTAGGTGATGTTTGTAAAGCACTGATGTCAAATATAGATGCAATTACACACATATGTGTAAATGTGACGGCGTAAAATCCTCCTAACTCACTCGTAATGGTGTACCTTTATGCAACGCAGCAACGTGTATTTTACATCAACAGTTTGACTCTGTCTTCATACTTATGAATAGTGTCAGCAAAAGTTTAAATATGTATGTGATATTGATCTCTTCGGCGTCATTGTCGTTTGTATGAAATGTCTCGAAAACGAAACATATTAAACAGGTATCAGTCTACCTGGCGGTGATCTCTTAACCGCTGTGTTGCAGTCTACCTGGCGGTGATCTCTTAACCGTTGTGTTGCAGTCTACCTAGTTGTGATCTCTTAACCGTTGTGTTGCAGTCTACCTGGTTGTGATCTCTTAACCATTGTGTTGCAGTCTACCTGGTTGTGATCTCTTAACCGTTTTGTTGCAGTCTACCGGGTGGTGATATATTGGTGTTGCAGTCTCTGATAGACGTCCATCCAGTTCGTTGACCCTGCACTCCCCAGTTCAAGATGATGACGCTGTGTTCAAGTGATAGTCTGCAGCTAGCTTTAACAGCAACTGTTTACATCTTGCTTGAACTTTCCACATGCAGCACCAAGGAATGTGGACTGCAAATGACAGAGAAAATGAAGGTCAGATCTGTCGTTTTAAGGAGCATTGACATCACGTTGTGCCAACTTTACTGCCAAGATGACTTCATATTTGCATCCTGTCATAAATCCAAGAAGATGAAGAAAACGGGCGGATCCAGCGTCCTTTCTCAAAATCATCCCCATGTAAGTTATGTTTATGGCAAGAGGATGTGTGTAGATGTGTGTACAATTTGTACTTAGCAAAATAATATTCCTCAAGCAACCCAGAGAAATCAACCACCAATTCGGCCATGATCTCTTATTTCGCCAATATTTGAAGGAGACTTGTCCGAATGTTTGGATTTGTTTCAATGGTTGACAATGCACGCGAAGCCATGTTTGCTGACGTTATACAGAGAATTTAAGCCGAGTGTCTCGTGATTTGAAATAAATCAACACCAATCGATACATGTTTTAAAATCTGACCGTGTATTGATATAAGTGATATGCAAAACACGAGGACGAGATTATATCTATCACAAAAATCATCCTTCCAACTTCAGTTTGTTAACATTAACAGCCAGTGTGTTGAGTGTAAAAGGTACAGGTAACCGGCTGCAGTGACAGACAGATTAGTGATGTGATTGTGACATTACTGTAACCGATAACGTCATAATGGTCTTCAAAGCACTATGATGCAATTTCATTGTTGGTTACCTGTATTTGATCTCCGCCATGTGATATATCCTGTGGAAGGCGGTTTGAATGATGAATAGAGAATCTCACCCGAGTGTCTTGTGATATCAAATATATCAACACGAGTTGATAAAAGTGGAAAAATTCCGATTGTGACGTCATGGTAACCAATGACGCCACAATTGTCTGCAAAGCATTGTGATGCAATTTTATTGCAGCGATATCTACAGTGTAGATATCTCCTGTGGGAGCCAGTTTTGGATGATAAATGCAAATGAACTATGACATCACATGACAAAGTGATTGATAAAGGCCCATCGTCAGGCAATATGAAAGCATTATTCACTGTCACTTACCCGCACTGTGCCTGACAACTTGCTTTTGCAGTAATGCTTTCAATGTTTGCATTAATTAGGAGATAAACATACTGAAACAGCTCTACATTGAAAACACAGTATTTTTATCTCCATTTTATCATGATTAAGTAGTACGCGAACTCTCTGGTGTCAGCAAATATACTGAGTGAAGCGACATGTGTTGAGTCCAGTGTTTTGAGCGGGTTGTCGATCTGAATAACGGAATCACCGACAACAGCCGGAAAACAAAATATGGCGCTGTTTATGCTCAAGCAGTTTGTTTACTCCGAAATAATTCACGCGACCATATGACAGACATTGAAAGCATATAAGCACAGCAACTTGGTAAGCTAACATGAGGTGGGCATGCCAAAAGAAAACTAAGCAAGCATTGCAAGACTTTCGTTCTTCTCCGCGCGTCACCATTATGACGTCATATCGCTCATTGTGACGCAAACGATATGAGGTCACAGTCGTATATAGAGACGCGACAAATTCCAAGCACTCTGTTGTCCTTTAAAGATTTCTTTCGTGTTTTCTGCACCAAATGTATTGTCAAACACCCTTTTTAATATTGTAGTAACCGCAACTTTGCATTTTGTAACCTGTTATTGTAGACATAATTATTTAAATATGCCTACCAACAATGACTGAAAGAAAGTACTATTAAACCAATATGATAATGGAAGAGATTTTGTTAGCTTGTATTTTATTCCCTACGTTTTACAGGTTGTTAAATACATGATGTTGACAAGTAAAACATGAGTGAGTGAGTGAGTGAGTGAGTTTGGTTTAACCCCGTTTTTTATCAGTATTCCAGTTATATCGCGGCGTGTCAGCTTAATGTGGGAGGAAAGCCCGAAGTGATGCAGGTCTCAGACGTTTACCACTTCGGTGAAACCCACGAGCACGGGTATGGTGCTGACAAACCTAGAAACATAATCGGGGCGAACCGGGATTCGAACCCACAATCATAGGTTTCTGGCGTGCCCAAGGGACGCAACTCTGCACATCGAATCGCGGCGCCTTAGACGACTGGGCCACCCGTGCCCCCAGTAAAATATCAAGAATTGACCGATGTTTTCTTCGGCATTACGTTGCAGGTGTCGTATAAAAGAGGTCAATGTTACTGGAGATCTTACATAAACAAGTTTGAAATGCATATCGCGACCACAGAACTTTATAGTGATAGAAATAATAGCTGAACACTTTGTCTGACAAGGTTCTTTTTTATTGCTGTCTGAAGGCTCTGACTACAACCTCTGCATCCAATGTCGGCACTCTGACTTCCCGATGTCCAAAGATAGTGCAAGGTATGTGTCTCATGCAGAGACGTGTCTTGTGTTTAGTGCCATCATGTTTGTATCAATTCAGTCACATCAGAGGATCCAAACCACTGAATATTTATCAAACACGCAATTTTAGATAATACCTTGTTTCCTCCCATGTATTAACCCTTTTGACTTTATGACTACATTTAAAATCAAATCATTTATGAACTAAATTTGCATTTTGTGATTTGTTTGTGTCTACGTGAGCGAGTGAGTGAGTATGGTTTTACGCCGCTTTTAGCAATATTCCAGCAATATCACGGCGGGGGACACAAGAAATGGGCTTCACACATTGTACCCATGTCGGGAATCGAACCCGTGTCTTCGGCGTGACGAGCGAACGCTTTGACCACTAGGCTACCCGACCGCCCCTGTTTCTACGTACCCTGGGGCGGTAGTGCAATAAAAATAAAAATAAAAATATATTGTTTCTACGCAATATCATCCAGAGGTGACTCTGCAAATACGAAAACGTCTTTTTTCCCCAATGTGGCCTTTTGCCTTTTTCTCGGGGATTTCTTGACGATTTTCAAGCGTCTATATTGCTTCGAAAAGAAGTTTGACATCACAATTTTCAAATAACGCCTACTTGTCGTCAAGCTGTTACGCTTCTGGGCCCACTTGCACAAAGCCATCTTAGTGCTACGACTATTGTAAGCCTATGTTAAAGTATGGGAGTTACGATCATCTTAGCGCTACGACTATTGTAAGCCTATGTTAAAGTATGGGAGTTACGATGATCTTAGCGCTACGACTTTTGTTAGCCTATGTTCAAGTATGGGAGTTACGATCATCTTAGTGCTAAGATCCCTTTGTGCAAGTGGGCCCTGGACCGAAGCTGTAGGATGATGTGTCACTCGGTGTACGGGCGCGTACATTGTGATGTGGGGCGGTCGGGTAGCCTACTGGTTAAAGCGTTCGCTCGTCACGCTGAAGGCCCGGGTTCGATTCCCGACATGGGTACATTATGTGAAGCCCATTAAAAGCGGCGTAAAACCATACTCAATCACTCACATTGTGATATCAGGTTTCCTCAGACACACCGAAAATGATTTATCAAAACGTTATTGACGCATTTAATTCACTCTACTGGAACAATTCTGAGTTTGGTAATGCTCTGCTGATACTACAATTCATATATCGTACTTAACTATTTCTTATAGCTGAAAGATTGTCATATGAAAGGTCCCTGTTACACATTTCATGCGTTTCCTGTTTGACATTATTTCCTGCACGTGTTTTTTAGAAATTGCGACAGTACATTAATAAGATCATATCCGACACATTTCTCGACAGGAATACATTTTGTCACACAATAGTTAATAAGCAACTGACAATAACACATGGAAATTGTATTCAACTAATTTATTGCTTCCACGAGAACATGAATACTACTATACCCCCCGTCTCATCTCGCGCATACACAACAAAATAATTTTTAACATTCATCCACTTAACTACTTTAAGGGGCGATCGGGTAGCCTAGTGGTTAAAGCGTTCGCTCGTCACGCCGAAGACCCGGGTTCGATTCCCGACATGGGTACAATGTGTGAAGCCCGTTTCTGGTGTCCCCCGCCGTGATATTGCTGGAATATTGCTAGAAGCGGCGTAAAACCATACTCACTCACCAATCTACTTTAAACTATGCAGAAACTGTGCTAAACTAAATACAATTATACTTCACTAAACATATTCTGGTAAAGTGTATAATGGTTATAGTTCCTGGTTGGTTCCTGGGGGTTACAGTTCATGGGCCACGCCCATGTGTCGTACACATACGATACGACCCGTGAAGATCCGGGGTAGAATAGGTCTTCAGCAACCTATGCTTGCCGTAAAAGGTGACTATGCTTGTCGTAAAAGGCGGCTAACGGGATCGGGTGGTCAGGCTCGCTGACTTGGTTGATGCATGTCATCGATCCCAATTGCATGGATCGATGCTTATGATATTAAACTGGATTGACTGGTCCAGACTCGATTATTTACAGACGGCCGTCATATAGATGAAATATTATACGGCGTTAAACAACAAACCAACCAACACATACGATACCCCTTATACTGTTCCTCCGTATGACCGTACTGTAAGCTCCGATGACGACCTGGTGTCACACTCACAAAGATTGAGACCGCCTCCGTGGTCTAGTGGTAGAGTGTCCGCCCGGAGAGCGGAAGGTCCGGGGTTCGATCCTCGGCCGCGTCATACTAAAACACGTTAAAAGATGGTACTTGTTGTTACCCTGTCTGGCGCTCGGCATTAAGGGGCTAAAACAAGGACTGGTCGGCTCGGAGTCAGTATACTGTGTCTGAGTGGGGTATTCATGTTAAACTGCGGCATGGTATCTCAGTGGGCTAGCACTATAAATCGGCATCAGCCCGGACTAGTACAAGCAGCCACACACACACACACACACACGTGCATGCACGTCGCTATATAAGTGCAATAATCTTGGACGCGACGTTAAACCCAATTTCACCTCACCTCACCTCACCTCACCTCACCTCACCTCACCTCACCTCACCTCACAAAGATTTAACAGTTCAAGTGTCTCCCTTTAACCTGAAAAACACAGTTGTCAACCACACCTCTGGCGACCATTGTTGAGTGAGTGAGTATGGTTTTCGGGTAGCCCAATGGTTAAAGCGTTCGCTTGTCACGCTGAAGACCCGGGTTCGATTCCCAACATGGGTACAATGTGTGAAGCCCATTTCTGGTGTCCCCCGCCGTGATATTGCTGGAATATTGCTAAAAGCGGCGTAAAACCATACTCACTCACTCACTCATTTTGTGGAAGCCTCGGTGTCTAAGTGGGTTAGATCGCTGACTTTGTGTGCTGACGATTAGGTGCCTTACTCTGGCAAGTGTGGGTTCGAATCCCGGACGGGACTCAACCCCCCAAAAGTACGAGAATCTGTACTTTACTAAGTGGTATCCCAAATATAACATAGGTTACAGGAATTAGACGTTTACAATTGAACCCAAGAACACGCCTCCCAGCACGCTTAAGGGGATAAAAGTTTGTTACTGTCTGATGAGGGTCATGTTTTATATCAACATAAAGAAGGAGCATGGTTTACATCAACATAGAGAAGGGCCATGATTTACATCAACATAGAGAAGGGCCATGATTTACATCAACATAGAGAAGGACCATGGGTTACATCAACACAGAGAAGGACCATGGGTTACATCAACATAGAGAAGGACCATGGGTTACATCAACATTGAGAAGGACCATGGGTTACATCAACATAGAGAAGGACCATGGGTTACATCAACATTGAGAAGGACCATGGGTTACATCAACATAGAGAAGGACAATGGGTTACATCAACATAGAGAAGTACCATGGGTTACATCAACATAGATAGGGCCCATGGGTTACATCAGCATAGAGAGGGCCCATGGGTTACATCAACATGGAGAAGTACCATGGGTTACATCAACATAGATAGGGCCCATGGGTTACATCAGCATAGAGAGGGCCCATGGGTTACATCAACATGGAGAAGTACCATGGGTTACATCAACATGGAGAAGGACCATGGGTTACATCAACATAGAGAAGGACCATGGGTTACATCAACACAGAGAAGGACCATGGGTTACATCAACATAGAGAAGGGCCATGATTTACATCAACATAGAGAAGGGGCATGGATTACATCAACATAGAGAGGGACCATTGGTTACATCAACATAGAGAAGGACCATGGGTTACATCAACATAGAGAAGGGCCATGATTTACATCAACATAGAGACGGACCATTGGTTACATCAACATAGAGAAGGACCATGGTTTACATCATCATAGAGAAGGACCAGGGGTTACATCAACATAGAGAGGGACCATGGGTTACATCAACATAGAGAAGGGCCATGGGTTACATCAACATAGAGAAGGACCATGGGTTACATCAACATAGAGAAGGGCCATGGGTTACATCAACATAGAGAAGGGCCATGGGTTACATCAACATAGAGAAGGGCCATGGGTTACATCAACATAGAGAAGGGCCATGGATTACATCAACATAGAGAAGGGCCATGATTTACATCAACATAGAGACGGACCATTGGTTACATCAACATAGAGACGGACCATTGGTTACATCAACATAGAGAAGGGCCATTGGTTACATCAACATAGAGAAGGACCATGGATTACATCAACATAGAGAAGGGCCATGGGTTACATCAACGTAGAGAAGGACCATGGATTACATCAACATAGAGAAGGGCCATGGGTTACATCAACATAGAGAAGGACCATGGATTACATCAACATAGAGAAGGACCATGGTTTACATCAACATAGAGAAGGGCCATAGGTTACATCAACATAGAGAAGGGCCATGATTTACATCAACATAAAGAAGGGCCATAGGTTACATCAACATAGAGAAGGGCCATAGGTTACATCAACATAGAGAAGGACCATGGTTTACATCAACATAGAGAAGGGCCATAGGTTACATCAACATGGAGAAGGACCATGGTTTACATCATCATAGAGAAGGGCCATGGGTTACATCAACATAGAGAGGGACCATGGGTTACATCAACATAGAGAAGGACCATGGGTTACATCAATATAGAGAAGGGCCATTGGTTACATCAACATAGAGAAGGGCCATGATTTACATCAACATAGAGAAGGGCCATGGGTTACATCAACATAAAGAAAGGCCATTGGTTACATCAACATAGAGAAGGGCCATGATTTACATCAACATAGAGACGGACCATTGGTTACATCAACACAGAGACGGACCATTGGTTACATCAACATAGAGAAGGGCCATTGGTTACATCAACATAGAGAAGGACCATGGATTACATCAACATAGAGAAGGGCCATGGGTTACATCAACATAGAGAAGGGCCATGATTTACATCAACATAGAGAAGGGCCATGGGTTACATCAACATAGAGAAGGACCATGGTTTACATCATCATAGAGAAGGACCAGGGGTTAC